ATCCTTACGAATGTGGCGGGCTCAGCTATCCTTACGAATGTGGCGGGCTCAGCTATCCTTACGAATGTGGCGGGCTCAGCTATCCTTACGAATGTGGCGGGCTCAGCTATCCTTACGAATGTGGCGGGCTCAGCTATCCTTACGAATGTGGCGGGCTCAGCTATCCTTACGAATGTGGCGGGCTCAGCTATCCTTACGAATGTGGCGGGCTCAGCTATCCTTACGAATCTCCCCTCCCTCCGCTGTTGAATGCAACCTTCCGACCCCCTAACCTGCCCATGCATGCCCATGCACCTGCATGAGTCGAGGTATGGGATCAGGACTCGTTGTTTCACTTATATAATTTTTTGCCCCCCCGCCCCCGCCCCCGCCCCCAGGTGATGCTGTCGGTGTGGGAGGTGAGTCTGCTGCTGGTGGTGCCCTTCGCCCTGGTGTTCCTGCTCGTGGAGCTGGCCTACTGGTCGGCCAACATAACCAAGGTGCGGGGCTGGCAGCGGCCCCCAGCTACTTTCTAACCCCCGGCTTTTCCCCGCCCCACGTTTCCCCCGCTGAACACATGGCACAGCCTCATCGTATTGCTCGAAGTACCATCCCCCACTTCCTCCTCCCATGCATGGCCCCATGCTTCCATGCCCCCATGCCCCTATGCATGCATGCCCCCATGCATGGCTCCATTAATCAACTCATGCCCCCTGGCCCCCATGCACCCCCCGCACCGCCCCATGCAATGTCGCCCCCCCCCCCAGGTACCCGAGGGCGGCTGGTTCACCCTGGCAGTGGCACTGGGGGTGTCCGCCATCATGCTGGTGTGGTGGGCGGGCAGCAGACGACTGGGCGAGCGGCTCATGGCTCTAGCAGCCGGCGCGCAGATACGCGTGCTGGGGCAGCAGCAGCCGCGGCCGCTGCTGCACTACCCGCCGCTGGGGCCGCCGCGTGAGGAAGAGGAGCAGGCGGAGGGGGCGGCGGCGGCGGTGGGAGCGGGGCCACAGCCGCTGCTGTCCAGGTTGAGTCGTTGGGCGTTGAGTCGGACCAGCAGCAGTCGCAGCGCGCACCAGCAGCAGCAGCAGCAGCGGGGCGGGGGCAGTGTGTCGAGCACCTCCATGCCGATGATGAAGATGGCGACGACGACGGAGCGGTTGGAGTCGGCTACCGCCATGCGAAGGTGGCCCTCCCATAACGCAGCGATGTCGACAGGAGCAGCAGCGGCTGCGGCGGCTGCGGCGGCTGCGGGGGTTCATGGGGACGGAGGTGGTAAGCAGCAGCAGCAACAGGACATGCTGAGTGTTTCAAAGCAGACGTCCATGACAGGGCGGCAGTGGTCGTCGCTGAAAGACGAGTCGCGCTTTCAGCCGGGGACGCTGGCGCTGCTGCTGCCGCCCTCGCCGCCATCACCTGGGTTCATGAAGCGCTCCCGCGGCGGCGGGGGCGCCACCCAGCCGCCTAATGCGGCAGCAGCTGGGCAGCAGGCGGAGCCTGGAGGGCCGAGGGCTGCGGCAGCAGCAGCGGAGGAGGAGGAGGCGCCGCTGGTGGTGCCGCTGACGCGGCTGCCCGGCATCGGTGTGTACTACATGGACGAGAAGGTGGACGGCGACAACAACGCCATGGCCTGTCTGCCGCCAGTGCTGGTGCACTTCCTGCGCAACGTGCAGGTGGGGGCGAGGAAGGGGGACGAGGGAGGGGAGCGAGGAAGGGAGGACGAGGGAGGGGGGCGAGGAAGGGGGACGAAGAAGGGAGGGAGGACGGAGTCAGCTTATCCCAGGCACACACTCTTTAGTCTGTTTTGCCCCCTAGATGTCATGTAGCTGCTAACTGCGGACGCATGGCGGAATGCACGGGCGTACCTCTTTATGCCCTCTCCAAAGCCCTCAACAACACGCCGCTCGAGTTAAATACCGGTATACAGCGGTCCCTCTCTTCAACGGACCCGGTACCCTCCCTGCCTCCCTCCCTGCCTCCCTCCCTGCTTCCCTGCATGTCTGCCTTCCTCCCTGCTTCCCACAGGCCATCCACACAGTGTGTGTTTTCCTGGCCGTCCGCCGCCTGCCCACCCCCTCCGTCCCCCGCCGCCGCCGACTGCACATCTACCACCCGCACAGCGCCACACCGCCCAACTTCTACCAGGTACGGCATTTATAGGAATGGGTGCGGCAGCGGCATTAATGGGTACGGCAAAGGTATAACATGGCCCCAAAACCACGACAGGTCACCTGCATTTGTCAGGTAGGGTTAGGTGTTAGGTACTTGACGATTAAGGAAAGTACACCTACAAGTGGCATTGTACAACCGCTGTGCCGTACAATTGTACGAACAGGTTGTGGCGCAGTACGGCTATCTTGATGTCATCGACCACGGCCCCGCCTTCATCAGCGAGCTCCTGGACGCTATCCTCAAACGTATTGTCGCAGCCACATCAGCCACATCCGGCAGCTGCGGCAGCAGCAGCGGCGGTGGCGGTGGCGGCGAGCGACCCACGGGTCAACAGGCCGCTGCTGCTACCGACATGTACGGTTTGCTGTACCCGGATCCCTCTCGCGCCAGCCTGGGACACCTGTCGTACGGCTACGGTGAGGCCCCACGTGACATGTACGGCAGTGGCGTGGATCCTGGCGGTAATGTGCCCTCCCTGGCTCGTCGCGGCCAGCATGACGCGAGCATGTTGCTGCATCGCATTGGCAGCGCTGCACATCGGGCCCCCGCCGGTGTGCTACCGGCGGACGAGCTGCATGACAAGCAGCAGCAGCAGCAGCAAGGTCAGCAGCAGCTGAAGTCTGAGTTAAAGGATGAGGGCAGCGGTAGCGGCGGCAATGGCGGTGGTGGTGGAGGCGGCACGACAGTAGTGGCTAGCCGCATGTCCCGGGCTGCTGAGCGAGTGGAGGGCGTGGTGGCGGTGTTTCTGGAGGCTCGAGTGCAAGGTGTGAGCGGGATCCACGGCATATAGAGGGTGTAGAGGGTATAGAGGGGGAGGTAATAAGGGGGCTGCGCATTGCATGCATGCATGCCACCCCTGCCTTCCCCTTCCCCATGTGCATGCATATCGGTATACAGTAGTCACGCACGCACCTACACCACCCCACCCCCGCAGGTGTGGTCTACTACGCCAGCCGCGCCCTCATCCGCGCCCGCTCCGAGGCCGCCTCCTGGCCGCTGCTGCACTGGCTGGTGTACGGGCTGTCGTACAGGTGGCTGGCGGCGCTGGCGTTCGTGGACATGGAGCGGTGGCGGGTGCCGGGGGAGCAGCTGGTGGAGCTGGGGATGGCGGTGGAGATATGAGGGAGTAAAGAGGAAACTGACAAGGTGTATGACACGGTGGAGCGGGTGGCGTGTTTTGGTGTTTTGAGTTGCGTTACCGGTAGGGCCTTTTGGAATCGGCGTAGGTTTTCGTAAGAAACGATGTTGTGTTGTGTTGTCGTACCGGTACGAGCGATGGTTTGGCGTACGTATACGTGCGAGTAGTGCTTGCCTACTGATGGCCAGTTGAGATAGAGATTTGCTGGTTCCTTCGCTTGATGGATGGGTGCTATTCTTTGCCTTGCTTAGTACAGGCAAGTAGACCGTTCACTTCCGTTGGGGTTCTAGAAGGGTGGTAGGAGCAGAAGCAGGATGGATTGCTGGAGCAAACTACAATGAATGTCGACTTGTCGAGCTAGCTGTTGAACACAATCCGGCCTCAACGAAGCACCCCATACGCAGCATAGTGTAGTAAATTGTAACAGTTGATGCCCCTTACATTAACGGCAAGCATTAGCCACTAGCCAGCAAACCCGAGCGAGCCGCTCGAGGCCAACACTCACACTCTGCCAACATCGCAGAAGCGGCGCTGGAAGAGTTGTACGTCCGGAAGTACGGCAAACGTCCTGACATTAGATGCATACATGCATGCACCCCCATACATCTCACAATTAATAAACCCTTGCTGCTGGAAACTGTCCAGCGCGGGCGGGTTCGCTGTGTGGCCAGCGCTTCAACTACCCGAGTAGCAATATACATATCCGAAACCACTGCAAGGTCTGTAACTGTCATCCGATCAATAAACCGATAAAAGACTCACAGGGAAATCAGTTTTATCACCACCGCGTCCAAACGCGGCAATACCAGCACCCAATACAGTCTCATAATGTCGTACACCAGGTTGAACGATACGGCAGCGCCGCTGCGTGATACGAATGAGCCCGGCACTGCTACCGGTATCGGCGGCCAAAAAGGATAAGTAGGAACAGATAGGAACGTAGAGAGCAGAATCATCTTCCATTTGTATGTTCTTCTCAGCAAAATGATCTTCTCAGCAGCCAGCGGCCAAAGCATGGTGCCAGTGTACGCGGAAAGGCACAGGCAAACACCCAATGTATACAAGGCAGCACGTCTTGAAATGCTCCAATAAACAACAAGGCAGCACGTCTTCAAATACTACTATAAAGAACATAGCACAACGCTTGCAGTTCCATTCATCCCGCCCCGCAAATAAGCAATGGATACGAGTGGTTTCCTACCGAACAAGGGATTTTGGGAAAGAATTGTTTTGGTGATTTAAGGGTGGACGGAAGAAAACGGGACCTCAAAAATCTGCCTGCAAAGGCGTTTTCCCGAATAGACGACGCCATATCTTCCTTTAGGCTATAGGCGAGGCTAACGACCCATGGGTCAGCAGGGTACCAGGCCTCATGCTTCCGCGTACCCTCCAAGCAAACCCAGCTACTTTCGTACGCATTTGTTGCAAATCTTGATTTTTCAGACGTAAACAGCTCCGCATACCCGACCACACCCACATCCCACCTACAACTTAATGCAGTACAGCTTTGGCCCCAGAGCACAGCCCGCGTGATGAGGCATAACCCACACGCCCAAGCCCGCCCCTACTACGCCCCACCATCCTCACCTCCCAACCCACCGGTATCCCTCCTTTCCGCCCACAGCAGCGCATCCCCTCGCTCCCTCGCTCCCTCGCCCCTCAACACGGCTTGAAGCCCTCCCCCTCCGGCCCCCCCGCCGCCAGCCTGCCCGCCACCGCCTCCACCAGCTCTGCAACCGTGTCGTACTCGGCGCACATGGATTCCAGATCCGCGGGGGACAACCGCTCGTCCAACCACACCCGCCGCAGCGCCGCTTCGTCCGCTGCGGCGAGGGCGCCAAAGTAGTGCCGGACCATTGACAGCGCCTCAGTCGCACGCAGCCGGCCCATGTATATCTGGGAAGCAAGAGGGGGGAGCGGTGTAGCGTTGAGGAGGGGGCGGGAGTGGAGTGGAGGAGGAGTGAGGATGGAGAGGCAGGAGCGGATGAGTAGTGAGGAGAGGACATATAGGAGCCACAAGGACAGTGTACGGTAATGATTTAATAAACAGAAGAGCTGAAAGAGAAGTAGGGTGACTCCTTAGGTAGCCTCCCCTAATAAGGCTTGGGGGCCTAATGGCTCTCCCTAATACCAGTAAGGAACCCTTACCTTCTTATTGATCCTGCCGGGCCTGATCAGCGCCGGATCCAGTTTGTCCGGGTGGTTGGTTGTCATCACGATGATGCGCTGCGGCGTGTCCACCACGCCGTCCAACACGTTCAGCAGTCCCGCAAGGTTCAGCTCGTCGTCGCCGCGGAAGAGCTGCAACCCCCTGACGCCGCCACCGCCAAAGGCCGGACCCATGGGTCCGAACGCAGCAGCAGCAGGTGATGAAGCAATGCCGCTGCCGAATGCTGCTAAGGAGGTATTGCTGGTGCCGACAAGGCCTTGGCGATTCCAATAGGTGGTGGTGTTATTGGTGGTGGTGCCGGCGCGCTTCTTCTTACCCTTGCCGCCGCCTCGCTGATCTTCCTCGCCTTCGGAGCCCTCACCATCCCCGTCATCATCGCCAGCCTTGTCCTGATCAGGATCCGCCTTGCCATCCTCGCTGCGGGCTGCTGCCGTACTGCTGCTACTGCCGCGGTAACTGGCGGCGGAGGCGGAGGCTGCAGCGGCGAACTGGGCGGCAGCAGCGGCAGCAGCAGCGGTCATCAGGAACTCCTCGTCTGTGGCAGCACAGGCAGGGATGTCGGCGGCAGGGTGTGGCGGCGGGGACGAGGGGGCCGCTGCTGGTGCCAGCGAGGGCGGAGTACGACGTTGTACAACGCTGCTGGCGGCGTCGACGTCCTCCATGACGAAAATGGTTTTGTGGAAGGGCAGGGAGATGGAGGCGGAGTCGGAGGAGGGGCTGTTCTGGATTTGCAGCTTGTTGTCGAATACGATGTCCTGGGGTGGGGGAAAGGTGGGGAGGTGTGGTATTGATTGGAGAGAGGGGGAAGGGAGTAGGGACTAGGGAGGTAGCGCAGAAGGTACATTTGCAAGCGTTCGGTGTTGAAAGAGAATGTGGTACGCGAAAGCCGCGCTTGCCATCGAGTTAAGTCAATCCTTTGCAGGCTGGTGAAACGAAACGCCAAACAAGCAGAATGTGTGGAGCCCTACTGCTGTATTGCAATGGCATGTGACCCATGGGTCTTCCTCGCGGTGCAGCGGTTGGGCGTACCATGAGTTCCTGGTTGGTTGAGATCTTGGACAGCGGTACGGAGATGATGGAGCGCTTGGTGTGCTGCGCCAGGGCCTTGATGAGGCTGGTCTTGCCTGACAAGAGGGGAGAAGATGGGAAGGGGGGAGGTACGGCAGGGTGCAGAAGAGGGAGCTCAGTGGGAGGGAGGGAAAGAATTCCAGCTACGACCGGCAAGCCAAGCGAGGGCAACGGGGGTTGCAGGATGGGAAAACGGCGGCCAGCAAGTTATGCCCGCCCACTAATAAGACACTAACCCACCCAAGCCCACCCACCCACCACCTGCACTCATGCATGTGTCGGGATGTGGGATTGGGACTCCAGGTGCTGCACTTTGCATGAATGCTTACCCACCGCCCGCGCACCTGTCCCGGGCGGCCCGTACAGCAGGAATCCCAGCTTCTGCGGGTAGCCGGGGATGGCGAACTTGCCCTGCTTGTGCAGGAACTGGTCAACCAGACGCAGCAGAGAGTCCTGGGGGTGGAGCGGAGGGGGGGAGGCGAGAGGAGGCGAGGGGGATTAGGCAAATACTGACCCTGACCGTAGTATACCGAGGATGAGGCGAGGGAAGGGGAGGGGGGGGAGGGAGCATGAAACCCGGCTCACACCAGCCGGCCAGCCAGCCAGCCCAAGTGACCAAGAGACCTGGGAATGACAATCCAAAGTATGATGCGTGCCGCTCCTCAACACCCCACTCCGTCCTGCCTCTCGCCCACCTACCTTATCCGGGTGGAACAGCGAGGCGAAGCTCTTCTCCTCGCTCAGCTTGTAGCGCTTGTAGAGCGCAGCGGAGGAGCCGCCGCTGCCGCCCTCGCCGCCCTCCACCGCGGTGGGGCGGAAGCCGGGCAGCACGGGCATGTAGAGGTAGCGTGCGGGGTCGACCCGGGCGGATTGCTGCTTGCGGTAGACCTGGTGGGGGAAGAGGGGAGGGGGGAGAGGGCGAGAGAAGGGGTTGGATTTTGGAAGGTTTGGGGAAGGGAAGGGAAGGAGGCCCAGCCCCCAGCCTCCAGCCCCCAGCCTCCAGGCCCCACCTCCAGCGCATGCTCCACAAAGGCCGCCCCTGCTCCCTTACCTGACCGTTCGAGCCTTCCATCACCCCCCTTCCATTACCCCCCACCTTCCATCACCCCCCTTCCATTACCCCCCGCCTTCCATCACCCCCCTTCCAACACCCCCCTTCCATCACCCCCACCCTTATCATTTACTCCCCCCCTTCCACCTACACCTCCCACCCACCCCCCCACCCACCCCAACCCCCTCCCCCACCTCCAGCGCATGCTCCACGAACGCCGCGATGCGCTCGCTGCCGTCCGGCTGGCTGCACTCCAGGCTGTAGGTGATGCGCGTGTTCTTCAGCTTGTCATCCAGGTTCTCTGCGTCGCGCATGAACCTGCAGGGGGGCAGGAGGAGGTGGGAGGGCAGGAGGTAGGGGATGAGGTGGGGGAGGGAAGGGGGTGGGGAAAGAGAAGAAGAACCATGCGTTATGGAGGTGGGGCAGGTGGGTGGGGAGGGAATGGGGTGGAGCTGGGGTCGGCGCACCGGTGCTGACAGGGCCGAGGTAAGGCCTACTACGGCAAGGTTTCCCCTCCCTCTCCCTCTCCCTTGCCTCCTAGTCCCTCACCTGATTCCATTCTTCAGCTCCACCCACGTCCCCTCCGGTGGGGCCAGGTTGACGCCGTACGCATGCTCCTCACCTCCCCCGCTGCCGCCCCCCTCCTCCTCCTCGCCCGCCTTGCCGCCGCCCACCCCCTCCCCGTCGCGACCATCATCCCCTCCCTGGGCCCCCAGCAGCTCCCCAGGGCCCCTCTTCTTGAGGGTGAAGTCAGCCTCGTGCAACTCGTTTAGCGCTTGGACCTGGGGTAACAGGGGGGTAAAGCTTGGTAAGGAGGAAGAAGCTAAGCAACCGTATACATGCAGGCTCCACCATGCGGGGTTGCATCATGGTTGATTGCTGACACATCCCGCAGGGGGTGGGTGGGTGGGTCAGCACCTCGTCAGCAATCAACACAAGGTCAATCACGTCATCAGGGGTGTCATCAGTTGGGTGTCATCAGTTGGGTGTTTTGCTTCCCAAGGGTTGGGCCCCGCTCCCGCTCCCGCTCCGCCCCCCGGCTCTCCCCTTCCCTTCCCTTCCCTTCCCTTCCTTCTGCCCACCTGCATGTTGATGACGTTGAGGATGGCGCGCTGCAGCACGGAGTTGGAAGGCTGGTTGTCGGAGTCGTACCTTTGTCGTACGTGGTGGGACGTGGGAGATAAGGGGGCAGTACGCAATTGTCAGTCAGGGCTTGGAGGGAGCTACGTGAAGGGACGTCAGGTCAACAGGCCAACAGGGTAGCCAGCATCCTTACCAGCACCACCCGAAGCATGCAGCAGTAAGTTAAAACACCCCGTGCGAGGTACGACATGTCTCTCCCTTCCTCTCACCAGTAGTAACCCGACCGTTGTGTGAACTCGATGCGTCGAGTGAAGGTCTTGGCGGCGTTGTTGCGTTGGGGCCACAGCTTGTGAATCCCATCCGCTAACCGGGGAGCCAAATGCTTGAGCAGCAGCGGCACCAGCAGACACAGCAGCAGATCGAGCAGCGTGTGTCCCGTGCTGATCTTGTTCATCAAGCCGTACTGCAGTGTACGAGAGGGGGGTGTATATGTACGACAAGGTGAGTGTGCGGTCAAGGATGGGTGTGAGGTAAAAAGCAGTGCAGGAAGGGTGCAGGGCCGAAGAGGTGTACGGCATGACCGGAAATGGTAGAGTGTTTCAAAATATGAGAAACGGGATGGGAAGGAGAGAGCTGGATTGGGTGGAAGGTGGGGTGAGAAGGGAGATGGCCCTAAGCGGGCAGTCTGAGGCAAGAGGACCTTGCACTGGCACAGGTAGAAATTGGGCCGCGGATTTACGATTAGGCTGCGGCAGCGCCAATGTACTTCGGTCTTCAATTAAGTTGCATGCAAGGATATATGATTCATAGCTCGCTTTTGCTGCTAGCAAGTTGAGGGCGCCCAGCCATCCATGGTTGATGATGAGCCGTTCGGGTCACTGACGAAAGACGAAAGGTAACTAATCATGCAGTTCTCAGACGTTGTCTAAATACATACCTGGGTAATAAGCTCCGGCGTGATCTCCATTGCGAGCGACTTGCGTCAAAGTTACGAGCCGATAGGTAGGCCGATGACTTGAAGGTGTTGCGGCGCGAAATCGCTGGAGTACCTAGTCTAGTCGCAAAATTAAATATTAAGGTATATTCAGATATAAGGCTGACCTGGAAAAGACGCGCAGCTTTGCTGCAGCCAACGTCTACTGCGTGTATCTGCTGCTTGCTTACTTTATCGGGTATCTCAGGGCTTGGTATTTGTTTGTAAGGTGGCGTTATCCCTTTATATTGGATTGTTGAAAGTCACAGGCGCGGCCTGGCGATGAACGGAAGCAGGCTGAGGAAGCCGTGCTGAGCGCGCTGAGTGCGCTCCGGCCTGTACGGCAGGCAGCTGGGCTTCCAAGCTTTAGAGGTCAAGGGAGGAATTGCCCTCAGTAGACAAGCCTGGCCTTCGAGGTAGGGGCAATCCATAGTTGCTTGTGTAAATCCAAGTCCCTCGCAGAGGTGCAGTCTTCAGGTGTCAGGCAATGCAATACAAATACATGGAGCGGAAAATCGCGTGTAGCCTCCTGCACGCCGCGCTCTAAAGCCACGTGCTTCCCGCTGCACATTATCACCGTTCATTTCTTCAGCAGGAGTTACGGAAAGCGGCCGATGAACATTATGGCGCCATCGATGTAGCTTTTCCTTAATACTTTGGCCACTCCATCCAAGCCTTCTGGGCGTATCATATGTGGCAAAAATACCTTGAGATGTTGAAAAGCACCCCAGTGTTTGTGAAAGTACCATTGCCCGCCCTCCGAGGCAGCACCCAGAGGGGCCCCACGCAAGCATCGGCACATGCCCCCACACCTGTAACCGGCGGTATGCATTCACACCACCTACGCCGCAAACCACGCCACTGCGTTTGGTCAGCTTCGCGTTTTGGACGAGGAGAGCATACACAGGTGGGAACTAAGCTGGTTTGAGGCGCGTTGTTAGGCGTTGGACACCTAAGCCACTGCCCATGGATAGGAGGGCTGGCGGACGCAGATGATTACACGGTTTGATAGGGAGGTTGTTGGCAAAGGAAGCATAGTGGGAGAAAACAGACCTATGCTGGCCGTGACCGCCTAGGACAGCCTAAGTAGGCAAGGCACACGCCTGCCGCAGCGCCGCACGTGGCAGTAGATCAAGGTCGTGAAAAGAGCTCGGACTAATGGCCAAAGTCACGACATTTCTTATTTTCTTTGTGTCAGTCCGTGGCCATGGTGTGTCTGCTTTAGTACGCTGCATGCAAGTCTGCATACCTTGCTGTAGAGTACGAGCTAGCTCGGTGCGACAGACTTAGGGCAACGTGAGAATTTAATCATATTCCACTTAACATATATAAGGCACACGACTTAAGAAGCGGAGGCTGTACGCCGTCCGGCTAGGCCGAGTGTGTCACGGACCAAGGACTTGGACGAGCTTGACTCCGTCCAGTAATACCGCCCAGAAAACGTGTTCCTCTAGGTCCCGAGGAGTACAGGTACAGTACGTATGTTTTACGGCCTGGCGAAAACAGTTGATGACGTCCTATTCGCACCTAACGGGTCAGCTACGATCGTGAGGAGGTAACTCTCGAAAATTAAAACCCCAAGGGCTATAGGCTGACAGCCGAAGCATAGCACCGCGTCCATGTGCGCTTCGAAAATGCCTGAAGGCGGGCCAACTCAAAAAGTAAGCTTGGTGCGATTCGAGGCAATATACGATATGTTGGAAAAGTAATGGGATAGTCCCATTGTGCCATGCTGGACATAGCATGCTTACGCATCGCAGCCTCCCATTGCGTTTTACGGCGAGCTGTGCTCGGCAGTTGACGTAATATTGTCGTGCACGGCTCGCCCATATATAGAGCAAAGTTGCTTTTCCACAAGCTTTAAGCACTCTACATACCATAGAGTGTCAGCATTGCGCGTCCGCTGCCTGTGGCATTAAAGCAGTCTTGTCCAACTCAACCGCCGACCTCTGCTCCTCCTTGCCACCAGCGCTTTCGCATTGCTGTTTAGTTCGCATTCATCAGAGTAGTTAGCTTCGAGTACTCAGTGGCCCATTCGGCTGCGTCGTTTTGAAAATTTAAGTTCGACGCAAACGGCGCTAAGGAACCTTCTTACGACGTCATCCCAGAAACGAGCCCCGTAAGTCAGGGGTTGTTGATGAATCATGGGGCATTGCCTCGAGTATAGGTTTCCAGGGTACACCGGTTTCTCGTCTTTCAAGTCTTGCTCCTTATGGTGTGGAAAGGAAACCCCTCATGTATTACCTTGGGGGCTTAAGACGACATAACTCTATGAGACGTAGTGGGTTCCCTACAGCGTCCCTGTTGTTGGCTCCATGCGCCAGCTGCAGCATCAGCATTCCATTGGGGAACTTAACGAAGTTTATACCCGATATTTTGAATTGAACAACACATGTAGGTTTGATTTGTGCACTCTTGTTATATCCTGTTCCGGTTTTGGGAGGTACTTGCTGGTCTTGCTGGTCCATTGCGCCCTTGTAACCATCTTGACTGTGGCCTTCTAGAACCCTCAAGGCGTTGCTTGCCCAAGCCATACACCTTTCGAATTCTTCACGTCTTTTTTGTGAATCCTTACAGGTCCTAGCTCTTGTGGGTGTGCTGGTCCTGTTGTAAAGGAGCCTCTTCACTTCTTCAACACCGCCCGCGCTAGTAATGGAGTGCGAGGACTGCGATGCCTGCTGGATTTGCCTCGAGGGCAAGGAGGTGGCGGAGACCAAGGCGAACCTACTCCACGCCAACCGTCTCATCCGCCCCTGCCGCTGCCCTAGAGTGGTTCACAGCGTCTGCCTAGCCAAGTGGCAGCTCAGCCAAAGCGGCAAAAGGTGAGTTCTGACGGTGTTCGCCAGCCATGAAGGCTAAGGCTTTAGTCATGTCGTACGCCGCCCTCCATCTCCTGAAGCCGGCGACATTTTGTGCCATGCATGCACACCTTCTCCAACCATGCTGCTGGTGTCCTCACATCTTCACCCCTTCCTCCCGCCCTTTCCCACCCTCGTCTTCGTAGCGAGGAGAAGTTCTGCCGCTTCTGCCATGACGAGCTTCCCGACTGGCAACAGCACCTCGCCCTGCCCGGCATGGCTGCCGTAGAGCCCGTCATGTCCGTACACTTCAACGGTACGACCCACATGGTGCGAGTGCGGCCTGGAGAGGAGGGACGCATGGAGTTCATCCGGGATGTACGACAGCTGCTGAGGCTGCGAGACAACCAAGACTTTTCGATTACGTTTGAGTGCAAGGTTCCAGGGCATGGTGAGGGAGAGGGCGGGCCGGGGCGGAAAGGGACAGGGAACACGCGGCTTGCATGGGCGGCGGGAGTGAATCCTGACACTACAATTTGATGTTCTGAGGTTGTGGGTAGTTGCAGAGGGCTGTGATCTGGAGATGGCACAGTAGCACTCGGCTTTGTTGCCATGCACACTACACCCCCATTCCACCTCCTCGCATCCTTAGCCCTCCCCGCCGCCTGTTGCCCACTCTCCAGGCATGTTTCTCGACCTCAAGGGTCTCTCTTCGTACGACGCCGCCGTCTTTTGCGCCGCCATGACCGCTGTGGAACGCCAACGTATCGCCGCACAGAAGGCCGCACGCAAAAAGGCCGCCACCTCCTCCGGCACCTGCTCTTCCTCCTCTCCCGCTGCTGCCAACCCTGCCAACAACAAGGACACCGCTGCAACCACCGCCGCTGAAGGCATCCTTCCTGCTCCCGTTGCTGCTCCTCCTGCTACGCCCTCTCCCAGCAGCACCGGCCCGTCTCCCTCGCATCCTCTTGAAGCTCAACCAACTCAGCCCGTCTACCTCCCTCCTGGTCCTCCCGGCTCGGTTTCTTCTCCTTCTTCCCCCACTGCTGCCACGGCAACAGCCGTTAGCGCGCTACGCATGCGGCCGTCATCTGCGCTGGCTGCTGGTCGCTTCCTTGGCGGAAGCAGTGGGGGCGCAGCAGCGGCGGCGGTTGGAGGTGATGGTGGCCGGTCCAGCGCATCTTCATCGCTGATGCTGTCATCCTCCGTCTCTGACGCCGCTTTGCCGTCACGGCCACAGAGTGCGAATGGGAGCAGTAGCAGCAGTAGCAACAGTGGCAGCAGCACTTGCATGCAACATGCGGAGTTGCCTTCTGTGGTGTCGTCCCCGCCTACTGCTACTGCTGCAACTGCGACCTCCAACACCACTAGCATTCGCCCCTCCTTCTCCCTCCCAGCGCCCTCCTCGGGTGCTTCTGCATCCACCAGCCGACCTGTTGTGGCGACCTCCATCTCCTCTCATGCCCTCACCTCTGCTGCCTCCCCTTCCTCCTCTTCTTCCACCTTCACTCCAAAACTTCAGCTGCCTCAGCAGCCCCTGGAAGAGGAATCGTCAGAGGACACGCTCGCGTCGCCCATATCCGCCGGCTCCTCCTCCCGCGCAACAACACAACCAGGAGCATCAGCAGCCGCATCACCCGCATCTGGGGCTGCTGCTCGGTGGCGTTGGATGCGGCTGAAGACCCCCACGCTGCCCTTTGACAGCTCGTGCGAGGTCGCACCCGCCCTCGGCACGGGCGGTGAGGGAGGTTTGTCGGGTGGGGAGGGAGCAGCGCTGCGGAACGGCTCTCGACGCAGCAAGCTGAACTTGAACCTGCGGGTTGGAGGTGCGAATGCACGACAGCAGCTGGGAGCTTCAATGGAGGATGGGGCTGCGGTGGACTTGTTGGAGGAGGAGATGGGGGTGGAGGGGGCGACGACGCATGATGGGGGTGCGAACAGGGGCGGTGTTCAGGAAGCTGGCCGTGGCCGTGTTGTGAGCGGTGGCGGCGTGTCGTCATCGTGGTTTTCTCGGTTGTTTTTGTGTCGCGGTGGTTTTGGTGACCTCGTGAGTGTGCCGCCTGGGGGATACCGGGGCCACTAGAGGAGGCCCGCTGGATGTTGCTGTTGAGGGTTAATGACAGGGTGGGTTCAAGTTGCTGCTTTGTTGTGGTTATTCTTTGTAATGGACTTGTGTTGACAGTTGCGGGTTGTCACGGCGATACATGCAAGTTGTAACTTTTCAGCTGCGGTTTGCAGGGTGTGAGAGGGGTCAGGCAGGTGGGGCAGGTTGAGGACGGAGGGATGGGGAGCAGGTAGATGGGGGTCATGTTGACTTGCATGGCAGCGATTTCTGGTTTAGCGCACGCAGGGGGACTGTGGAGCAAGCGAGCAGGAGGCTTCTGCGGGATCAGGAAGAGGCCACGCAGGATGGTGTCCCTTGGTGGCTGTTGTTCGCTTCTTTGTGGCTTGGTTGGGCTTGACGTTCAGTATGTTTCAGATAGTGTTTCAGATTAGGCCAAGTAAGCGGGACGACTGGGGTCGGCGGAGGAGGTAGCCATTTGCATGGCACCTGCGGGGCTGCTCCAGTGAGGTTGGGGGTTATTCTTGGCGGCTTTGGCAGTGGAGGGCGCTGCGGGCTTCGAGGAGGTTCCTGATGAGGTTTCCTGGCTCGACTGGCCGTAAGCCCCCTCCTGTGTGTATCCTAACGGCGTAGGAGGCCTCACCTCTGACAGTTGTGTATCTGGTGGCATAGACAATTCTCTTTGTAGCATCCTTTTTGCCTTTTGCTCGACACTGTGGTACGGTCATTTGGTATCTACAGGTTTTTTTACGCACCATTTCTTGGTGTTTGGCATCTACCTTCATTCCTAAGCATCGCATTATCTGTGGGGGGAAGGACAAGTGTGGGGAACCTTAGCTTTGCATGGCGGAGACGTTTGGCACCGGGCTATGTGTCACGGTTAATGCACCTGTTGATGCTCGGATTGCTGCTAAATGTTACCAGTAGCGTTACGGGCCTTGCGGTTTTTTGGATTTCCAATTTACGAACTGCTTTAGGAGGTTCTAGTGGGGTTGGGGCTCTTTGCTTGGGTTTCGTAGCCACACCTGTCGGAAGCGAGGTAACCAAACGGCATGTGGAAGCCCAAAACATGTGGTGAAGGTGCGGTTAGTGCGGTTCAGTTGGATCTGGCATCTGCATGTTGTTGGGGGTGCGTACCGCACAAGCCCGTAGGCAGCCCTCACTCAACCCCGAAGGTCGAGAATGGGCCTTGGCTGTTGAGGCATCCCTCCTATGCTACTGGAAAGCTCGTACGATTGCCTTCAATCCTAACCAGGCGCCTTGTGATTGCCATGCCGTGTGATTGATCTATTGCGTAGTGGTTGTTCGGGTTGTGTAGGCAGATGCTGAACCGCTTCATGTGTGCCTGAACCGTTAGTGCGGGGACACCTGATGCCTGGGTGTGCTGTCGTGATCAGGTCCGAGCACCGTAATACGGCTACAGTTACATCACATTAGCGCATGCTCCTCAATGGATGGTGATTGCATACTAGATGGCTTTTCTCCCTGCTAAACGAACAGTAAATGTGATACAAGCGTGTGATAGTTGCGTTGGTGGTCTTGTGTGTGGAGGTTGGATATCCCACCTGGCGGCGTTGTCCCGTATGAGCCATGGGTCTCCCGCTGTTCCTGCTGCGAACGATATTTCTACATGTCCAAGACAGTTGCGCCCCTTGCCTTCCGAATACACATGTTGACCAGGACTTGTCGCGAGACACATGTAGACGCTTAACTAAAGCGCGATTCCCTGGTGCCGTACATATCGCATTTCGTCCCTAATTGCCCTTGACCCAAGTCCTTGACTTTGCCTTTCATGTTTGTGGCGGTTGACTGCTTGAAGAGCATGTTGGGTGAACTGCGAGTCGATGCTAAAGGCCAATGTAACAGACACGTACCATGCCCTGTTACATCGCATGCACATGCACGCGTTTGGACCTTATGGCACTCATCGGGCATTATGCGGCCTCCCCGCATAAGTGACAGTGATTTCGGATGATCTCAACCTCAGCTGCTTCAAACGTCCAGCTCCTGACGCAACTCAGCAACCTTTACACCTCCCAAATGTTCCACCCTCTTGCCGCCAATCGCCAATCCCTACCTTACTTTTTGTGGTTACCCCATGTAACCATTGCCAACCCCCACGCCAGCCGGTAACCATGGCCCCCTATCCCCAGGGCTTGTCAGCTGATTTACCACTACCACACAACACATGGGATAGTCTTCTTTTCACCCCAACCTAGCTCTTCCCCTTTCCCCCCGCCTGCCCCTGCTGCTGGCGCTGCTGCTTGAGTCGCAAGCGCTGCTTGGGGTTGAGTCGCCGCGCAGTGGGCACCGCCCCCGCCTGCTTCAACGCATCCACCGAGCGAGCCAGCGATACATCCCACGAGGCGGCTCCGGCGGCGGAGGCGGCAGCTGAGGAGGAACCAGCACCCTCTCCTGCTCCTCGAGCCTTGGGGCCGCCTGCTGCTCCTGCCCCCTGCTTTCCGTCGCTTCCCGGTAGCTGCTTTCCGCTTCCAGGCTGTTTGCTGGCCTTGTCGCCCGCACCCGCACTCGCTGCCACACCCGCACCCGCCTCGGGAGCCGCCCCTGCCCCCGCCAGCCGCGTCCTGCATGCGCCGTACACCGCCTCCGTGAGGGGGCCCAGACCCACATACCAGATGCTGGGAGGAGGAGGGCAGGGGAGTGGAGGGGAGACGGATGGTGACCGCGGTGCGTGAGGTGGGGAAGATGGAAGGAAAGGAATCCGAAATACAGGGTTGCTGGGACTAACTGCCGGGAAGAAAAGCGGAGCGAGAAAAAGGAAAGAAAGGAGGAAACAGGAAAGGCCACACCCGCACAGCCCGCACCTGAAGAAGGGCGACTCCGCATGTCCGGTCCCCTCCGGGTGGTCGTACGAGTAGCGCACGCGGGGTGTGAGGAAGAAGGGGCGCTGCGAGGCGGGGGTGGCGGTGGCGGTCAGCAGCTCGGAGAAGTAGGCCTGGCGGGCGGGAAGGAGGTTGGGGAGGGGGGGAGTGAGAGGCGGCGTAGGGTGTGCGAGAGAGGTGGCGTAGGGCGCGAGGCGAAAGGGGATGGTGTAAGCCGCAAAGGGGTTGAAGGGGATGAGGCCCCAGCAGCGCGGTAGAGCGGGGTGCAGGGTAGACGTGGGTGCAGGGCCGCGGCAGGGCTCAGGACACGTGCCACCTGCCTTTGTGGCCACGTAGTTGGGCAGCAGCAGCGCCCAGGGCCGCTGGGAGCGCAGGCAGATCTCCAGGGCACGCTCCTTGTGGTCACCTGGGGAAGAAGTGGGAGGGGAGGAGGGAGAGGAGGGTAGGGAAGGGGTGATGCGGGGAGTGGGGAGTGGTCCTATTGCCATATGCGTGGGGAGGAGTCGCTTACCCGAGTACGGCGGGTTAGTCACCATAATGTCGTACTCCGGCAGCTCCCCGGCTTCCAGGTCCTTGTAAAAGTCGCGCTTCCTGCGTGTGCATGCGCGTGGTGAAGGGGCAAGTGGATACGTGTGATGGTGTTGTGTTGAAGGATTGGTCACTGCCGTATGCCAAAGCGTTGTCCAACAGGCTGACGGTCAAAACACGACAGGCCCTTCATTTGGGAAACGGGTCACTATGGTTAACCCTGCTGCCAAACCATTGTGGCTTCTGACCTGTGGATGAAGTTGGTGAAGCCCAGCGCCTCATAATGCCGCCTAATGCCCCCCTTGCAAAAGAAGGGGTCATACACCGCCAACTCCGAGGGTTGCTTGCGCAGCTTTTTGCACAGCTGCCTCAAGATAGGCTCAATGTCCTGGATAGCGCGGAGCGATGTCTCAAAGTGGTCGTTATAATCGACTGCGGAGGAGATGTCAAGTGCATGAGCTGGCAGAACAACCTCCAACAAACGAACGGCACCAAGACGCTGCCGATACCTTCAAACGGCCAGAAGTCCTCGTTTATGCGCTTCTTCTTCTTAGGCGACTCATGATTGACCACCGTTGGCTGCTGCGCAACCGTCGCCAAGCTCCGGTGTCCCATCTCCGGCTTATCTTTCGCCTTCCGTTTGACGCCCTTTGGTCCTTGCGTATCACCGGCATCCTTGCGTTCCTTTTTCAACTCGGCCGCCGAGCTTTTCTTCGCGGCCTTTGGCTTTTCAGCTTTTAAAGCAACCTTAGGTTTTTGCTCTTTAATTGAGTTCTTTGCTTTTCCGCGCTGTTGAAAGAGACCGCTAAAGTCGACTTGCTCAGTGAAGGGTTCGTCCGCATCCATTGCTTGCTTCTACATGACAGGTACAAAGGAAGCGGCAAGACAACAAAGGTAGCGTGGGAAGAAGGCTATACAAATACGAGCTATGGATTGTCATGCAAACGAAGCGATGATTGCTGTTGCCACGAGCTAAGTCGTAGAGAGTTTGCTACTGCCGTTCCACGCCTCTGCAAACCCCGTATGTGGTCGGCATCCTGAATGCTTATATTTTGCCTAATGGACATATCTCTCGTGATCGCACAATTGTTGTGTAGTTCCCGCCGGCGACTGAGTGTTCCAGTTAATGCCAGAGGTGCGTCGCATCATACGGGCCAAGGACAGGTATTGCCCACATAGAGGTCAGCACTCAAGTCCCCATCCGCAACCCCATATCGTATACGGTATCTGCAGCGTCCAGTTCAGGCAAGATAACAAATTCCGTGTTTCCGTCTGGGTATGCTCGCAGTCGCTGTTCATTAGTAAAGCATGCACCGACCAACCCACAGGTAAAAACGTAGTCCCCTCCTGGACATGCCACTCGATAGGGCCCGAGGACGGTTCTATAGGCCCCGCAGCTCGCACGCGCAAAGTGGTCAGTGCATTAATGTCACCCTAATAATGGAAAATAGAGCGGTCTCCCGTCACGTCCTCTATCGCAGCTCCCAACCCACCGACCATACACCCTTCCAAGAAGCCCACACATAGTGAACCGTCATGCACCTCAGGCTCTTCTAGGCGCGCAACAGACGCCCATTCGGCCTAAGCGCCCCACGAAACGACCCATGGGTCACAGCTCACCGTGAGCCCCCCTCCATTGCTTTTCTCTTTACGCACGCCCGGCTGGTAATCACAGCGACGGCATGGCACACGCCTTGCCAACCGTAAACACACCGCCCCCCAGCCGCTTTCTTTCCGCACTGAACCTGGGGCTGCTGGAGGGCCATCCACCCTATCCTCGCCCTCGTTAGGCAATGAAACATCTACTAAGAAACATCCTTAACACCCTAAACCACAACATTCACAAGTATAAGGAACCCCCAATACACATCTCCGTTGGTCGCCTCACGGCTTACCCATCCACGTCCACTTTTCCCAATCTCATCTCCCAGAAGCCACTCCGGACCCTACAATCTCCCGGGGCACTCGCCCTGCGCTCTCGTACCTCGCTCCCCTGCCGCAGGTCCTCATCACATTCCTCGCAAGGCTACCTCCCTCCCTTACTCGCCTCACGAAGCCGCTGACTGCTCATGCGGCTGCTGCATCGGCTGCTGCGGCGGAAGTGCAGCCTGTCCAGTACAGACCTCCGTACCTCCCATCCCGTGCATCGGTTGCGGGAAGGAGCCGGCTTCAAGCGCTTGTTGTTGCGCTGATGGCTGCAGCTCGTAGGGGTTTGATAAGGACGGGTTTGTGAGGGACGGCGGCTCGCCGCTGGGGTAGTGGAGGAGCGGGGAGTGCTGCTGCTGCTGGGGCTGCTGGGGCGGTAGCTGCTGCTGTGCCGGCATTTGGAAGAGTTGGGCTGGCTGTTGGGGCACTTCCTGAGGTAGCTGCAGCTGCTGCAGTTGTTGCTGCTGTTGCAGTTGTTGCTGCTGCTGCTGCATGAAATGGTGATAGAGGAGTTGTTGCAGCTGAAATGCCTCCAGCTGCTGTTGCGGCTCTTGCAGCTGCGGTTGCGACTGCGGCACTTGATCCTGCAGCTGCAGCAGCTGCTGTTCTTGTTGCTGCTGTATAGCAAGCACTGGCACCTCGCTAGAGTGGGGCGGCGAGGAGTGCTGCTGCTGCTGTGGGAGCAAGGCAGGATGGGCGGCCTCTTGCTGTGGCTGCTCCTGCAGTCCTGCTGCGGAGTAGGATGCGAGGTGTTGTTGCTGCTGCTGTAGCTGCTGCAGGAAGTCTTGAGTGTTGTCCAATGTCGCCATGGAGTGTTGATCTTGCTGCTGGTGCTGCTGCAGTGGCTGCTGCTGTTGCAGCTGTTGTTGGTCTTGTTGAGGCGGCGCCGCCGTCAGTAAAGAAGGAGCTGCTGCTGCCAGGTCGCTGTGTTGCATGATGGCTGCCTGCTGCTGCCCCCCGTGTAGCATCACGCCATCCTCCTCCTCCTGCTGCTGCTGCTGTGGCGGCGGCAGCAACCCGGCGCAGGAGGAGGCGACAGAAGCGCCGGCGGTTGCATCCAGATGGTCTGGCGTCAGGTGCGGGAGGTGTGGCTGCTGCTGCTGCTGCAGCAATGAATGCGGGTGTACATGAGGGTGGGAGTCAAGCAGCTGCTGCTGCACCTGTTGCTGTTGCATGGCCTGGTCTTGCAGCAACGGCGATGCCTGAGGTTGCGGCTGCTCGGGTGGTTGCAAGTGGTTGTGTTGGGGCGCGGGCGCCGCCTGCGGGTGTGCGGGCGGTTGGGTGGTTGCTAGCAGCTGCTGTTGCAGTTGCTGTTGTTGTTGTTGCTGCTGTTGCAAGGCCTCCAACCAGCCCTGCGGTGCCCCGGACACCGCCACCGCCGCCGGCTGCTGCTGTTGGGGGCCCAACTGTGCGATAGCAGCAGCCGCAGCTTGCGGTTGTGGTTGCAGCGCAGGCGCTTGCTGCTGTTGCAGGTGCTGCTGCAATTGCAGCAGCTGTTGTTGCTGCTGCTGCTGTTGTTGAAGCTGCGCCAACTGCTGAAGCAACTGCAGCTGCTGTAGCTGCTGCTGCTGCTGTTGTTGCACCACAGCCGCCTGAGGAGGCTGCTGCTGCTGCTGCTGTAGCAGCTGCTGTTGCTGCTGTTGAGCCAGTGCAGCAGCAAGCGCCAAACGCAGTCCTACCGGGTTGCTCAGCAGCTGCGCCAGTCCCCCTGCACCGCCTGCTGCTGCTCCCATCCCGCCGGCTGCACCCGCCAGCCCCATCAGCAACGCCAGGGAGGGATTCTGGCCCGGCAGCCCCACCCCTCCCATCAGGCCTGCAGGAGCAGCAGCCCCAACAGCAGCACCAGCGGCAGTAGCCGCGCCGTTGCCGGTGGACCCTGCAGTCCGACCTCCCCTGCCCCTGCCGCCTCCGCCGCCTCGCCCCCTGCCGCCGCGGCCCCTCCCGCCGCCAGCCCTGCCACGGCCCCGCCCGCGTCCCGTGCGTCTGCAGCGCCCCTCATCCTCGTCCGCGCCTTCCCGGTAGTCTGAATCATCCGCGTCATCCACGAACAGCGGTGCGTTGTCTTCGTCCATAAGCTCCTCCGCTGCCGCTTCCGTCTTGAGCTTCTTAGCGCTGCGGCCGCCGCCGGCGCTACCGCTGCTGCAGGCGCGGGTAAATCCGGAGACCTGTTGAGAAGCCGCCGCTGTTACCCCCGCAGCAGCAGCCGCAGCGGCGGCAAGAGCAGCAGCATCCATGGCTGTCGGCGCGACATGCAAAGAGGACGGTATGACTCCCGCCATGGCCCCCATTCCTGCCATGGCCGCCGTCGCCGCCGGCGGCCATTCCGCCTTAACACAAGCGATGGCGTCGAGGCCAGCGCCATTGCCTACACCGTTGCAGCCGGCCTGCCCACCCCCGCTAGAGCACCTGCTCTTGGCAGCAGCTTCAGCCATGCCCGCAGCCGCAGCTGCTGCCGTCACCTCCCCAAATCCACCATCCTCCACCTTCACCTCCGCCGGCAAACCACCGCTACCACCGCTCCCGGCCCCCGCCACTGCCGCCGCCTCCACACCCTGTGGCAGGGGCAGTGCCGGAAAACCGCCACAACCGCCTGTGCCGTACATGTTGCTGCCACCCTCCGCTGCCGGTAACATACCCGGCATAGTCGCTGCTGCTCCGAACCCATTCCCATGAAGTCCGTTCGGCAGCATGCCGGCTCCAACAAAGGCTGCAGCGGCGGCGGAGCAACCCGACAGGGCAGTTGCGCCGGCTTCTTCCCTGCCGCCTGCTGCGCCCCCACCTGTGGGTAGTTCGGCAGGCAGGTGTCCTTCATCTGCTTCAGACCGCAGCAGCCCCACCTCCGCGCCCCACTGCGCGGCCGCCTCCACCGCCGCAGCGGCTTCCAGCTCCTTCATGGCTTCACCTACGGCCATGCAACCACCACCAGCACCAGCACCTGCAGCCGCTGCGAGCGCTTGAGCCGCTCCTGCGGGAGGTGCTTCCGCTGGGGCAGCAGCCGCCGCACCCACCGGGGCAGTGGTCAGGGCCAAGCCGAGGGGCAGCGGCGGCGGCGGAGCCAGTAGATGGGCGTACGGGTAGCAACCGCCGCCGTTGCCCTCTTGCTGCGGCGGCAGCGGTGGTAAGGGAGGTGGCGTGGCTGAATCCAGCTGCTGTGGCGGTGTGGGGTGCAGCCCCGCCTCCGCAGCTGCTGTTTGGGGGTGCGCAGGGGGGCCTCCTGATGCCGCTGTTGCTGTCGCTGCTCCGCCTAGCTCCTCGTCCCCATGCGACACTTGCTGGTGTGGTCCCGTTTGGTGTGGGTGCGGGTGCTGCTGTTGCTGAGGAGGCAGTAAGTGCCCGTTGCCAGCTATACCGTTCATCCCTAACAACAGGGCCGGCGGAACAGTCGCGCATGCAGCACCTCCGCCGCCGCCGGTGCCACCAAGCAACGCCGCAGCCCCGGCGGCCTCAAAGCCGGCCACCGGAACCCCCGCTGCCGCGCCTGCTGCCCCAACAGCAGCGACCCGTGGGTCACCCCGCGCCTCTGCGCCTCCCCCTCCTTCTCGTCCGCCCTGCTGCCCCTCCTCCTCCATCTCCCGCATGACCGCTTCGCGTATGCGAGCCGCCATGGCGGGAAAGGCCACGTCGCTGGTCTCCCGCACGTCCAGTAGCTGTAGCCCGTTGGGGTTGGAGAGCGCGGAGAGGAGATTGAAGTAGGGCTCCTCGCTGGGGTTGATGAGCACCTGTGAGGAGGGGAGCCGGGGCAGCCGGGAGAGAGCGGGAGCGGGAGGGAGGGTGAGGTGGGAGGAGGCGAAGGGCGGTGGGGGGCTATGGCCTTTCCGGAGGGCAGCAAAGGAATATGATATAGGCAGAGGACGCGCATCGCACCCTCACACGCATTGTCGCCCCAGCCCTCGAACCCTGCCTTGACGCAACACCCGCCACAAACACCCAGCCACTCCCCCCACCCACCTGCGGTACGGCATTCAGCCGCCCCAGTGTGCCCAGCATGTGTCGTACGCGCCGGAAGTACTCGACAGAGGCCGACTGCTGGAAGCTGATGCCCGCCCACACCACCATGTCGCACACCTGACGCATCGGGAAGGAGTTCAGGTGCAGAGGTCTTAGGAAACGTGAGGAGGGAAGCATGTGTATCCGAGTGGCAGGGATAGGTGCACCCACGCGTGCATGTGTCTCATGCATGCATGCACGGATGCGTCTGTTGACCCGTCTACAAATCACAAAACACGTGCAATATGTGATGTATTGTCGTACATACACAGCACGTTCCGACTCGCGGCCGGGTTTTGTGAAACACACCCACACACACCTTGAGATCCTCCTCCAGCACATCAAACACGTGCTCCGGGGTGATGCAGTCGCCCTCGCCGTCGTCGTACAACATCACCTGGGCAAATTGTACGACACATGGGGCCAAGTTACGGCATCTCACAAGGTGTTAACAACATCTTGTAGCCGTAGTAGTAGTGGCAGCTAACGGTACCTAACCGACTTCGCAGCCCCCTTCCCTGCCTCCTCTCCTCCCCTCCGCCGCCCCTCCACCGCTGTTCCACTTGCCTTGAACCTCAGTTGGTCCTTGCCGCATGCGCCGCACGGCACCGGCTGCTGCGCGCGCATGAGGTTGATGTTGTGGCGGCTCAGCGACTCCACGGCATGACAGCTGGGACACACCAACTGCCTGTTGAGGGAGTGGGGAGTCAGAGACCATACAAAAACCATAGGGGATGGGACGGGGAAGCACGATACAGGGGGCATAAGCGGGGGAGCCAGGATACCGGCGTGAGGGAAGGCGGGATGCTCAGCATTTGGAGGTCGTCGGAACAGCTGGATGCATGTGTGTCCTGTACGCACTTCCTGTGTACTGAGCGGAGCGGGGAGGGAGTGAGAGCTGAAGTGCATGCGCGGGGCCAGCCTGGTTTCAAACACCTATCGCCCGCCTTCCATCTACCCCCACTCCCGCTTTTACCAGCCCCCCCCCGCCTCCCACCTGATGTTGCCGTGCATCTCCACCGTGGAGCCCTGTGGGTTGCGCTCGTGGTGCCACGTGTCCATACCCACCACCTGCACGGCCGTACGACCCGCCGTACAACGACAGAGGCGACCAGCATGATGAGTCAGCATGTACAACAACGGATATGTAGAGATGTGTAAGGGCATTGCAAGTCGTATGCAACGACTGGTGTTGTGCACGAAACCTCGAGCCCAAACGATTACATCCAAGGTAAACCCGCCCGCCCCTGACAGCAGCACACCCAATTGGATCCCTCTTGTGGTCCTCTTTTCGCCCTGCCAGCCTTCCTTGTCCCCTCACCCCTCACTCCCCTCCCACCATCTCTGATGCCAGAGCATTCCTCCTCACCCACTCCCTCCTCACCCACTCCCTCCTCCCCTCCTGAACACCCACCTCTGACAGCCCGTCAATGTTTAGCGTGTAGTGCCGCTGCAGCGCCCCCAGCTGCAGCAGCTGCGACATGGCGTGGTGTCCGGTGGCGGCCCGGCTGGCCTGCGCCTCGGAGTAGATCTGGGCGAAGAAGGCCTGGGGCAGGCGGGTGTGGAGGGCGTGGAGGGGGAACGGGTACACAGGGTTGTCGTTCGTAATGCGAGTACGGCAATGTGAGTGGGGCAGTAGTGTTAGGATGGGGCAGGGGAGCAGAAGGGGCAGGGGGATGGGGATGGGAGGGCATGGGTTGTCTTGCAGCAAGGCCCACGTAATCCCCCCAGGTCCCGCACCTGCACTTCCGCTCGGCGCTGCCGGTAGAAGGAGTACGTGAAGAGCTTGATGCCATCCTGCACCTTGAATTTCTTACGAGCGCGCTCATACAGGCCGTTGCGGGTGCTAAACATGGACATGCCTTCAAGGCGGAGAAGGGATGCAGGAGACTTAGAAGGTGGGTTGCGTTGCTAAGAGGCAAGTGTGACATGTCAGGTAACGAATTGACAGCAGGAGCAGGTAACAGAAGCGGTTGCACAGTCTCAATGGCATGGCCGTGTTCGTGTCGAGTTAGGCAACGCCGAGCAAGGGTTGTAGTCTCTTACCTGACGCCGCAGAAATGCCGCTCCCAGTGAATAGGATGATGTGTCTGCATCGCTCCGCAAGGTTTAGCACAACGTCCAGTGACACCTCGCTGCGATTAGCATAGGGGAAAGGCATCGCCCAGTTGCACACCGTGTTCCGTCAATGGACGTAACGCTGGTAGTAGTGAGCATCTACGCATTTAAGCTGGCCGTATCAAGTGGCCCAACCGGCAAACTTAGTCCACAACGACGCATTGCTGTTACCCTTCAACCAAGCCCTGCCCTCTTCTACTTACTCCCCGAAGCGCGCAGTGATACGTCGTTTTCGAAGCTCCATGCTTTGCAGTGTTTCAAACAAGATAGATTCTAGTTGGCGTATGAAGGCGCCATTGACGCGCGGTTGGAGACATAACAACGTGAGTAAAGCCTAATACCTTTGAAAAGGCATTGTTCAGGTGTGTACTGATAGCATATCTACTGGCAAGCTCGTAATCCGCCTCTAGGCCAATCATGTGCCAGCAATTCATGCATGGAGGGCATTTTAGCACGAGCTTTAAATGCACACAAGTATTTTTTGTTCTCTTTCAGCCATTGGGTTTGGATAGCGCGGAATGACCAAAACACTTATTGACTCGGGCGCAAGCTAACCGCCCGTCGTCCTTCCCAGGCGGCATTCCTTAACATGGAAATGGAGACCGGGAGGACACGTGTCATGCGTAGCTGCGGGAAGAGTTTCACCTCCTCATTCGTGTCCCAGGGGTCAGCTTTGCATCTTAACGCACCTTGGCTTACACGCAAATACAGAAGATACCTTCTTCCGAAGATTGCCGGCCGTATTAGGCTTGGATGCTACCAAGGGCTGAGCATGCTGTCCCATTAACTTCCAGTTCACCGACGCGTTTGCCTGAAGGTCCTCAGAAAGGATACCATCCCGCGCACCACCTGCGGCTGGCCACAGCACGCAACAAGCCGTCCGCTCGTCAGCACGACTCCACCATTTTGCCTGTCTGCCAGCCACGTACCGTGTGGAATCGCAGCCAATGGTGTCAGGCGTTTGCACCCTTCCTCTCTGGAGAGTTGCGGCTTAGCTCCCTTAGCTGGCGACCCCATAACCTTAGCCTCATAGCCAACAACAGGGCACGTCAGCAGCCGACAGCGGGGCGCGCCGAGGGCGGCGGCGAACCTTACCCCGCCAGGATCCTGATCCTGGCGCCGCCGCAGGCTTGGATTTGCTACAGCCGCGTGGTGGCGAGCGTTGGGATTCGGCGGGGACTTGCATGGCCGCATTACGGCACGAGGAGCGGCGGGAGGCCAGCTGCTCGGCACCCACCCTCTACAATCCCACCCTCTGCATGCCGGTGCGAGTGTGGGGGCCGGCGGGGCTTGCATGGCAGCCTTACGGCACCTGGAGCAGGGGATGGAGAAGTCGAACGGGGATTTACTGGCCCTAGGCTGCGGCCAGCCCTCAGCGGCGCTTCCTTGTTTCAGGACTTGATTATAAAGGCAATCGATGCGGGGTTGGAGCCGTTCGTTAGGAAGCATACTCAGTTATCCACCTTGTAGCCGGAGAACTCCGAAACACCAGCAGCCTACAAAAGGTCGATGCACTCGGAGCAATGTATTGGAGCACCATGCATGTGTCGCAGCACCCACGGCAAGAGCCGCCTCGCTCCCATGCGCAGGAGCATCCTGGAGCATCCGGAAACTGCTGCGGCGCGTGTGGAGGTGACTGGGAGTAATAAGGACCTGAAGAAGCAAGGCCATGAGCTTCCGCAAGACGGTGATCTGCACCTTGCACAGCAGGCGCACTTTTGGGTGCACAAGGGCCAAGGATGAGTCCCTTGCTGGTCAGGAGTACGCCGGCATGAGCTTCGACGAGGCGTGCGACGACCTCCGCGCTGCATTTAACACGCTGTAGTGGTATATAGGATTCGGATTGGTTCTTCCCCCAGTGTGAGCACCCTGATGCGCAGCGTTCGAGAGATGGTCCCATCTGAGTGTGAGAAGAAGATTGCAGAGCGACTGTACCTGGACCTTCAGTAACGCTTGGGTAGGGCACATTATACTCGGGTTGTTCCTTGGTGCTTAGGCAGCGCGCAAGTTTGAATGGTGCTGCATTAGTAACAAATATGTGAAGCGAGGCCGGTTTGCAGGCATGCCTTCTCCGCACGTCACGCTGTGTGGCAGCTGTTATGCTTGGGTTGTGCCGTACTGCGTGGGCAGCGTAGTCCCAGAGTCCTACTCTCATCGTTTGGTGTGGTCGATTTCTTTTTTCCATTGCGGACTGCTTCTCACTGGCAAGGCATTACAAACGCACATTACACTCATTCTCGGGGTTAACACTTTGCAAGGGGCTCGCTTCTGGGATTTCGGGGTGCGGAGTTAAAGAAGGAACGGAGTAAGGAGTTTGCGGGTGCTTGGCTGTAATCAGTACTCGTTCAATGGCCTACAACACGGTATGTGTCACGGAGTGCAAAGCCTATCCGTACTGGGGTGTACGGTTTTCAGTTGTGATCTTGTGTGCTGTATGACCCCGTGCACACGTTCTCCGAACACTTTTACCCTGGAAACTAAACTGTGCGTTTCCTATCGAAGGTGAGCACAGGCTTGTCCTGTAATTGGAAACGATAGCGTGGGATCCAAGTGTGACGTCCTATGGGTCGCGATCCCAACACTATGGGCAAACGAACGGGCTATTGTCCTTACGAGGTTTCTGTGTAAGCCTTTGTTTTGTCTTGCTCTTGTTCCAAACAAGTAGGTAAAAGTCACCATGGCGACAAGCCACGCTTTGCTATATTTTTTTGTAACCCCACTAGTTGCGGTAACCTTTTAGTGATTCATGCAGATGACATGCTTGGGCAAAGGACATTACTTTTGCCGGCAGGTCGGCTACTCTTTGACCAGTGCATTCGTTGAGGTCGCGGAAGCTGCGAACTACCAATGTAGGAACCACGGGGTCACATGCATTCGGTTTGTCTAGGCGAGACAATTAGAACAGAAGTTCGTTTGCAAAGGGTGGCTTCCCGGCCCGCATCAGGGTAAGGGTCCGGGTTTGTCAATCCGCATAAGGCGTTAATGCCTAGATGATATTATAAGCTCGTACAATTGCATAAGGGGTCACGAAGGGGTCTCCAAAGGGTCTCATCAACTTCCAAAACTGCGCTATGCACCTCCATACGGCCAAGCCATGTTTGCAAGCTCTGAAGAAACACAAACATGCAAGAACCTAAGCTTAATTGCAAGCGCTGCTACAGACCTCCAGTGTTGTCCGCATAACGTAGCCACTTGTATGCCGTACTGCAAGCCTCCCTGGATAACGACTCCACTCCATTGCTTCGAAAAGGCAACATAATTTAAGCACAATCTTGACACTAACAATTATTAACGGTGCTACGATCAGTGCTACCATTAAAGTAACGACCTTAATTTCCTCCTTTTGAATCGACAACCCCTTCCATAACCATGGCGATGCCAATGCCAACGCCCGCTGACCGGGAGTGGACCACCGGAGTGTTCAGCTGCTGCAGCTACCCCGGCGGCATCGGAAATTGCTGTAAGTTGCCCCTGCATGGGGTGTTCGTCTTCGCTTCCAAACAGTTAGTGGTCCCAACAGCACTGCATTGATGTTATTGTATTGCACTGGTGGTGTGGCCAACCTTTTTGGGCGTCATTCTTGCGACCTGCCGAAAGGCCTTCGATGGGCAGCTCGGTCGCAGTCGACAGGTCACGTTAACAATCCCACGTTAACTCCACCCCGCTACTTTCCTGCTGCAGTGTACACTTTCCTTTGCACGCCATGCTCCTTCGGCCAAGTGGTTGCTCGGATGCCGCCCCAGGTAAGCTCTTCAAGAGACTTGTCCGCTTCTTGGAATTCATTCTTCACGCGGTCTAACTTCATATCCCGAAAGTCTTTATACGCATCTTAATGTGCTGCTCTTTGCGAACCTGTTGTCAACTTGCTTGGCGGCCGCGTCCTACAACGCATGCTCAATTCCTGCTTTGCTCAGTCATTGTTGTTTGCACACTCTTGAGACATACACTTTCCAACTCCATTGCTACGAAGTTTTCGGGGCGGTGTACTCAGTCAAACCTCCCACTTGTGCAACCACCAGGTCTGCTGCGGCGGGTCCTGCTACGGCGCCTGCTTCGCTTACTCCCTCCTGGCTGAGTGCGGCCTGTGCTGCGCCATGCACATCCCGGCGCGCATGTGGCTTCGCGAGAAGTACGGCATCCCCGGCGACTGCTGCACCGACTGCCTGTACACCACGTTCTGCCCTTGCTGCGCGATTTGCCAGGAGCACCGTGAGCTCCTCATCCGCGGCGTCGTGTACGGTGAGTTTACTTGACCTTCAGCTTGCTGTTGCATTTCCATTTCCAGTCACAAACAGTGGGTCTGTGCATTACCGATTGCCACCCTTCCCACCTTCGTAAGATGCTTAGCGTCCGGTCTTGGGCAGCACTGTACCATAGCCGCGGTTGTCATCTCCCGAAACGCCTCATTACGAAGCCCACCCGTAGCACCATATCCTACGAACGCACACCAACCGGTTTCCCCCTCCCAATCCCCTGTGTTTTGCTTTCCCACAGCCGGCATGGAGAACAAGCCCGCCGGGGCTGCGGCAGGCATGCCAGTGCAGATGGTGATCAACGTGAACAACACCAACACCAACAGCAACAACAATAATCTCGCTGCTCCCGGTGCTGCACAGTAGGTGTTCCCTCCGTGAACCCAGCTGTTCGCATGGGCGCTAACAGCAGCTGTACTGTGCATGGGAAAACACATGCCTAAACTCTCCTGGTATGTGGCCTAAAGCTGATTAGCAGGTCGGTGCCGTCTTGATGTTGGTGGTAAACGAGCATGAGGTGTGGCTCGTGGTGCGTACGTGTGATCTACATATGTGCGTGCTACGCAACTGTGTTTTTAAGAGTTGTATGTATTGGCGTTCACGTTGGCGTACACACCTGACTGATATTCGTGATTGACCTGGTTGGCGTACGTTGCGAAGTTAATTGGATTTTAAACGTCCATGCAAATGTTTGTTCGGCGTTTATCTGGGGCATGTGCGCGAAAATTGGACTGTGAAGTGTGCCTGTGCCTGTGCAGTGAAGAGCAGTCCTGTAGACTTGAAGATACGCTCGGAAGATAGTCGCTCGCATTGCGGCTCGGGGTTGGTTGGTTCAAGCAGAACTGTATAGTGGTAACTACCCTGTTACTGCTGACACTTTATTGCCCCTGTTGTTCACTCTGTACACAACACAAGGGCCGTCATTGGCCGACCTGGCTTACATTTACCGAACCCCTATATATATTTGTGCATGCCGACCTCACGCGATTGTCCGTTACAGTCGTAACGCTCATGTCAGGAGATGCCAGGCTCCTTTATGCATGTTGAGCCTATTTGGCACGTGAAGAGGTGGTTGTTCATCTTGACACGCTGTGCACCTTGTAATAAGTAATATCTGCCAAGACAAGGGCCCGTACGGACTCAACTGTGCAACCGTGCAATCACAAGCACACTGCTGCCCATGAGGAGCAACGCCAAGTGTTCCAAACCAACGGCTAATGGTGCCCAGCAAAGAAAGCCACATCGTTGGCACCACCGTGTGTGTATGACAGCGACGGGCAACCATCGCCGTCTGGGTGCCAAATGGCGATGCTATACTCAACAGCAACAGCTGTGTGAGCTTGTTTAATCAGCCCAAGCCCCGCCCGTCCTTCAACCTATGTCAGCAACTCAGCATGGCTGTGAAGAACAGTAGGCTGCAACTGCAGCAGCTTCTGTAGGACCTGCGCGTGTCAATCTTGCTTCATTTGCACCTGCAACTGCTGCGGTGGCCGCGAGCGCCGAATCTCAGACGTTATGAGTGATCGGTGTGAAAAGTTATTTTTATGAGCGACCGCTTCTCTTCAGCCTTTTCCGTGGCTGGCCTTCAAGCCAAGTCATGAAAAGATAACTGAGACGTGCTTAGGCAACGGGTGCACGTAAATAGCACAACTTTGCTTCGATCCAGATAATGAACTCCGGTCTTTCGTTGTAGCTGCTTGGCTATACGCTGAAAGCTTGTCACTGTATACGTATCAGTAATATCCAAAGACAATTTGTAACATACCAAAGGTCAAGCCGACCACGTACGACCGACTAAACGTCTCCAGCTCTTCTCATGCCACCCATTACAATCCTTAACCACCTGCTCTTAATTTGCCTCTGTAAAATGTATCCTGTATATGTACGGTATCTCGGTGCACCGGTAAGGTACAGGCATAGGACATGTTCACGGTACAACCGTACCTAACGTCTTTGTCCGGACCTCGACATCTTATAATTAAGACAACGCCGCTGATGGGGCGTGCCAACCGGGAACGCCCTGTTGCGATAGAGCGCAAATGGTTACCTTCGTGTAAGCTGTTACCTATAGGCTCTATGTCGCGTTTTGAACTCGTCACGACCATACATACGCATGAGAACGCTGTAACGCATTTTGTAAGTAACGGAATTAATATCTTGGGGTGAACGTTAAGGGCGTGAGTTACCGTTACCGAAGCCGTGATCGCTGTTTGTTTGATAACTTTATGTCTTTTCTCTTCATCACTTACAGTATGCGTAACAGCGTTTACCTCGAATATTAGAATAATCAGGGCGGTTACTATGGGACTTGCCTAAGTTAGCCCAGCTAACTCTCCGGTGGGCGCCCATGCCCTACACGGAAATGTACGACCTTTGCCCGAAAATAAATGTCTTCAGCATTCGAAATCTTTGCATGGAGAGATGTGTCTTTCGTTAGTCGTTGACGTTCGCTATCCACTTTGAGCAAGGCAAGACTAGGGTAGCCTAAATAACCTTAGACCGCTGACGCGGGAGAGTAAAGAAGCAGCCTAGCATGGGTGCTGGCTGCTGTAAAAATATTCCGGAATTTAACCCGGACGGCGCGCCCAAGGTATGCACGGCCGAGTGAGCCGCCAGGCTGAGCAATCAGGCCCGTATTACTCTAAGGGAAGATGCATAGGAAACTTGCCATCGCCAAGACTTGCATAAAGCCTGGCTCTGTGCAGCTCGATACTTTGTTGGGCCTTTAGGTTTCAACTTTGATGTAGTTAGGGACACATCGAGACGTCGGAGTACGCCGGCGCCCTGACGTTGCTCTTGCTGCTGCATTCATTTTCTATCTTTTATTCGCAGGATCCGCAAACAAAGGAGCAAAAGAAAGAGGTAGGTCGCCGCGCGCCGGCTTCCCTTTTGCGGTCGACACGCTAAGGAATGAAGACTCCAGTGCTGGTAAACTGCTGCACCGAGCGCAAGGCGTGAACTGGTGGCTTTAACACTCGGCGCACTGAGGCGACTTTCGATTTGTCCCTAGCTGCCCTTTGCAGCTTACCTTATCCCGATGCACCTTGATGTACTAACCGCACACGCAAACGTATTACACTTGCTACAGAATTCGCCTTCAAATAATGTGTTTGCTACCCACGTTCTGCAACATTTACGCTGGCTGCTACAGGATGCCATCGAGCTTCGCCGAGCCGCCCGTGCTGCCGACTGGCAGCAGATGCGCCTGCTGCTGCGCCGGATGCCGCTGCAACAGATATGCAGCGGCGCCAAGAGGGACGAAGGGCTCGAAGAGGAGACCGGTACGTGTGGCGTAAGTGGACGAAGAAATCCATTTCTTAGGCGTCCCCAGCCGCCGTTTTCCAACTACCCAGCGGTTTGCCGCCGTTCACCGCTTACCTACTGGTATTAACTTGCTTCGTGCGTCAGTTGATTCATTATCTTACTTCCGCCTGCTGTGTGTCCTCCGTTACCTCAATGCTCAATTCCCAGGCAACACAGCGCTTCACTTCTCCGTTTCCATCAACCACCTACGAGGTGTGCGCAAGCTGTTGCGCTACGGTCTGCCTCCCAACATCCCCAACCAAGCTGGCCGCACGCCGCTACATGCGGCCCTGGAAGGAGGCAAGCTCAAAGCTGCACGGGTGCTAATGGAGCGGAGTGAGGAGGCACGGGCGAAGGCGGCCAAACCGATACCTGCCCTCGTAAACCAGAAGGTGGGCATCACACAACACCGACAACCGTGTCTTAGCTATGGCTCCCCTTCCGTAAGCTTCCGCGCACCGGAGCACTGCTTGGGCATGCATGCATGTTGCTTGTGTGCTCAACTACGCTTATGTAGGCTGTGTGGCTCAACTGCCTGCTGACGGTTTGGTTGGCACCACAGGACGCCTCCGGCGTGTCCCCGCTGCTGAGTGTCGTGTCATCAGGCCGCCTGCGCCTGACGAAGGAGGTGCTGGCGTTGGCCAAAGATCTGGGCTGTGAGGTGGAATGGGGCACACGAGACAAGGAGGTGGGTGATGACCCGTGGGTCGGGATGGATAGTAGTGACGTAGTGTTTTTAAGTGCACGTACGTCGGTGCCTCATCCATATTTCAATTATTGCATATTCTTGCGGCTCACGGTCCTCATCTGCAAGCTGCCCCAGCTGCTGTTGCGTGCTTCTTCAATGTACTTTCTAGTATCGTAGGGCCACTTTGAAACCCGGAAACCTACTTCTGTCGACTTGCCACACGGCCGCTCAATGCTGTTACTCCTCCTGACAGGGAAACAGCTTGCTGCTGTATGCTGCCAAATGGGGCTGGTTTGAGGAGCTGGAGGCGTGGTTGGGCCGGGCGGCGGCTACAGCGACGTTGGTGCTGAACACGCAGAACAAGCAGGTGTGTGGGGCAGACGGATGGAGGTCAAGAAGGCGCGTCTTACTGAGGCCGCTTGCGCCGGCGGCCTATGCTTGTTGTTGGTTAACAATGAGCCATGGGTCAGCTTTGCCGGGACTACGGGTTTGGTGACCCATTGGTCAGGCTTTCCCTTGCAATCACAGTTATGCGTCATTCCCCCCGTCCCTGTGACCGCTCATCCTAAACTCCTACAAAAGGGCGAGACGGTGCTGGGCCACGTCCTCCACTTCGCCGCCTCTGGCCTACTGCCGCCGGTGCGCTGCGGCCCGCTCGTGATACGGCTGCTGGCGGCGGGCGCACTGCCCAACCTGCCCGCCTTCCCCGAGCGGGTGCCGCTGCTGAACCTTGCAGCCGCGGCGAACGACATGGGCGTCTATGAGGTGCTCGTGAGAAAGGTGCGTTTTGCTGCCTGCTTAAACGCCACCGGAGGAAGACAGCACCGAGAGGGCGTCTCCACGGCATTGGGGTTAGTTGTATGGGGTTGTTGCTTCTGAACCCTGCCTGGACTGCTACTGGCAGCGCGGCTTTTCAGCCGCCCTTCTTTTTACGTTTACTAACGTAGCCAATCGCTATTTTAATGCTGGTCTGTCTGAGACGTCCCCGCCCGTGTCCCCTTTGTGCTACACCATGAACCTCACCCCAGGGCGCTGATCCCCTAACGTGCAAGGACGCCCTAGGCAGGACTCCGCTGCACTACGCGGGCGCCAAGGGTGCTTGCACCGTGGCCGCAGACCTAGTCGGCAAGGGACTCAAGGTGCGGCTGTACGACACGAGCGTAGCTAGCATGCCTGCATACCGGCACATAACGTGCATGCAAAGGGGATGTTCCTGACCGACAGCGCTTGCGTAACATAACACCTGGCCGGCCGGCTGCTGTGCACTTGCGCGTGCCTTAGGCACTGGAGCCCGCTGCTGGGTACGTGTGTACCCTACCGGCATGCATATGCTGGAGTGCACGGGTCCGAACACTGCCACACGGCCCGGAGTGTCCCCGATCCCGGCCCCGCCCCCTCAACCCTACCACTCAACAGCGTACACTAATGGCATGCAACACCAAGCCCCGCCCCTGCTGCATCCCTTCCGGACCGCTGTCCCCATCCAGGTGTATGTACGGGACACCCAGGGCAACACGCCGCTGCACCTGGCAGCCATGCGCGGCCAGAGGAAGGCGGTTGCGCTGCTGCTGGAGCGAGCAGATGACAAGAAGAAGGTGGGTGCGTGCTGCTGGCCTAGAGCTGCGGGAAGCAGAACATAGCTAGAGGACACGTGCACTTATCTGTACGCGGAGACTCAATAGCCCTTGCTTACACGTGTGACATGGGTGTAAGTGCGTTACGGGATCAGTTGGATAATGCAGCCGTAATGTCGGAACGGAAGCTAGTGGCTTAGCCTTAGATGAAAGTGCAGCAGCTTAGTGCTCACTTGCACAGTCCCTTCAGGGTCTTCATCACCCCGATAATTGGCGACATTCTCCTCCAACCCAATCCCTGGCTCCTCCTCAGGCCCTGCTGACCCCCAACAAGTCCGGCCTGTCGGCTTACCATCTGGCTCTCAAGGCTGGTCCGGATGACGAGGCACAGGACAACTCCCTCAGCCTGATAGACACGCTTGGAGAGGACTTTACCATACCCGTCATTGGACGCGGTAAAGCGGGTGAGTGCCGTATGTACGCGTGTACATTATACATTTACCGTTGCTGCTGTTGTTACTGCTTTATCTGCTCTTTCACTTGCTGTTTTTGGATTTCCCGGTCGCACAAACGCACAAATGCATGCATGATTTGCCCACGGCATCATGCATGCATGCATTCTTTAGTATTTCATAGTCCCCTGAGTACTGCCCCTCTCCTTTGCCTTCCTCCCCTTTCCAACTCCAGTCGTGGACACCCCGCTGCTGCTGGCCATCTCCGGACATCAGGATCGCGTGGTCAAGGCTCTCTTGGGCAAGGGCCTATCCCCCAACGAGGCCAACGTGCGCGGAGAGCTGCCGCTGGCCCGTGTCCTATCAGCCGCCACCGCGGCAACTTACGAAAACGACGCAACCATCTTCGATGCACTCATCGGAGCAGGCGCCAACATGGACGCGGCCAGCGAGACAGCGCACCCGCTGCTGGCCGTCTGCAAGAACAACCTATCGAAGTTTGCGGAGAAGGCGGTGGGGGTGCTGACGGCGCGCTGCGGGGTGCTGAACTGGGACAAGCGGGATGAGAAGGGCTACACGCCGCTGGCGCTGGCGGCGTATCATGACAACGCCTGGCTTGTGAGGTAAGGCCGAGGGGGGGGACGGGAAGAGATGCATGGGGAATGCTTGGGAGGTTGTGCGAAGGAAAGGGACTGGCAGGCATTAGGAACGTACCGGTAACGTTGGCCAGCGTTAGCGGGATGTTTAGGTGCGTTAAGGAAACTGCTGATGTAATAAGGCGCAACCGCAGTCGAACCAGCACTTAACTGCCCGCACCCCACCGCGCAGGTACCTTATCGATGAGGTCAAGGTGGACCCCAACGACGACTCCCAGCGGTCCGCATCCACCGCCCCGGAGGTTGTGGGCACCACCGGCAGCCTGTGCTGCACCAAGCAAATCATGATGCCCGGCACGGTGGAGGGCCAGACGCCGCTCATGTGCGCGGCCAAAGGGGCCAGTGTCGCAGCAACACAGGTTGGTCACTCGTCCTTACACGTGATTACTTTTGACTGGTTGCGTGCGTGCATGCACATCGGCCCAGGGCTAATTGCACTGACGTTGCTTCTGTGAAAGTCTAGGTTATAGAAATTAACCACGTTGCAGCCCAAAGAATGCATGCAGGCATGCAGGCAGACCGCAGACGACGACGCGCCGCCATCCTACCCATCTGCCACGCCTCCCAAGTCCGCTTCCAGCACCCAACTGCTATCCACCTGCCAGCCTCTCTTAACCTCTCCCTCCCAACTGCTGCTATCTCCCTCTTCCCTCAGCTCCTGCTCAATCGAGGAGCCCGTACGGACGCTGTGGACGCCACAGGCCGCACCGCGCTGCAGCATGCCATGCACATGGACCGGGCGGCCTCACTGCAGGTGGCGGCGGCACTGCTGCAGGTGCGTAGTGCAGCTGCAGTATCCTGCCTGCCTTGTTATTGCGTCGGCGTGTGCGAGTGTCTGGTAGTGCCCCCATTCGACAGCAATCATCGGCTTTCACAAGGAGAGTGCGTATTGGGTGTCAACGGCCTCTGGGCTGGATGCCTTAGGCGCTGGCTACAGTGCTGTACCCTCTTTTACCCGCGTCACATGACCCGTTTCACGGACGAGCTTCCCTTTCCCCGTGTGCAAACCAGATGGGCGCTGCGCCTGGTCAGGGAGTTCGTGTGAACGGCCCCGAAGAGTGGAAGGAGTGCATTGACTTGGTGGGGGAGAGCTGGCCGCACCGGGCCGTGCGTTACGGTAAGGGGTTGGGTGGGGTCCCTGGGGTGGGTTGGCTGGACTGGGTGGGCACATGCCTGGGGTACAACCGACTTCCAAGCCAGCGCATATATCGGTATATGAAATGCTGCTGCGGCCTTGCATTCGCCTGCATCCCAACCCTCCACCACCGCTGCCTGTTCAACCTTCATACCCTCCCTTGCCGTCCGTCCATTCCGCGTACTGGCCCCCTCCCATCCGGATGACTTAATGACCGCTACAATGGTTCCCTGCCTGCTGGTCATCCATGCCGTTATACCCAACCGCCTCCTACAGGCGTGGCCGGTTTCTTGCCCCTTTGGCATTGCTGTGGCGGCAAGTTGGAGCTGCTGGCAACCACCGCGGATGATGCGGATGACATGCCGGGTGCCGAGGTGGGCGAGGAGGAGAAGGCGGACTTCCTGGACCTGCCGGCGCTCCGTGTGGCCCGGGCGGTGGAGGAGGAGGATGAGGAACTGGCGGACGACTACAACGGGGAGGACAGCGAGGTGAGAGGGAAGGGGGAGCGGAGAACCGGGAACGGGAAGAGGGGGATGGTTTGATGGTATGAGGAGGAGTCGGTTGAGGGAAGGCGGGGGAGCAGGGTTGGGCTATGGTGGTCAGGGTCTCATGATGGAGGAGCATGGAGTAAGCATTAGGGTAGGCAGGTTGCTGCTGTCCCTGAAATGGCCTGTGGGCAACAGCGCCACCCTACAGCAGCAGCAAATCCCTCTCCTACGTTTGTCTTTGCCTCTTCCCCTCGAGCAGAAAGCTGCAGACCAAGACGACACGGAGGGCCAGAAGCAGCAGCAGCCCGCTGCCAAGCCCGCTGGAGCCGTGGGAGAGGCAGCTGAGCACGCCGGCGGCTCCTCCGATGATGACGACTGCGGGGAGGATCATGAGCTAGCGGAGCTCATCGCTGCCGGGCAGGTGGAGAGCCACTACAGCGGTCCCAGCCCCCGCATGATGCTGCGGTGGCGCCGGCGCGGCGCGGCGTGGTGGGAGGACTTCTGGGTTGACGCCGACTCGCTGCCTGACCCGGAGGTGGAGGGGGAGCCGGACTGGGCGGATAAGTATGGGCTGTGCGAGGAGGTAGGTGGAGCGGGGGGGCAGGAGCGGGGCAGGGGCAGGAGTGGGGATGGCGGCATGGAGGAGGGAGGTAGCAGGTTGAGGGTGACTGGGGGACGCTCATTTGTGTTGCGCAGCTCCATAAATACACCTGGTGGGGTGCTAAGAAGGCTGCTTACGTTGTGACCGTGATCGGTGCAGGGTGAAGAGTGGCTGGACGAGGAGGATGTGGAGGAGGAGATCTGGGAGGCGGTGCGCAAGGAGCAGCGCAAGGCCGCCGAAGCAGCGCGCGCACGGCAGCAGCAGCAGGCGGCAGCCGGGGCCGGTGACGAAGGCGTAGTCCCTCCCCTGACGCCTTCGCTTGTGGAGCGCGTAAGCAGCGGCCTGGCGCATAAGCTTTTCCGAAGGCGCCTGCCTAACGCGGTGTTTGTGGCGGAGGAGCAGGGCGACGTTGAGGGAAGGTAAGGGCGTGCGTGCGTAAGGGATGGGATGTGGGTGAGGAAGGTGGCCGCTTTGGGTCGGACTAGCATGGCTTGAATATGCGGTGATGGCAGTAATGGCAGCCTGGCATGGATCCATGCCAGGAAACACGGACCGGAGGCGTTCTCCCGTAACGGATTGCAAAAGCACGCCGCTTTGTCATGTATGCTCAGTTCCCGAAGACCGATTCTCCGACCAGCCTCTTGATTCTGCCAACAGTGTTGCCTACAGTAACGTAACGCACACCCCTCTCCTTGCAGCGGCTTCGCGGCTGGCAGTCCCAGCAAGTGGCTCCGTCGCAAGTCCTCAATCGGTAGTAACCAAAACGCCGTCAGCAGCAGCAGCTGCACCACTACTGCTGGACCGATTGCAGAGGCGCTAGAGGTGCGCTCGGACTGGGTGGGTGCCGTTTGGGGGCGTCCAGATAGTACCTATTGGTCTTGAGGACCGGCGCGCGCAGTGCATGCAGCGAGCAGCATCTGTTCTTATATAGGGCCCCCTTCATCCCGCTGCAGGCTGTCGAGGACGTCGAGGACGTCGAGGATGGCGAGGCTGTCCAGGAGACGGAGCAGCAGAAGGATGACCCCACGCAGCCGCTGTTCATGGCTGCATATATTAAGAGCACTGCCGCCGCTTGCACCCGCCGCGTGCGGAACAGCGTTCGTGCCAGGGGAAGCAAGCTGATGTCAGGCGTCAAGGGTGAGGGCGGGGGAGGCTGGGGGTGGGCGAATAGTACAATGAGCTACCAGCCCGGGAGGGCAGGAAAAGGGGACGCCCTTGCTGCTGAGCACCACCCATCCTTGCCTTACCTGCCGGCTTTTCCGCGGCTCAGTTTCCAATCCCCCACGTACGTGCGCCCCACCCCCTACCGCCCTACATTCGCCCCCCTCCCCATGCATGTCCCATAATCCCGCCCAGGTGAGAAGCTCTGGGCTAACGAGCCCTACTACCAGCCTGCGACGCGCTTCCAGGGCAGGCCTGGCTACATGGACGATGGTGAATATGATCTGAACGATGTACGGGTGGGGGAAGAAGTCACGACTTTGTACCACAAGTACGGCGCGCGGCCTGAGAGGGTGTACGACGGCATGGTACGGGAGTGGGAGGCGCGTGTGGCTGGCTACCGGATCCCTGAGGACAAGCTGCTGGAGGGGGCGGATCTGCGCGCGCGGTGAGGGCGGCCGGGGTTTTGGGCCTGGAGGGAGGTGGGAAGGAAGGTGGCGTAGATTGACGAGGATGGGGCGTTAGGGGAACGGTAACGCTGTGGAGAAATGGCATGGAGTGGGGGTGCGTTGGAGTGGGATGGCTGCGGTACAGCAGCCTCTGTGTAACCCGCAGGGAGGAGGGATTGCTGGCATGCAAGGAATTTGGTGTCGGTCTGTAGAGGACGCTCCTTCGCTTTGTCTTAAGCCCTAGCTTCTATACTTGCTATGGTACCTCCCCGCTCACAGCCCGGCCCTCTGCCCTAAATCCCTCACCCGCACAGCAACATCAAGTGGTACCACAAAAGCATGTCGCCAAACGAGTACCCCTTGAAGATTGGCAAGTGGAAGAGCTTTGCGAAGATGAGCGCAAAGGTGGGGGCGCACAGACCGGGTTGATGTCTGCCAAATAAGTGTGCAGCCAGCATATGGACGTGCATGCATGCAACGCGGTGCCTGAGCGGGGGGGGGGGTACAGTACGCCATGGGTACCCACCCGATCTTTCTTTCCTTGCCTATTGGACATTGCCTTGTCGACTACTGTTTTCCCACCTGCAGGCTGTGGAGGAGGCGAAGAAGCGCCGGCCACGCAAACCGAACGAGAAGCCCAAGATCCGCTCCAAAAAGGTAACGGCGGTACGGCAATACGGAGATAACGCAAAGATTACCTTTGGTGAACCTGAAGAATTCTTCCGCTGGGGTTGCATCCTTGCATGTGCATCTTGCACCGAACGTTTAGGCTGCAACATGTGGCGTTGGTAAAGGTCAAGGCCCTGCAGCTCTGGCTGCCAGTTCGTCAAGCAGCACATGCTCGCTTTACCGCTCGATAGTACTCGTTACTTTATCCCCCCCCCCCGGGGATAAACACGCTGTACTGTAGCCAACACTCTGTACTGTGGCACCCTGCCGCCTCCTATTCACCCTGCTTTTCCCTAACCTGTGGCATCGTCCCTATGGTATGGTATGATCGTTTGAAACCCCACCCCGATACCCGCGTGCCCATGGCTTACCATCGATGCATCCCTCGCTCCGTCCACCCGCCCTCAGGCCTGGTTCGGCCTGCCCGACCTGCCCTCCCGTCCCGAGCTGGCGCTCACCTCCCCCCTGGTGTACGCGGTACGGCTGGGCCGGGTGCGCTGCGCCGCGGAGCTGTGTCGGCTGAGCGGTGCGCTGCCCAGCATGCCGGATGCGCACGGACACTGCCCGCTGGCCTACGCGATGTTCATGTTGGCCAAGTAAGCTTCGTTTCTCATAGTATCCTTGGGCCCCCTGCTGGCTCGTACGGACACACCGTGCACGCGTACAGGTTGTGACTGTGACTACCGGTATAAGCGGTGAAACCTAGGCCTGGGCCCCCTAGCCGTCGGCCGCCTATCTACATGGTCCATCTTCCACTGGACTACTACTGGACTGGGGTTGGCGTTCCCTGGAGCCTGCTTACGTCAACTGTAGCTCCTAGCTACCCTTGCCTCCGACCACCTCCCTTTTCCCCTCGTTTCCCTTCCCTTCCCTTACCTCCGCATGCAGGGACCGCCACAGCAAGCCCCTGCAGCAGCTGACGGACCTGCTGCTAGCCGCCCGACCGGTGGTGGACAGCGCGATGCTGTGGCGCATGACACTGCTGCCGCGACTGAAGAAGGAGCTGGCGGAGGCGGAGGCGAGTGTGGCGGCGAAGGTATGTATGTGTACGGCGGGGCCGGAAACCCAGCAGGCCCCTTGGGCGTGATGCATTTGGCTGTCGGATGCGCGGCAGGCGCCTATAGGATGTCCCAGACGGCAGCAAATAGAAGTTTGTAGTTACATGGCGTATTAACGTGGTTGGTATTGATGTGGCTGGCGCTGGGATACCTGGGGCACAATGTTGCTGCGGACAGTCGCCGTGGCCGTTCTGCTGGCATGCTGCTGCTAGGCAACTTGTCGTACTTACAAGGATGGCTCGCTAAACATCTTGTGTACTGACCCGGCCGGAGATTGGCCTTGGCATGCGTCTGACCGGATTGCGGGTTAACCCTTTGGCTACTGCAGGGAGGCAAGGAGAACGTCAGCCGGCGGGAGAGGAAGGAGCTGATGAAGAAGCAAGAGACGGTGAGGAACCCGCTGGCTGGTGTCCCGCTCTGCGGCTAACCCACATGGCTGTCCGCCGGGAAACACGTACGACGCTCATGCTTCACCCCTGCATGCACAACGCCAACAAGCACATGCAAACACGCACATGTAAACGCTGTAGCCATTCCCATGCACCCCATTGTCCCCTGCACAGCTGGAATACCTGGAGAATGTGAACAAACTTCCGGACAAGGGCTACCGCTCGCGCGACTTCCCCTCCGTGATGGAGCCGCTGGTGGCCGCGGCGCTGCTCAACGACGTGGGGCGAGCGGCGGTGTTGATACGCCACTGCGGCGCTAACCCCAACAACGCCTTCGTGTGGCTGCCCGACATCCCCACCTATTTCAACGGCATGGTGAGGCTGCTGGTGGGGTTGCTGCCAAGCCGCCGGTAGTGTTTTATGGGCGTTATTTTGAGGCCTGGCATCGCTTGCATACCTCCGTTGGGAGGCGTGGTCTGCCTGTATGTCATGACGGGCTGGCCTAGCACTGTAGCGGCTTCCACACGTGTACGGCAACGTACGTAGGCACTTACGCTTGCTCTGCCACACACACCCCTCCCTTCGCGTCGCCCCATCGCTCCGAACGCCAGTGGGAGAAGCAGGTGGGGCGCTGCCGCAGTGTGGTGGGCCCGCTGCATGTGGCCATCGCCGGCAAGAAGTACGCCAGTGTCAGGTGGGCAGTATGTCTGTTGCTCCTGTTGATTGGTTCCGGTTGCTGTCACAGGCCCTCTTGCCAACAATGTTGTCATGGCGATGTTTCAGATGGTGCGCGGCATGTAGGGTTGCGTGTTTTACGGTAAACGGGTATCGCACCATCCGGACGGCCCCACAGAACACAGCAGCATCTGTCTGCATAGCGCTAGTCTACAAGTGGTTGACGTTTGGCGCCCGAAACGTGACATGCCGTACACCATGACACCATGACATGCACGCGCTGTGTCGTGACTTACCTGCCGTCGATACAGGGCTTTCCTAGACCTGGGCTGCGACCCCAACCTTTGCGGGGCGGAGTTCAGCGGCAATGTGTCCAAGGACCTGGCGAGGAGGGCCAAGCTGGCGCAGGAGAAGGCGCAACTGGGGAGCGAGACTCGGGAGGCGGTGAGGAGGGGCGGAGGAAGGCGGGCGGCGGGCTCCCGTGATGGAGGGTGCTGGGGCGGGTTGGCTTGGCACATCCCATTTCCATAATACCCCACCTTGCCTGTTTATTCACTCGTTCCTTTCTTCCCTCCTTCATCCCAGGCCCGCGACGCTAACCCCTACGCCAAGCTTTGGGCCGACAAGGCCTTGTCCATCAAGGCCAAGCTGCAGGGCGCCAAGCGCTTCATTGCCAGCATTGAGATCCCCGGCTTCAGTCGCCCTCACCCCTGGCTGTCCCCGCTGCACCTGGCCTGCCGCTTCGGCCTAGCGGACATCACCTACATGCTCATCAAGCGGGGTGCCGCCGTCAACGGCGGCGCGGCGGCAGCCTGCGCGCCCAAGAGCCCGCTGGAGGAAGCCCTGTCGTACGCGCGAGCTAACGCCCAGGCATACGGCACCACCGCTGAGCGCTTGAACTACACCACGGTCGTAAGTGCCTGCTGATGGTGTGAGGGCGTGAAGTCGAAAGGGGTGGCGCGGCGGCACGCCTAAACAAGAGTCTAAATTGTGGGAGTGCATCGTAAGATCGGCCCGTTTTACCATTTGTGGTAGGTGGTCTCGTGGTAGGTGGTCTCGTGGTAGGCCAACTGTGTGGCAAATGTGCGTTTGCTATCCTACATGTCCCAGCCGCCCCGCCCCCACCCTTGCCCTCCCTCGCATGCACAGATGGAGCGGGCGTATCTGGAAGCCACCCCCGAGAACCAGTCCGAGGTGGACGAGGCAACGGCGCAACAAAAGGTACGGTATTCCGGCCTGTGGTTATAGGGTGTGGATGTTGCAGTCTCCACGTCGCTTGTCCCTGTTGTTACCACGGCTTGCCGTCCTACTAGCTACCACGCAATCTGTACCCCTATGTATTGGTACTACCATAGTGCCACTGAGACCGCTTCTCGTAGTCATTACCGTAATTCCCCTCCAAACCGGTTAAGTCATGGTCTCTACATGTCTAATACGCATCTATCTACCTAACCCCCGCACTCAGGCCAAGTACGACGAACTCCTGCAGCTGATTGTGTACAAGGCGCAGCGGCTGGTCGAGGAGGGACCCAAGAACAAGGTACGTAGCTATCTGGCTAGGGGACATGTGCAGCTGCTGCTGCCCGTTGCCGTACCGTGCTTCCCAGCTGGCCGTACTGCCCAACACCTGTATCCTCCCGAGCAGGAGTTGCAAAATTTAGGCTTCACCTCCTACCCACCTGTATCCGCGCCTGCGCTACGCTGCCCTACATGGCTACCTGCACTCATCCTGCACCCGTCCTGCATGCGGAACCCTTGCACCCCCCTTCCTCCCATGCACCACAGCAGCGCCACCCTCCCTTCTGCTCCCACCTCTTTTCTCCCGCCTGCAGCAGGGCAAAATCCTGCTCTGCACCCGCCGCCTTTGGACCCATCCATATGCATGTACCCACTCTCCCTCCTGCGCACCCCCTTCCCTCACTCCACACATTGGGTAATCTTCTCTTCCCCTTTCCCGCCCTCACCCCTGCAGTACGGGCAACCCACCAAGAGCCCCAAGGACTTCCTTGACAAGCCCCTGAAGGCCCTCAACGCGGGCATGACCCTGGCTGACTGGACTCCGGAGGGGCTGGCGAAGCTGCCCGTACCCGGCATGGGCGGTGAGTGCCGGCAAGGAGGGTGTGGGGGTGTGTGTGGCACAAGGATGCGCCTGTATGTTGCCCCAACGCCTTTATTACTTCGGTGAGAGCTGCCCACCATCTGCTGGTGTTTGACGACCCACGGGTCGGTCCCGTCGCCCGTCCGTACAGGCATGGCTATGCTGAAGAAGGGGATCGAGATGGTGTCTGGGGTGCTGGACTACATGGATCCCATTGAGGCTTCACTCAGGGCGGTGGCCATTGCGGGTGAGCAACGGATGGGGAGGGGTTAAAGACCATACCACACCTTATAAAGGGGGGGGCATGGATGGGTCTTGGCATGTTGAGTGGGACCTTGCAGGCTTCGTCGGTATGTGGAAGCAGGGCACCCTTGCCGAATACAAGCACGGTACAAGCACTTTACAACCATGCTAGCCAGCAAGCGACCCTGCTGACGGCATTGGTAATAACTGTGTCCTCTGGGGGGTGGGCCCGCACTGCTGCATAACCGGTGCATGTTAACTAGACACCAGTATGCTTCTTAGCATTACAATAGGCTATGCGGTGCCCCACAAATTCTCCAAACCTACTTAAACCTTCCTGGTCCTTTATACTCGCCATCTTCCCGCCTCCGCGCAACATGGTCCCTCCCTCCCCTGCCCCCCGTTGGATGTATCCCCCCCCAGCCAAGATCCTCATCAAGATCTACCTGGAGATGGTGAGGGGAGCGGGCTGCTGCTGCCAGCCTGGTTGGCTGCTTCATTCCTACCTTGCAGGGGTTCCTCAATGGAACAATGGACTTACTACTGGCCGGCTTACGTATTGCAGTTCTTCCGCTCCGTTAATTCCCGCTCCCTTCCCAAGGCTTAAGGTTCCTTGATATATACTACCAAACGTACTCCCCTCCCCTCCCATGACTTTGCTCCCACTGATAATACCGTCAGTACATCCCACCCCCTTGCCCCTTGTACTTATTGTAGGAGTAAAGCCCCATGCATCCCATCACCCTCTAACCGCTTTCCGCCCTCCCACACAACCCCGCCCCTCCTACCTCGGGCCGCCCTCCCGCTTCACCCCCCTTCCGCTCAAAGATTCGGCGCCCCATCGCGCTGTACGACCCCGCGCTGGCGTGCGCCCACGTGATGCTGTGGCACCGCGCACCTATTAACGTGGCGGACAAGCAGACGGCCATCCTCATAAGGTACGGGAGGCGCGGAATTGGGGCCGGATTGGGTGGGGGCCCGCGATAGGTACGTAGCGCACATTAGCACAAACCCATGCATCTCGAATACGAGTACCGTACATGGCGATGACATACAGGAGTTCACCAGCAATCAACTGGGTAGGGCAGACCTCCACACCTCCTCCTTACTTAATGCTCGCAAGTTGGGGCTGAGATGGCGCCCGAAGTAAGGTGACACCGTCTACTGCTGTGTGCTGCCGCGCAATTCACCGCACGAGTTGCACCGCTTGCACGCCTTTATTTCTGCTGCTGCTGAGCACCCCCTCCACCCAACCCTACCCCACGCAACCCCTTGCTGCACAGGGACATCCTGGACAACGGCAACGCGCTCGAGGGCGCGGACACAAGCCAGTCCTACTACCGCTGGCTGGGCTTCAAAGTGGACGAGAAGGACACGCGCGACGAGGCCTGGGTGGCCACCGCAGTACAGCGCATTTCCGTACTCAAGTCAAACTTTGAGTACGGATACATGGTAGGTAGTGGGGTCCGGGTCCGGATCCGTTGCAGGAGGGAAAGAAGCTGGCGCCGTTGTTAACATCCCGGCTGCCGTGGGGTTGCGTAGGGAGGCTGATGAGCTGTCGAGGGAAGTGCGCGCGAATGGATGGGTTGCATGAATGGTGCCATCAGTGTCAGCCCTCGCGATTGACTGGTTGACTGCAGAAATTGAATCTGGCCACCGAAGCTGGCGAGTACTTGCGCCTGCACAAGAAGTTCATGGGCGAGGTGGACCAGACCATCATCAACACCGGCACAGAGGTAGGAACTGACTAGTTGGTTAGTTCGGTTGGTGTCTTAGTCAGCGAGGCAGGGGTTGATAATGTAATGCGACACTTGCTTCTCTTTAGGTAGCTGCTGGTCAAGCATTCCCTTTTTAACGAACAGGCTGTCTCAAAGCCCAGCAGTCACATGTCGGTGCTTTCCGGGCAGCTGCAGCTCTAAACGCAAAACCCCCTTTCAACAGGCCTCGCTCCCGCCTATTCTTACCACACGATCACCACCGGCACGCTTAGCCACGACTGCAACTCACTGCCAATCCGTCCGTCCTCACACCCTGCTACTTCCGCACCTACCACCATTCCTCCTTCCACACCCATCCCCGCCTCCGCCCTAACTCGTCACCCTCCTCCTACCTCACCCTTCCCCATCGATTCCTCACCTTTTCCCCTCCCGCGCGCGTGCACAGAGTCTGATGCCCCTCTACCTACAAGACATGATGATGCTGGAAGGCGTGGCCGGCGCTGGACCCACAAAGGAGCCCTCCAAAAGCGCAAACGACAGCGGCGGCAATGCCAGCAGCATGGTGCGCGATCTGATCAAGTACTACATTAAGACGAAGGCGGAGAAGCAGAAAGATCTGGTGGATGCGTAAGTGCCGGGTTGGTGGCTTGGTGCTCTCCAGGGAATGGGGTGAAGGTAGCATTGCCCTGGTGTTATGATGGCGTTACCATCCAGCAGGGGATGGGGTGAATGAATGGCCGTTACATTGGCTCCCTGTGGAGAGTGTCTTTCAGGGGCTATCAGCTGCAGCGGGACGCGCCCTAAGTGTGCTACAGTAATCTGACAGGTGTACAGGAGCTACCTGAGTTCGTGTGTTGCATGGTAGCATAGCGCATGTGTGCTTCCGCTCTTAGTAGGGATGAGGGTAGGAATGGCTCGTGAGAGGCACTGAACCTGGAATGGTAGTGCCTTGTAAGCCTTAGTACGGTATGCCATCACATACTCACATGTACCTACCCGTCGTACATCCCGCAGGTACAAAGAGGAGGAGGAAAAGAATAAGGAGGCAAAGAATAAGGAGGCATTGAAGGACTGGCTCAATCGCTTCACCCTGGGGGAGGTGCCGCAGCAGGCAAACAGGTAGGTACTGATGTGGAGTTGTGGTTGCAGACGTAGCGTATGCGGCCTGGGTTATTCTTCCATCCGGAAACGAACGAAAGGGTGTGCCCGGGCTGAGAGCGAGGTACGTGCGTGCAAATGGAGCATGTTGGACACTTGGCAAAAGTGAGATGAAGGGTGGTTTGTTGAAGCTCCGTGCCATGGGGGCCACCGGCTTCACGTCCCTGCTGCTTGCAATCCCTCTGCTGGCGCTTGCTTGGCGGCGGCCTAGGAACGAGGTGGCTTTAATGCAGCTGACGCGGAGGCGCATTGGCCCCCGGCTGGCGTACGTGTCTGCTGCTGTCCTCCGTAACCAGCGCGACCGCCCGGATGTATAGGCGCACAACATGCGTGTACATACTCCATCACGGAACTCCCCATACACATGCCGGCATGGTCCACGCACTACTGGACATGCTAGGCTCACTACCTACAACATTTGTCGGTTTCCACCTGACTGCTACCGCAGGGACGAGATTGCCCGGGGCCTGCTGCCAACCTGGCTCTACCCCACCCCAGGAGCTGCAGCGAAGGGGGGCGCACCGGCAGACGAGGCGGCTGCGGCGCCCGCCAACCCTCCTCCGCAGACGGAGGCCGAGGTCATTGAGCTCATCGCTCAAAGGTGGGGCGAGCCGGCAGCATGCGCTTAAGCTATTGTCCAGCAAAGCAACACCCCGGGAGCGCACTTGCTTACTTCCTTACCTGGTTGTCATGTGCTTAGCCCCTCCCCCTCCACCCGCCGCTGGCACGCACATCTGCACTCCCCTCCGCAGGTTTGCCGCGTACTCCCCCGAAACCCAGGTACCAAAGACGTTTCCTGCGCCGCCCAAGGTGGAAGAGAAGAACCCCTTCTTCCAAATGCTGTACAAGAGAGTCGACGCAATCACCTGGGACTGGCCCGGTAGGTCGCCTTCCGTTATCAGATCCACCCGGTGCAGGGCTTGAATGCACACGCACCTAGAGCACGCATGCATGCACCCGGCCGGGGCACATTGAGACCGGTACCGGTGTCGTATCCTTCTGCCAGGAGCGCCCGCCGTACAATATACACACACCGCCACGTGCGCGCTTTTATCGTGACCGGCAAAGCAAGACCGACCGGACTGCTGTTGCTTCGCCAGCCCCACCCAGCACCGAGCTTGAAGCGTTGCTCTACCTGGCCCCGATGCCTTACTACCGGTAGCTAGTACCCTCTCAACCCACGTACCTTACCTGCACCCACCGCATGCTCATCATCACCTGCCCATGATGCGCACAGAGGTGACGCCGGAGGAGCTGGAGGAGGCGAAGCCCACCGTGACGGACCTCAGCGACGTGGATGTGTGCAGGGCCGTGGTGCGCGCGGTCAACTTCAAGCGCAGCGAGTCTGTGGCGGCTCGCAGCGCCGAGCTGAACAAAGTGGCGGCGGGGCGCGCAGAGCTGATGATGAAGGTGTTGAAAGCGGAGATGATACGCAAGGCGCAGATGGCAAAGGCCCGCATCGACGAGGTAAGCAGGTGTAATAGGTGCAGCTACTGCTCCTTTATGTTCTCAGAGAAAGGAGTAAACATACCTTAACTGCATGCATGCCTACATGCAAATGTGCATGAGTGGCTGGACACTACTCACGCCGTACCTGCTGCCCAACATGTTGCAGCTTCTGATGTAGCACCTGCTCGCAGCTTGATCTTCTTGTCTTACTTTCTTCTCCCACCCCCAAACACGTCTTCCCGCAGACCAAGCTGCGGCTGGCGGAGGGGGTGCAGTTCGACGAGGAGGCCATCTTCTCCTCCGCCCTGGAGGACCCCGCATGGGAGGCGGCGGCAGCCAAGCTAGGCGGCGGGGCGGTGGCGGCGGCGCTGCTGGTGCGGCTGCGGCGGGGCGGGCAGGCGGGGCGGCTGCCGCTCATCGCCGACCCGCTGGAATTTGCCAAGGGGCTGGGGCGGCAGGCGGTGGAGGCGCAGGTGAGGGGGTGTGGAGAATTGGGGGTGGGCATGCCGTGGAGCTGGTAAGTGGGGCGTGAGGGGGTTTTTGGTGGGTGTACACTTGCATGCATGTCTGTCATCATGCATGCCTGTTATTATCATGCAGTGTATCGTCACGCGTGCCTACCCAGCATACATGCATGCCTGTCCTCATGCGTGTCTATCATCACGCATTCCTGACATCACTCACGCTTGACAATACGCATGCAGGACCCCGCGGCTCTGCTGGCGGGGATTGAAAAGCAGCTGGGTGCGCCGCTGGAGCCGGGAATACGGAACGCGCTGAAGCAGGTGGGACATCGGGAGTACGAAACGCGCTGATGCGGGTGGTACAAAGTTACCTTATTGCCTACGGCTTAATTGACATACGCCAACCTACTCCTCGGCTTCCGTGGCGTTTTGATGGGGACATCACCTTCCGAATATCCAGTATGTTCCTACTCACATCCAGTTTTCTTCACACACACCACACACACCACACGTTCCTCATCGCGGCAGCTCCCCTAACTCATCCTCCCTGGCCCCATTCCGCCGCCCACAGGACCTGCAGCAGGCGGCTGCCAGCAGCCCGGAGGAGGGCCCAGAAGCCGCTGCTGTGGGTGAGGAGCGTGACGCCTGTGACATTGTTGACAAGCTGGAGGAGCAGGCGCTGAGTGCCGTACAATCGCAGCCTGTCGATCCGCGAGTGCTGGCTGATGAGGCGATGCGGCAGGTTCTGGATGCGGTGGAGGACCCGGATACCTACTGGGTGAGTGGTGCTCGGTGGGGGCGGCAGCAGCTGGGTGCGTGGGAGGCCCGCCTCCGCATTGTTGGATGTATGTGCTGTTAACTCATATGGGCGCTTGTGGCCTTGCGTTTGAGTCGTCCACATCTTGGTCGGCAATTCATAACCCCGCACGCAGCGCCCCGCTCATCTCCACACCCAGTCGGCTTCGCAGCACCGTTCTCTCACTCCACACTCGTTCCTTGTGCCGCCCCCTCCTCGCGGGCACCCTCTCCATCCTCATGCAGGACGCTGCCTCTCGGATGATGCCTTCCTTCGCCGCGCCCCTGCTGTCGGCACTTCGTGAGGCGGTAGAGAGCGGCGAGCTGCCCCCGCCGCCCGACCCGCCGGAGGAGCTATTCAGGGGCCTGACGGAGATGGCAACCAAGCAGGTGGGTGAGGGGCGCTAGGGTTCATGGCACCACTCGAAGCAGCGGGATGAGGGGGCAGGGATGGGCTGCCTTCCACCGCTTCGAGAGAGAAAAAAGAAAAGTCTTTGCTTGCTATCCGAACGATCGCCCCTGTCTGTCACCACATCCAATGCCGCAGGGCTCGGACTACGTGTACAAGGTGTTTGAGGAGCGCATTGGCACGAAACTCCCGCCCCAAGTGCGTGATGCGGCCAAGGCGGTAAGTGGGGTGCTGCTGCGCTGCTGTCGCTGTGACTCAAGAAGACCGACCCGGAAAACATACACGTCTGGCAACTACTACCGTTACTTGTCATCTGCCAGGCCACACCTGCAGGTCGACCCATTTACCGGCACTGTTTCACCCTTCCCGTCGTGCTATCCTTCCTCTCTTTTATTTGTTCCTCCCCATGCAGGCCTACCAGCGCTTATCCGAGCGGGTGGCCGAGGCCTACGGCGAGGGCGGTTTTGGCGCCGTGTTTGAGGCCGTGGAGAACGCGGTGGCGGATGGCCTTGAGGCGACTGAGACGTTGGTAATGGACTACGTGGACGTCGCGGAGGAGATACAGGAGCGGGGTCAGCAGGTGGTGGCGGACGTGGTGGCGCGGATTGAGGTGGTGCAGGAGGGCGGCGCGGAGCAGATAATGCAGATGCTGGAGGGAACCAAGTAAGTCGGGAGAAGGCGCGGGAGGAGGGGTATAAGGGAGGGGAGGAGAGGCCCCAAGCAATGGGGGCGCGGAAGCAACACATACACCAGCACACACCCTTCCGACAGCAAGCCCGCCCTGTTCCGCAAAACCTAATGCATTACGGTGTCGTGTCCCACACCTCCCTCGTCCCTCCCCGCAGCCTACCTACCGCTGGCTAGCTCCCTTCCTACCCCCACCCTTCTAAGTCATCCAGTTCGTCAACTTTCCTTATATTTACCCTCCTAAGACTTCTATTCCCTCCCCCACCTCCTCCCTACCGCCCCCAGGCTGCCCATACCCCTGCCTCGCCAGCTGGGCCAGCTGCGCTCCGAGCTGAGGACGGTGCTGGAAGCCGCCAGCCAAGCCACGGGGCAGCTCAGTGACGTGAGTGCCGGGCGGGCGGCGGCGGTGGCATGTGGTGGTGGCGGTGGTGGTGACCCATGGGTCGGGGCGGTGCGCAGATACTCCACAGCGCACCGGAATCTGCTGAACAATGCTAGTGATATGCTAGTGCTACGGGTATACGGGTAATGGATAGCACGCATGCGGTGTGTTATAACTTGCCTCCCGCGTCCCGCCCCTTCCTTTCACGGCGCTCCCTCTCCCCCACATCCCCCCTCAGTTCACCAAGCAGCTCACCGGATCGGTTCAGGCGCTGCTGGGTGATGCGGATGCGGTGGCGGGTGAGGGGCTGGACGCGGCTACCGCTCTAGGGGAGCAAATGGCGGCGGCGCTGGAGAGCGTGTTTGAGACCCTGCAAGCAGACCTCGAGGAGGCAACAGATCAGCTCATGGTGCGTTTAGAGAACTGGCCACGAGTCGGATAGATGCGCGAGATTCATAGGCAGGCAGGGTCTCACACTCTCACTCCTCTCATTGAGCTGAACTATTCTCCAGAACCCCTCTCTGCGCCCCTTCCCATTCCCAACCTCTCCAACTATCCATGGCCACACCGTACCATACATTTGTTTATAACAACTGTCCACTATCGTGGTGGTAGGTGTCCTGAGCGGGTCTGAAGGGGTCCCACTCCCATCCATAACTACCCATACGAAACTACTTCCCTCTTACCGGGTGTTTCCTTCTACCCGTCCAACCCCCCCTCTCCACGGTCCGTTAGGTGTTTCCTCTTTACCCCCTCCTCCCAACCCACCCAAACCCCAGGCGGGTCTGGAGCGCATGCTTGAGGTGGACGCGGTGGCGCTCCAGGAGGCGATGGGGGCGGCACATGAGGTGCGTGGGTAGGGGGCAAAGGAAACAGCTGTTTTTATTACAAGGACAGCTGCTGTTTCTTACAAGTAGCGGCTACCTGCCTACTGCTGGCTTCACTCGCCCGCCGGGCTTTAATATTTATTCCGCGCCCTCCTTGGCACACATACAGGTGCTGCTGAAGCTGCTAGAGCTGCTGGGCATCAATGACTCGGAGAACGGTGGGGGCAACAACGACTAGACAGCTCGACGGGAGCTACGGTCGGTATAACGTACGTTTGGTAGCCCCTGGCTGCTGGCTGGTGCCGCGAGCCTGGAGTGATGGGAGGCGGGCAGGGAGGAGCAGCAGCAGGGGTTTGCTGAATATTGCTCTAACTACAAGAGTGGGAAGCGGAGAGAGGTGGAAGCGGGAGGGTGGAACAAATCGCTTGCATAGAATTCCGAGATCTTGGGGCTGGGCTCTCTGCGGTTGCCATCTTTCTTAACCGCTGGGAGAAGGGAACAAGGTGCGTATGGGAGCAGTACAATGGGTGGCGTGCAGTACGTACGGAGGGAGCTTGGATGCCCAAGAGGGACTAGATAGCTGATGATGGGGTGGGCGGGCAGTGTTGCACACATGCGTTGCGTTGCATGGATACGCGGGGTGCGAATAATGTGAAGAAAGCTGGCATGTGTGTGCGCATGTTGTTCGCTGCTGGTACAGGCAGGGTGTTTGCTGCTGGCATGCGTGCGCAAAGATGATGAGATGGGCTGAGCTTGCTGGACCAGGAGCTTGATTAGTCTTAACTGCCAATAATGCAGTTGGCTGGCAATCTAGCAGGGACATGAAAGAGGAATGGACATACTGATTCATCAGGGCTTTATGTTTCCGTACACGTGTCAAGAAATGTGAGGGAGTACGGCGATAGAAGAATTTGAGTGAAACTTTATCATTGGATCAAGAAGGATGGCACGCGTGGTTGTTCTACTTGGATTCCAGTTGCGCCGTGTTGCCGTACACAACGTCATCATCGTTGTCGTAGTATCCTGTTTTCGTTCCTTAACATGATGGAGCGGTATTAGCGCGACCGGATTCAAGGACATCTGTGTGATTTGGAGGCCATGGCATACATGGCCTTGTTCATTTGAAGGTCCAGGCGCCGTGAGGCGTCGTGGCAGACATACCACCTGCTGTGGCAGACAACCCAAGCCACCCAAAAGTAGTATTTTGCTCCGTCCACAGAGCATGTGGTTTAGCAGACATTTGGTTTACAGGACTTCTGGTCACCATACATGCCTTGCTGCGCCCCGTGCGTAATCTTGTGAGTCTTGCTTGCTGCGCCGTGTACCGTTATACGTTCCATAGGGCCCATACTAGCTGGTCTGTCGTCGGCAAAGCATGCTTACGGTTCGGTTGTTTGGGGCTAGCTAACACCTTGTGTATGTGACCGGATAAGAACAATGGCCCCGTTGGAAGTTGAACGTTGGTGTTTTCCACGGTACGAGATGCAGGGGTTTCATTCCATAAAGCTGCCGTTGTTTGCCCAATCACGCACGCACGGGCGCATGTGTCGTATGGCACCTTACGCCGCGTTGTCGTCTGCATGCCTCCTCCCTGACATCTTGTTTCCTACCTGTGGGTATATTAATTTGCTATACTTGCCGTGTCTAAAACACTTGAGCAGTCATACCGGTACGCACAGTCTCATATGAGAACTGGATGACAACAGGGTGGAGACCCTGCCTATGGTTTCGTCCATTTGTTCCTGGTAGAAGCTGAAATGGAGGCGTGTGGATGGGGCTTCTTTCTGCGTGGCGTGGAATACATGGCCGTATTCATTTGAAGGTCCAGGCGCCGTGAGGCGTCGTGGCAGACATACCACCTGCTGTGGCAGACAACCCACCCAAAAGTAGTATCCTGCTCCGTCCATAGAACATGTGGTTTAGCAGACATTTGGTTTACAGGACTTCTGGTCACCATACATGCCTTGCTGCGCCCCGTGCGTAATCTTGTGTGTCTTGCTTGCTGCGCCGTGTACCGTTATACGTTCCATAGGGCCCATTCTAGCTGGTCTGTCGTCAGCAAAGCATGCTTACTTACGGTTCGGTTGTTTGGGGCTAGCTAACACCTTGTGTATGTGACCGGATAAGAACAATGGCCCCGTTGGAAGTTGGACGTTGGTGTTTTCCACGGTACGAGATGCAGGGGTTTCATTCCATAAAAGCTGCCGCTGTTTGCCCAATCACGCAGCACGCACGGGCGCATGTGTCGTTATGGCACCTCACGCCGCGTTGTCGTCTGCATGCATGCCTCCTCCCTGACATCTTGTTTCCTGTGGGTATATTAATTTGCTATACTTGCCGTGTCTAAAACACTTTAGCAATCATACCGGTACGCACAGTCTCATGTGAGAACTGGATGACAACAGGGTGGAGACCCTGCCTATGGTTTCGTCCATTTGTTCCTGGTAGAAGCTGAAACGGAGGCGTGTGGATGGGGCTTCTTTCTGCGTGGCGTGGCGTGGAATGCGTGCGTGTTTAGACATCGAAGAGTGTCCTGCTGGGATTCTCTATCTGGCGCGCGCACGCGCTGCTGTCTCTGTTGGGGTTCTGTTTTACGGGCGGTGTTGTCACGGGCCTGTGGTCTTGTGTGTTAAAATAACTGGCCGCGAGGCGAAACGTACTGTGATTGGTCTTGTGTGTGTGTTGGTGTTTTGCCCTAGTGTTTGCTTGTAGAGGTTTTGCTGATGAGGGGCCATTTCTTGGCTTCTACCCTCGTTTTTTTACCTCTCTTGTGGCCCCTTTTGGGCTGTGTTGCCTGTGTCCTGCTGGCCTGTTGTGGTGTTGTCTTTACGGCGTGCGTTCATACCCGCGTTTCCTTGTAGAGAACCATTGTAACGGTCCTTCATTCAATCACTGGAAGACCAGGGGTAGAGCCCAATCCTCTTGCCATCCTCCTTTGCCCTGCTGCTCTACGTATCACAGTAGCCAAGTTCAAGCAGACTGGCTGCTGCTGTCGCTGCTGGGAGTTGCCTACTGGGAGCTTGCCTTTCTTGGTGGGGCGTGCGTTGCTTGCCCTCTCCCTGACGCTAGTTCTGGGCGTGGTTGCTGCATGTAGCTTCGTACTAAAGCAATGTGCGCCGCTTTAAGAATGCGGTCGTTCGTTGAGCGCCATATGCTGCCAGGCTGGGTAAAACATGGATTAAACATACACTTGCGCGTGCCTGTACAATGTATGCATCCATGTATGGGCACACAGCGTATGCGTGTTACCGGTGCGCCCCTCCTCCTGATTATTAATACCCTTACACAAGATGGCAAGGATTGAGTGCCGTTAAGAGTAAATGGCATATACGTGCTTGTTGCACGCTCCCTTGTATGTCCCCATGCCAATGTTCGGAAAACTTGACCGTACTACGTAAACGTGTGGCTTGAATTTGCATACCGGCAGAAATTGTGTATACCATTCGGACCAGGTGAACTGAATACAGTATGGATCAAGACGTAATTGCATAGCATGAAACGCGGTTGACATCTGCAAGAATGACCCATGGTTCGGCTCCTTCACAACCACCTTTGTGTCCGACATACGCTCCCGCGAGCGTGGCAAGTAAACCTACCAGACATTTTATTTACACACAGACATTCGACGTTCATGCAGTTTGCATGTATGGGCTAAGCATCAATAACATGAACACGATGCTTGACCACAAGTGCAAGTGGAACACTTGCCCGTTGCGCGTTCGTAAAGCCGGACCCCAATTATTATATTGCTTTTCGTTGACGTGTTCCATAATTTACATGCTGCGCGGATACTTTCCGCACGCGCGCCCGCCTCAACGTCTGCCGTTCCTAAGCAGCAACCATCCCCCCCGCTTTGCCCCGTTGTTCGCATATTCCGCTCCAGACCTTTACGGATTAGGGATATGGCGAACGTCTTTAAATGACGTAGAAACCGTTGTGCCTGTCCTAGCGCTTGCCAGTGGTTTGACCGCAAGGATATCCATTACAGCGCGAAGCATGTAGGCGGCAGGGCTGCTACATTATGCAGCTTATGTTTCTTTAAGTCATTAAATACCAATAACCTACAACAAAGGCGCACTAAAAGGCCCTGACTTCAATAACAAGAGACTTTTGCTTAACAGTCGAACATGTATCACTATACGGGCATGTCATGCTACAAGAGGAATCAAGACAAGTTCAGGGAATATGCTCCTTCGGAGCGGAATGGGATGGCTTCGGAGACTCCGACCGAGTTTGGGTGACCGCTCCGACCGCACACCACAGCAGCGCAATAATCGAAGTGAAAGTAACTTTGCATTCGATTAAGCCAGTGCATCTCGATAGTGACTTGATTAGCGGCCGTCTGACAGGCCAGCCAGGCCATTTAAGTGTACTGTCGGGTGTAGTCTTTCAGGGATGCGTCTTGCCTGAAGAACTCAATAAAATGCGCATTTGTGAGTGAATATGACCGAAACGCGTCGACCCTCGAATAGCTCCTCCTTGGCTGGCGACCTGCCTGGCAGCATGCCATCGCCTCTCCCAAAAACAGACATCGAAGCAGGAAGCAAGCTTCCCAATGGACCATCACCGGTCAGAGATGACCCCAAAGAACCGAACACCTCGACCGCAGCAGCTACTGCAGCAGAGCCCATGCCTGAGAATAAACTTGCACGAGAGGAGGAGGAAGAGGAAGAAGAACGCTTTACAAGCGTAACTTATTTAGACATTCTCAAGCACTGGAGCGTTATGGGATACATAGGTGCGTGAGCTGCTGTACCTCTTCCAGGGCGTTTCCGCTACCTGGATTCCACTTCCGTACTTCCGCCTTTGATTCTGCCGCTAGATAAGCAGCATCCATGTTCGGAACGCGTCAACCTACATGTCCCTCAAAACCTTGCCCGCCCTGCCGCGTAACGTGCTCCACAGGTTTTGGCGGACCAGCAGCGCACATAGGTGAGAAGGCCCCGGCGGGGGTCGCCAATCCGGGTGCACCGCCTGCTGCCGTACAGCTGTGCCACCCCCTCTCCCCTTCACCATGGGCTACCCCCATCCTCTACGCAGTGGGCTCATCACATCGTGTCCCTTTCCCCTTTCCTTCTCCCCTTTCCTCCAACATGTAAACACGAACATGATACACACATGCGCACACGCATGTTCCAGGCTTGTTCCAGCGCTTCTTTGTGGAGCGGTACCGCTGGATGTCCACACAGGTGTGTGGGAGGGGGGGGAGCAGGACACGGCAGTGGGGGGAACAAAGAACAGGAAACAGCAGGTGTTGGCGGGGGTTGGGAAGTTAAGAGGATGAGGCTAATCGTGTCCCTAACCCAGCACCTTGACCCTCAGCTTTTATTACCGTAATCAATTTCGCCTCAGATTGTATGCATTAATTTCCCCCATCCCTCGCTGCCCGCCTCCCTGCCCTCCCGCAGGTGTTCACAGAGCTGTTTGCGCTGGGTCAGTGTCTGCCCGGCCCCACCTCCACCCAGGTGTCATTCGCCATCGGCACCGTCAAGAAGGGAGTGCTAGGTGGGTGGGAGCGGGGTTGGAGGGGTGGGGTTAGGGCAGGGTGGGAGGGAGGCGTGGTGAGGCGGGGCATGTTTGGTGGGTGGGTGCTGCGGGGCGTTGCGGGGAGGAAAACTCGAAGAGCCGGAGATAGCTCCACCTGCTCTAACGTCTCCCTCCCTCCCGCGCAGGCGGCCTCCTCTCCGGCGCCCTGTTCCAGTACCCGGGAGCTGTGGTGATGACGGTGGTGGGGGCGGGTGCGGCGCACTGGCTGACCGACCCGCCCGGCTGGCTGGCGGGTATCGTGGCGGGGCTGGGGGCGGTGGGGGTGGCGCTGGTGGCGGCGGCGGCGAAGGGGCTGCTAGTGAAGATGTGCAACACCAAGGTGAGGTTGGGGGAAAGGGGGGAACCGTAGTAGCAGGGCGGTTGTGTCTTCCCCGGGAGCAGCACAACCCAAACACACATAACACACACGTACTTTCTTAGACCCTAACCCGACCTACCCTTACCCCCACCCTTCCTCCCCCACCCTTCCCGCCCAGGTCACGGCCATCATCGGCAGCCTGTCCGCGGGTGCCGCCATCTACTGGTCCGAGCCCTGGCTGTTCCCGCTGCTGATTGCGTTGGGGTTCATCGTCACCAACATCACGGAGAGGAAGATGGACAAGCGGCTCAAGGTGGGGGGGGGTGCTGAGCTGTAGGAGGCTAGGAGGGAAGGAAGCGCGTGTTGGAAGCAGTCTGGGGATGTCCAGCCCTGCTCACCCACCCCCCGCGCTCCCGCTCCCGCTCACCCTTCCACCCCACCCCCACCACCCCTCCACCAAGTCCCCGCCCCCCTCCTCACCCCACCCCATGCGGTGCCCCGTCCCAGGGCTCCGACGGCGGTGTGGAATCACTGGGCCTGGGTCTGCTGGGCGGCGGGTTGTTGATCGGCGCCTGGCTGGTGGTGCTGGGGGTGGTGCTGGGGCTAGCGCGTAGCGGGCGGTACAAGGGGGAGGACGGGCCGCTCAACTGGTTCGAGGTGTTCTTCAGGATTGGCAGCATCATCTACGGAGGAGGGCAGGTGGGGGGTTGGGTGGGTGGGCGGTAAGGGGGGGATGGCGGGCGGCGCAAACGCGAGGGGCGGGTGGGGCGAGGGAGTGGAAATACACCCATACACACGGCTGCGCTTGCGTAGTAGACGGCCCTTTCCCCCATCACGTTCTGCTTCCCCTTTTCGTCCCGCTTCCCCCCAAAACCGCACTACAGGTGGTGCTGCCCATGCTGCTCACCGATGTAGTGAAGAAGGACGAGCAGGGTGTCGAGCTGCCGAACACATGGGTCACCGAGAAGCAGTTTTATGCGGGGTTGGGTGCCGTACAAGCCATACCGGGGCCGCTCTTCAACTTCTCCGCCTACCTGGGATGCATCATGGCCCTGAAGGTAGGGGTAGGGAGAGGTGGAGAGGCGGGGCCGGGGTAGAGATGAAGAGGTTAAGTGGTGTAACCCCCAACTTCATGGTCCAAGGTGCTATGGGAGTCAGGGGCGAGAGAGAGAGAGGAGAAGAGGAGTGGACCGGAGGAACGTGAGGAATTAGCGTGGCATGACCCACCAAGGGAGGGAGGGAGGTGTTTGCTAGCACTTCACACCACCAGACATCACAACCACCAACCCCCACCACCTCAAACACCGCACCCCATTCCCCCACGCACCCCCCCAACCCCCAGTTCAATTATCCCTTCATACTGGGTGCCGTACTGGCCTGGTTCGGGCTGTTCGCCCCGGGCGTGATGCTCATGTTCGGAGTGTTGCCGTACTGGAAGAGGTTCAGGACATGGCAGGTGAGGATGGTTACCGGTATAGCGGTATTAACGGGTTTGGGGTCGTGGGAGAGAGGGTGTCTCCGTTTAAGGTTAGGGGGCAACGTGAGGGAGATTACCCTAGCTAGCTTTGCTGGGTGAAGCATGGGTAGTCCGAGGTTACCGGTTGTGCAAAAATGCTTGGCTCTGAACGTGTGGGCACGTGCTTGCTGAACGCATCTGTGGGCACATGCTTGATGAATGCAGAGTGCTGTAGACATCCTGGACATCCCTCACCCCGCCCCCACCCGCTATCACCCGCTAACTGCTTCCTTTATCCCCACCGCCTTGCCCGAACCCGTGGTTCTGGTATACCTCTGACCACCCGCCCTTACACGCTTATTAGTTTCTTCCCCTTCACCCCTCTTTGACCCGGCCACCCACTGCTGCACTTGTTTTACCCCACCCACGTGTCAGGTGTACCGACGAGGTCTGAGCGGCATGAACGCTGTGGGTGTGGGCCTTATCCTGGCCTCCGTCTTCCGCATGACGCTGGACGTGTACCGCATCAGCCCCTTTCCCACGGCGTCGCTGTGCATCGGGCTGTTTGCATTTACAGGTGAGGAAAGAGAGGGGAAAGGGGCCGGGGGGCCGGGCGAAGGTGGGGAGGTGGAGGTACGTGTTGGTAGGTGTTGGGGAGAGGAAGGGGTCGTTAGTGGCATTGAGGGGGGGGAGGCGGCCTGCCTACATGCTTGCCCGTTAACCCCTGTGCCGCACAATTCGCACTGCCTTGCTCCACTGCGGTTTATTTTTCCTGATGTTTTCTGGGGGTGTTATGCTTCCTGATCACCTCCTTCCCATGCTGCGGTGCATGCCTACGTACTAGGAACGAGCCTTTTGCAGCAATTACTGCGCTACAGTTTTGAAGATCCTCGCCAATCCCACACTACTGGTCGTATCTAGAAACCTGCCCTCCCTTCCTTTTCTACCCTTAACCTTACCGTACCTTCACGATATCATCGCGCAAAAATAAATAATTATTTCGGAAAATGCACAGTTTCGCGCAAAATCAAATAATTGCTGAGAGGGGTGCGCGAAACCTGGGAAACCCCACGGGACCCTTCCCCGCACCCCCAACATGCCCCAGCACCCCGTCAGCTCCGCTGCCCAGCCCCGGGCTGCATGCTAGTATGCCCCATGGAACACATAGCGGTATTTGTATACCTGTTTTGGCGATCTGGGCTTACATGGATGGGTTCTTACAGTCAAAATGCAGTGGTGGACATGAGCTGCGCGAAGCTGAAAAATAATTCCTGACACCCCTGCGCGAGCTTGAAAAATAATTCCATCTAATGGGGCTGCGCGATGATCACCCGAAGGTACGGTATCCACACGCTTCACTTCCCCCACCCTTCACACACGCTTCACTTCCCTCCCCAACCCTTCCCCCAGCTGTCGACGAGTTGCAGATCTTTGAGCCCATAGTGGTGCTAGGTGGGGCGCTGCTGGGGCTGCTGGCGTGGGGGGCCAAACTGGACTAGCATGGGAAGTAAGGAGGCGGGAGGGAAAGGGAGAAGGGGGACTTCAATGCGCCACATATCCGTGCGTTACCGGTATGTAAAGGTTGGAGGGCGGATGAGCGAAGAGAGTTGAGATGTGGGTGGCTGAGTGGTGACATCCGGGTGTGGCGACCCACGTGCAGGTGTTTGGGGGCACGCGCGTCGTAAGGGGCGGGTATTAGGTCCAGGGTGCGTGAGGCAGCGTGACTGATAGGTGTGAGCTCACGTGGAACACGCACGCGCCTGTGTTCGCGTGTCACTACCACCACCTGCACCATGTGCCTCGCTCGTGTTTGGCAACTGCTCGGCACACACCATGGGCGTGTATTCGCGTGTGTCTCTCGCCGTGCAATGCTGTGCTCGTGTTGTGGAGTGGAAGGAGGAAAGGAATGAAGAAGGAAGGAGAGGCAGGGAAGCATTTTGACACTTATGTAGCGGTTGGGGCTTGGAAAGTGAGGTATGAGGAAACGTGGGATCACGTAGCAAGGAATGGCAGGCAAGTAAGGAATGAAAGGCAAAATATTGAGCGTCGTATATATTGTGCCGAATCTCATCCTCGTATCCAGTTATGTCGTAACAAACTTGAACTCGCGTCGTCACTTGTTTTCTGTTGGACAGGGTGCTAATGTATGGCCAGACGTGCTTATTAGCTAGAGCTGCCAGACAATGCTTGTAACTGACAGACCTTTCATGGGGACTAACAGAGTACAACGTGCTACGAGTGTTGGAGGACTCTTAGATGCCGGCTCCAGGTGCCTGCCTGACTGCAGTTAAGAAGGCCCCTCGTTCTTGCCGCTTCTCACTTGTCCTAGCCGCTCCCCCCAACCCGCCCCGGCTCCCCAACACCTTTAATGGTGGTGTTGGCGTGTACCTTGGCCAGCATGATGTTCAGGGCCTGGAGCTACGGTAAGCACACACTGTATCGGGTACCCAGAATAGCATGCCCTTCATGGGCCCCAAGAGCACGTCAGGGTATCCAATCCCCCATGTGTAGAGGTGGGCCCAGGGGATAGGTTCCTGCTTTGGGACAAAGCCGTATGGAGGCGCCAGCTTGCAGAAGCCATGGAGGCAGGGAGAAAGGATCTCCCTCGCCACAGACGCACACCCGAGCAGGAGCAAAGGGCACCATTGTCATTGTTATCCCCTCGCAAAACGAGGAAATATTATGATACTCATACGCTGTATATAGGGCTTACAGGTTTCGTGCTTGCTTTAGCGAGCGTTGCAGGTTATTAAAACAAGGCGGAGATTGACTAACGGAAACCGCCCTTATTAGGAAAGCGAGATATGGTAAGAGGAGCACCCAGTGTAGATAACAGATGGGATTTGCGGAGTTTCGTGCTACGCAGCAGATACAGCAGTTGCAGCTTTCTCGACTTCGACTCGACAGCACTCCAAGATGCGTCACTGTATCCACCATGGTCACATAAGCCACCAAGTAGGGTTACTCACTGTAGTTTTACTGCTGAAAATAACCAACTGCTGAAGTTGCTGCCGTACGTGCGGAGGCCACACCGTATGTATTTCTTTAGGCCTCGCATTCACCTTAAGTTTCTAAGATTAAACACTCATTTCTACATTCATTAGGACCATCGTGCCAAACAGTAATGCATTATCAGTTGTAAGCTTGTAATGCCAAGACACATGAAGCCGCTGCTATGGGCGGTTTCCATAACGCTGCTGCTGTTGGGCGCTGCGAGCGCTATTAAGATTAGGGACCCTCTGAGCGGTCGCGAGGGCTACCAGCACCCAGGAGTGGGCCGACGCAGGCTCGCTGCAGGCACTTGCGGAGGATTCTCTGCATGCCCGACGGCCACCCAAGCCGCCCAGGTACGCTGCCAAGCACAATGCTGCATCAATCCATTACTAACTATGTGCTTGGCGTACGTCGACAGATGATTGTGGGCACCAATCCGGACCTCACCGTTAGCAATGCTGTCTTTTCCAAGGGCGTCTGCTCTTCCTCCCAGGCCCAGTGGGGCATTGTACAACCTAATGCATGGAATAGTGGCCATGAAATGGCGTCCTGGTTCCCGAATGGTAAGCGATTGAGCGTTCGACCCAAGTTGCAACCGACAAACTGTCATGTCAGTCTCGTCGGAAGCCTGGAGCCCGACTTTCCATTCCTCTTTCATTAGATATTTAAATTCCAGTAAGGCGCTGAGCGTGTCAATACAAATTCCTGCAGGTGCCTTTGTGATGAGCTCTGGAGACGCAAGCGCCGGTAACTGCGTTTCCAACACCCTGGACTACTACACCATGCTTATCGGCGGCGGTGGTGATGCCAACCTAAACAGCCTCATTCCCGCTTACACGACGTACGATGCCGTCGCGCTCGAGTTCACAGTCACCGCGCTCAAGGACGGCTTGCTTGTCTTCAAATATGCTTTTGGAAGGTAACCACTTTGCGCGCTACTACCCATATGTCCTGATGAACATTTTCCTTAAGCGGCTTAGGTTAAGTTGTAGCTGGATTGTACCTCAACCAACCTACTTTTGCCTATGCGTACTCTGCTTCCCCAAGCTTCTGGCATTGGAGTTTGGTATTAATCGTATTGTATTATTTCCAGATTATATCATACTCCTTTCCTGCTCCTGCCTTCTTGAACCCGCCCCAACCCCTTCGCCTGCAGTGACGAGTACACGGAGTGGGTGGGCACCGCTTTCAACGACGTCTTCGGCTTCTTCATCGCGCCAGCCGGCCAGGCCATCACCACCGGACACAACGTCGCAGTTGTCAAGGGCACCGCCAACACACAGGTGCGTACCTAGTAAACGATATGGACATTTACATGGACCTGCCACAAAGCAATGATCTCCAACCATGGAGTGTCGTTGTAAGCCACCCCATCTTCCCGCCCCTGCTTGTCCACAGGTTTCCATCAACAATGTCAACCAGCACAGCCACACCGAGCTCTGGAACAACAACAAGCTGGGCACCGGGGCAAACAAGAATCTCGAGGTAGGGGCGAGAGTTGAGAGAGGTGAAGAGGTGGAGCCGTGAGGTGATCCATGCACATGGGCAAGCATGGCAGCAGTGGGTTTGTTGCTCTCTCTTTCTTGCTCGGCTTAGGCTATTTCATTTGTGCAAGCTCTCTCGCCCTCTTCACCCTCTCCCTGTCTGTTGCCTCCCTCTCCCCACCCCGATCTCCCACCCCCTCCCTCCCGTCCCCAACCAGGCCGACGGCTACACCAACCTGCTCAACACGCAGGGCTACCCGGTCACAGCGGGGCAGCAGTACTCCTTCAAGCTCGCCATCGCAGATGCAGGCGACCAGATCCTGGACTCCTGGGTGTGGATTGCGGGTGACTCGCTGCAGGTGGACGACCGACCCGTCGCCAACAACACCGACAGCACTCCAAACTGTACGACAAAGGTGAGCAAGGGAGACAACTACCGGTACCCCGCTCTTAAACGCACGTGCCCTTTCCCCGTGAGGCGATTGTGCTTACCCTCGTCATCCCATTCATGCAATATCGTGCGCGCCCTAACACTCCAGGAGTTAAAGGTCCCATACATGCATGCGATGCGCGCAGGTGGTGACGCTGAACGCAACGAGCTCCTATGACGTCGATCTTGGTGAGTTTTACCGTGCGTGGCAGGGTAGCAGTGGCTACTCAGTGGCTTTCTCCAGCAGCAATGTATAACAGTATGAGGACTGTGTCGTACGCCACGCCATTGTTTTGCTCGTGTCAAGCCTTAGGACCGACACGGCATGGTCTCAGCCCGCGTCTGCTGCTGAACTATGGGCAGCGCTTTCCCCATACCCGCACCTGCATATGACGGTAAACATACATCGGACACTTGCAAGTCCCGCTTGCTTGTTGTGGATTTGCTTGCCACTCACTGCCAACTGGGGGCGGTTCTCATGTAGTACATCAGTTTACCCTTCCTCGCGCCCTGCCCTGTTTTACTCCCCTTCCCTCCGCTTCTTCTTTACTTCTCCTTCGCTCCCTGCTGCTGGCAGGCGACATCCTGACGTACACCTGGGCCCTGAAGGCGCCCTGCTACCCCACCGTCACCGCCTCCGGAGCCGTCGCCAAGGTAGGGATGCTGCATTGGCTACTGCTACTGCATGCTACATTCATGGTTGGGAGGCTGCGAATGTGGGCACCGGCACCGTTGGCATGGGAACAAACAGCTGATGGAACGATGACGGCGAATGGTGTTGATAAGAAAGCAGCTCTGTCGACGGTTGCTCTTGTCGCATTTGAATGTCTGCCAGCGGCAGTAGAAAATGAACGTCGGCTAGCTAGCCGCCGCCCTACTTTGCCCCTCTGCTGACGTACGTACCCGTGCTGCCTTACATCCAATCTGTGTGCTGCTGTAGGTCAACCTCGCCCAGCTTGCTGACGGCGTCACCTACACCGCCACCCTCTCTGTCACCGATTCGAGCGACGTAGAGGACACCAAGACCTTCCCCCTGCCTGTGCCCGTGGGTTGCGGCGGCACCAACATCCCCACCACGTGTGGCAGTGTGGTCAAGGGAGCCCCACTCACGCCCTTTGCGCCGCCACCGCCGCCGCCACCACCGCCGCCGCCGACGCCTGTGGGTCAAGTGAACGTGGAGGCCGGGTCAGCTGCCGTGGTGGAGTGTGGGGGCTTGTTGTTCATGACCATTGGTGCGGCAGCGGACGAGGCACTGCAGCTGATTGCCAGCAACTACGATTTCGCGGGTGGTTACACGGTGTACTACATCTGGCAGCTGTACGACATCTTGGATCCTAGCTTCGACAACCCGCTTGCCAGCGTCACCACCACCGAGCCCTTTGTGTACTTCAGCTCGGCTGATCTGGGCTCCGATGGCCGTTCGTTGAAGAAGTACAAGGTACGGTGGCAGTAATAAGCCCCTCTTGCTTCTCTTCCTCGCGGCCTGCTGCTAGCTAGCTCGAAGCAGGTGACCCACGTGCTGCATCCTCGCATGCACGCTGCCTGCATGCATGCGTTGTACGGTTTCTTGTCCTTGCAGCCGTTGCTTCATTAGGTCAACGTCACATAAGGCTCAACAATTGTTTTTGTTTCCACGCCCCTTGGCCGCCGCCCTGACAGGTGCTAGTGGACGTAACCGACGTTGCCCAGTGGGACAGCGGCAACGGCAAAATCAGTGACACGCAGACCTTCGTGCAAGTCCTGCAGTGCCCCATCCAGCCAGCCGACCCGCTGCCTGTGGTCGCATTCGACAGTGTAGCAAGCCCGGAGTCCTTCACCGTAGCTTGCGGCACGGTTATCGTGTTGGACGCCACTGCGGCTTTTAACTGGGCAGCTGCCAAGTACGGCAGCAGTGGCAAGACACGCATTTTTCGTTGGCAGTTGGTTTCGGGAGACGGTGTGGTGGCACTGGCGTTCGACTCGAACAGCGTCCTGACCGTCTTCAATGGCCCGGCGCTTGCTTGGGCGGGGACCATCAACGCTGGGTCGTTCTACACGTTGCTGCTCAACATCTACATTGACGGACATGACTTCGACAACGACAACTGGGAAACCAAAATGTCGGTTGTGCCGGTAAGTGCTTGGCGCCATGCGTTCTTAACGCGTAGTGCGGGTTGTCGTATTGCTCATTCAATTCCTCGTGAGCGACTCTAGGCTGTCTAGCGACACCCGAGGGCATGCAGCGCAGCCTTTGGACATCAGCACATCACCCTAGATAAGCTAGCAGTACATGCCACCCTCGCACTTGCCATGCATGCACACCTTGAGAACCCTGACAAGTCCCACGGACCATGTCGGCCTACCTTTCCTCCCTCGCTCCCTCATTCGGCACATGCCGGGGGTTCTTACCTCACAACCAGCAGCCCTAAGCTTCTAAACCCGCTTGATCCGCCTGGCCCCATCCCGACTACAGGACTGTTCAGCGCCTCCAGCCAGCCCGCTTTCTCCGCCCAGCCCACCTTCCCTACCCACCTTGCCTAGCCCGCCTTCCCTACCACCGCCACCCAGCAGCAAGCCCCCAAGCTCGCCGCCTCCACCCCCTAGTCCCAAGCCGCCTACCCCCAGCCCGCCTCCCCGTCCCCCGCCGCCAAGCCCCCCGGCTCCCAAGCCCCCACCATCGCCGCCGCCCAGCCCCAAGCCTCCAAAGCCGCCTTCCCCACCACCTTCCCCCAAGCCCCCGCCCGCACCACCGCCCAGCCCCAAGCCTCCCGGGCCATCTCCACCACCTGCTAACCCCTATCCCCCGACCTCACCGCCTCTTAGCCCCACGCCTCCCAGCCCCCCACCATCGCCCCCGCCCAGCCCCCCGGCTCCCAAGCCCCCACCATCACCGCCGCCCAGCCCCAAGCCTCCAAAGCCGCCTTCCCCACCACCTCCCCCCAAGCCCCCGCCCGCACCACCGCCCAGCCCCAAGCCTCCCGGGCCATCTCCACCACCTGCTAACCCCTATCCCCCGACCTCACCACCTCTTAGCCCCCCGGCTCCCAGCCCCCCACCATCGCCGCCGCCCAGCCCCCCGGCTCCCAGCCCCTCACCATCGCCCCCGCCCAGCCCCCCGGCTCCCAAGCCCCCACCATCACCGCCGCCCAGCCCCAAGCCTCCAAAGCCGCCTTCCCCACCACCTCCCCCCAAGCCCCCGCCCGCACCACCGCCCAGCCCCAAGCCTCCCGGGCCATCTCCACCACCTGCTAACCCCTATCCCCCGACCTCACCACCTCTTAGCCCCCCGGCTCCCAGCCCCCCACCATCGCCGCCGCCCAGCCCCCCGGCTCCCAGCCCCTCACCATCGCCGCCGCCCAGCCCCCCGGCTCCCAGCCCCTCACCATCGCCGCCACCCAGCCCCAAGCCTCCAAAGCCGCCTTCCCCACCACCTCCCCCCAAGCCCCCGCCCGCACCACCGCCCAGCCCCAAGCCTCCCGGGCCATCTCCACCACCTGCTAACCCCTATCCCCCGACCTCACCACCTCTTAGCCCCCCGGCTCCCAGCCCCCCACCATCGCCGCCGCCCAGCCCCCCGGCTCCCAGCCCCTCACCATCGCCGCCGCCCAGCCCCCCGGCTCCCAGCCCCTCACCATCGCCGCCACCCAGCCCCAAGCCTCCAAAGCCGCCTTCCCCACCACCTCCCCCCAAGCCCCCGCCCGCACCACCGCCCAGCCCCAAGCCTCCCGGGCCATCTCCACCACCTGCTAACCCCTATCCCCCGACCTCACCGCCTCTTAGCCCCACGCCTCCCAGCCCCCCACCATCGCCGCCGCCCAGCCCCCCGGCTCCCAGCCCCTCACCATTGCCGCCGCCCAGCCCCAAGCCTCCAAAGCCGCCAACCCCACCACCTCGCCCCAAGCCCCCGCCCGCACCGCCCCCCAACCCCAAGCCTCCTGTGCCATCTCCACCATTACCTAACCCCCAGCCACCCAGCCCCGGTTTTCCACCTCCCGGGCCGCCATGAATCTCATTGAATGTTTGTTCAATAGATGCCGCATTCGTGACTTTAGCAGTACGGCGTTACCTGTACTACAACGGCCATCCCAACGTAAGGCAGTAGCATGGGCTACCTACAACGTCGACGGAATAGAAAAAAATACATGCCTGCAACGCTACGTACGCTGCTCTGTCCCCGTAATCCCATGAGAATAAAATGTTTGCAAGCGTACTATTGCTCGTAGCACTTTCAATGACTGCTCATGTCTGGTCAGCTGGTACCATTCGGAATTTTATGATGGCTGGATATCCGCGTCCATATATATCGGTACTGGTTTTTGGACGAAGTTCTGCCACACACAGAACGTCGTCTTGCATGCTGCCGTGCATGGCTTGGTCTAGATAGCGCATGTGGACATGCATGTTCGTTGTGACTTGACACGGATGAGGAATTATAAGTGCATATGTACATACGGGAATAATGATGAGAAGAGTGAAATGCCTGTCAATGTGTGTAATGAAGGGCGGCCGAATTCGTTGGCATGGCCGACATGACATAATTGTGTCTAGTATCAGCAGGATCTTACTCTTTATTGGCGGTGGGAGTTGTTGGGAGTTCTTGATTGAGCGAGATTGTACTTTGGGGTCCCCTTAGTCCAGCTCTCCATGCTGCATGGCCACGTTTTCAGATACACCATTGATGGCGTCACACTTAATTCGTGTTCAGCGTCTTGGGTTTTGTTGGTTATTTATTGAGTAAACTAGTCTCTCAAATATTAATGCCCACGTCCTGTATAAATGGCGGATACAGTGGGTATTTGCCTTGCAGGAAAGGGCCGATGCCGAGGACTACTTGTCCCAAAATAAGTTGCACGGTGCCTAATGCGAATAGAGCTCCACAGACGGCTGAGACATGTTATACTGGTATTATCTGAGCTTCTTTGGGCATGCCTGCACTTCTACACTATCGATGCGAAAATCGCATACCGGTAATCATTACAGTCGACTGGCAGTTTGGTTGCAGCTTGATGGTTCCCCAGAACGCTTAATTCAGCTGGGATACCGCCCGGTAGGAGGAAAAACGTTTAACCTCGACATCGTATATGTACGGCCCAAAGAATATTCCGCACTTTAGCAACTTGGTCACAGCTGCCGTCATTGTTTCGTATGTTTCATATGTTGTCCTTTATGAACCGCTTTGGCCAAAAAGAAAAGTAACGTGTTGTTTGTTTGGTTGTAAACTAGCGGTGTACGAAAGCGTGTCTGTCATAGAAACCGACTTAGGAAAACTACGGGACAATTAGCATCAAACACGTAACTTTTGCTCTGCACTACCACTGTAAGCATATCTTTTTATTGCATTTAAACCGTATGAATCCCGATTAAAAGTTGGGGTAAATACTTCATCTTGCCTCGCACTCGCTGTGTACCGCCCACCTTCCGTTACCGCCGTACCCTGATGAACTGCTTATAAACTTCAGCTCATTGCAAAATCAATAGAGGGTGTTATACTTATAGTTATATAGCACCGGTTACAATGACAAGAGAACTGAAGCCGCTGCTATTGGCGGCTTCATTAGCGCTGCTGCTGGGCGCTGCGAGCGCTATAAAGGTTAGGGACCCTCTGAGCGGTCGCGAGGGCTACCAGCACCCAGGAGTGGGCCGACGCAGGCTCGCTGCAGGCACTTGCGGAGGATTCTCTGCATGCCCGACGGCCACCCAAGCCGCCCAGGTACGCTGCCAAACACGATTTTGCATCCATCTATTACTAACTATATGCTTGACATACGTCGACAGATGATTGTGGGCACCAATCCGGACCTCACCGTTAGCAATGCCATCTTTTCCAAGGGCGTCTGCTCTTCCACCCAGGCCCAGTGGGGCATTATCCAACCCACGGCTTGGAATAGTGGTCATGAAATGGCATCCTGGTTCCCGAAAGGTAAGCGCCTAAGCGTTCGGCCGCTGAAACAACGACGCTAATTGTAGTCGTTGGTCCCGTCAAAGCCTTGAAAGTCGAAGCCATTTGTCTATCTTCTGAATATATTTGCTGATGCTGCTTTCGAAGCAAACCACGTGCTTCCAAGTAAGGTGCTGAGTACATATAACGGTACACATTATCCCCGCAGGTGCCTTTGTAATGAGCTCTGGAGACGCAAGTGCCGGTAACTGCGTTTCCAACACCCTTGACTATTACACCATGCTTATCGGCGGCGGTGGTGATGCTAACCTCAACAGCCTCATTCCAGCTTACACGACGTACGATGCCGTCGCGCTCGAGTTCACAGTCACCGCGCTCAAGGACGGCTTGCTTGTCTTTAAATATGCTTTTGGAAGGTAACCACTTTGCGCGCTACTACCCCTATGTCCTGATGAACATTTTCCTTCAGCTTCTAGGTTAGTGTGTGTTCACATGTACCAGGTTTCGTGTAAAGATTTAAAGTAAGTTTCGAAAGTGATAGCGTTCACAAGGAATCCGAAGCAAAGTAAACCAACCCACGGATTCCTTGTGCGTCGCCCCTTCTAACCGTTCCAGACAGGTAGACCTCAAGATTTGTTTGCAATAATCATTGTTTTGTACTGTTGTGGCATCGCCTGGTCACCAAGGACATACCTGCCTGATGGTCGCGAAATGCCATTGTGCAACTTTCTGGCAATTTAACTGCTTTAAATGCTTTGTAATTGCTTATCTTTTTAAACACAGCTGAAAAGCTTCGCGCTGAAGTCGAATCTCTACCCCAATCGGCCCCCCCAGACCCCGACTGGGATTCAGGATCGGATTGGCGCCAATCCGACTGCCAATCCACCTCCATTCACCCCGATTCGCGCACATGCGAACACGCCCTTAAGTTGTAGCTGGATTGTACCTCAGCCAACCTACTTTTGCCTACTCGTACTCTGCTTCCCCAAGCTTCTGGCATTGAAGTTTTATATAAATCGTGTTGTCTTGTATCGCCAGATTATATCATACTCCTTTCCTGCTCATGCCTTCTTGAACCCGCCCCAACCCGTTCACCTGCAGTGACGAATACACGGAGTGGGTGGGCACCGCTTTCAACGACGTCTTCGGCTTCTTCATCGCGCCAGCCGGCCAGGCCATCACCACCGGACACAACGTCGCAGTTGTCAAGGGCACCGCCAACACACAGGTGCGTACCCACCAAGCAATGCTCTCAAACCGTGGAGTGTCGTTGTAAGCCACCCCATCTTCACGCCCCTGTTTGTCCACAGGTTTCCATCAACAATGTCAACCAGCACAGCCACACGGAGCTCTGGAACAACAACAAGCTGGGCACCGGGGCAAACAAGAAGCTCGAGGTAGGGGCGAGAGTAGAGAGAGGTGAAGGTGAAGGTGAGGTGGAGCCGTGAGGGATTGAAGGTGCTCCATGCACATGGGCAAGCATGGCAGCAGTGGGTTTGTTGCTCTCTCCTGCTCGGCTTCATTATTTTCACTTGTGCAAGCCCTCTCGCCCTCTTCACCCTCTTACCAGCTTCCCTGTCTGCTGCCTCCCTCTCCCAACCTCGATCTCCCACCCCCTCGGGATATGGGATTGGGACTCGTTGTTTCACCTATATAATTACCCCCTCCCTCCCGTCCCCAACCAGGCCGACGGCTACACCAACCTGCTCAACACGCAGGGCTACCCGGTCACAGCGGGGCAGCAGTACTCCTTCAAGCTCGCCATCGCAGATGCAGGCGACCAGATCCTGGACTCCTGGGTGTGGATTGCGGGTGACTCGCTGCAGGTGGACGACCGGCCCGTCGCCAATAACACCGACAGCACTCCAAACTGTACGACAAAGGTGAGCTAGGCTACTAACCCCACTCCCAAAACGCCCCAAATGCTCCGGGCGGCCTGACGACCCCAGCTGGATGGACTCCGACAGTCCTGAAGTCCTGCTGCTCGCCCACCCTAGCTTATCCCATCCAAGGTTATAGGTTACAATGCGCGTCCTATCTTCCGCAACAAGGGTTTTGACATGCACCTGCAATTCCGTGCAGGTGATCACTCTAAACGCAACTACATCCTACGACCTGGATGTTGGTGAGTAGTGGGTGTCGGTCTAGACAGGCTCCTGGCCACATTAGGCAGCACATGCAATGACACATTTGTGTCAGCCTGCATGCGTGGAAACAACAGCAGCAGCACACGTGCACACGTGCACATGTGTACATGTACGTACAAATATGGACAAAGATGCATGCACCTATACGCATGTTTTGCTTGATGGTCTTAATTCACCCCTTCATGCCAACTGGAAACCGTTCTCACCTGTTTAGTTCCTTCAGCCTTGACATGACGGAGTCCTGTCTTCCCCCTTCATCGTCCCTCCCTCCCGCTGCCTTCTAGACGACATCCTGGCGTACACCTGGACCCTGAAGGCGCCCTGCTACCCCACCGTCACCGCCACGGGAGCTGTCGCCAAGGTAATTTACGTGCTGAAATGACAGCATGTCCCAACATGGTTTACAAGGGTGCGAGGATGTCTTCTAGTGTTGGTCCTGAACGGTGTAAACATTGTAGTTAAGAGGAAGCAAGCAGGTCTGCCTTCAAATCTGCCTTCAAATGAGTTATACCATACCCTTTCTATACTGCCGTGTCTTTACCTACCCTCACCAGATCAACCTAGCCCAGCTTGCTGACGGCGTCACCTACACCGCCACCCTCACTGTCACCGATTCGAGCGACGTAGAGGACAGCAAGACCTTCCCCCTGCCCGTGCCCGCGGGTTGCGGCGGCGTCAACATCCCCACCACATGTGGCAGTGTGGTCAAGGGAGCCCCACTCACGCCCTTTGCGCCGCCACCGCCGCCGCCACCACCGCCGCCGCCGACGCCTGTGGGTCAAGTGAACGTGGAGGCCGGGTCAGCTGCTGTGGTGGAGTGTGGGGGCTCGTTGTTCATGACCATTGGTGCGGCAGCCGACGAGGCACTGCAGCTGATTGCCAGCAACTACGATTTCGCGGGTGGTTACACGGTGTACTACATCTGGCAGCTGTACGACATCTTGGATCCTAGCTTCGACAACCCGCTTGCCAGCGTCACCACCACCGAGCCCTTTGTGTACTTCAGCTCGGCTGATCTGGGCTCCGATGGCCGTTCGTTGAAGAAGTACAAGGTACGGTGGCAGTAATAAGCCTTCCTTGCTTCTCTTCCACACGGACTGCTGCTAGCGATCTTGCTCCTTGTTCTGGGTCAACGTCATGGAAGGCTAATCGTCCGTCTCTCCACTAACCGCCCTGACAGGTGTTGGTCGATGTTACTGATTCTGACCAGTGGGACAGCGGCAACGGCAAAATCAGTGACACCCAGACCTTCGTGCAAGTCCTGCAGTGCCCCATCCAGCCAGCCGACCCGCTGCCTGTGGTCGCATTCGACAGTGTAGCAAGCCCGGAGTCCTTCACCGTAGATTGCGGCGCCGTTATTGTGTTGGATGCCACTGCGGCTTTCAACTGGGCAGCTGCCAAGTACGGCAGCAGTGGCAAGACGCGCATCTTCCGTTGGCAGTTGGTTTCTGGAGACGGTGTGGTGGCACTGACGTTTGACTCGAACACCGCCAAGACCAACTTCGATGGCCCGGCGCTTGCCTGGGCGGGTACCATCAACGCTGGATCGTTCTACACGTTGCTGCTCAAGGTTTATATTGACGGACATGACTTTGACAACGACAACTGGGAAACCAAGATGTCGGTTGTGCCAGTAAGTGCATTCTTGACGTGAATGGCGGGTTGTTGTTCGTAATGCACCCTCACTTCGTGCTGGGTGGCTCTAGGCTGTTTGAGGACACTCGAGGGCATGCAACACAGCCTTTGAATGAACCCTAGCTAGGCAGGCGCACACATGCACGTGGCATGCATGCACCCCTGTGGCAACCGTGGTCGCATGTTGGCCTATCCCTGACCCCAACTGGTTTGCCTGCCGCTTTCCGACTGCAACCACAGGGCTGCCCAGAGCCAGTCGCCAACCCGCCGCCTCCGCCCAGCCCTCCTTCCCCTCCGCCGCCGCCCAACCCCAAGCCCCCGAAATCCCCTCCCCCGCCGCCGCCATCTCCCAGGCCCAAGCCACCTACCTCCAGCCCGCCTCCGCCACCCAGCCCCAAGCCTCGCAGCCCTCCTCCACCCAGTCCGCCCCCGCCGCCGCCACCCAAAAGCCCCCCTCCCCCTCCACCACCCAGCCCCAAGCCGCCGCCTCCCCCGAGCCCAAAGACCTCGAGCCCTCCCCCTCCACCTCCCCCTAGCCCCAAGCCGCCTCCACCTCCTAGCCCCAAGCCGCCTCCACCTCCCAGCCCCAAGCCCTCCAGTCCTCCCCCTCCCCCACCTCCCAGCCCCAAGCCCCCCAGTCCTCCCCCTCCTCCTCCCCCCAGCCCAAAGCCGGCCCCACCACCTCGCCCCAAGCCGCCTCCACCTCCTAGCCCCAAGCCGCCTCCACCTCCTAGCCCTCCACCACCTTCCAGTCCCAAGCCTACCAGCCCTCCCCTACCACCACCCGCCATCAAGCTACCCACCCCGCCGCCCCCTAAAAAGAAAACCGGTTAAATGCCCCAACGATTTTGACTTTGGCATATGGCAACATCGATGGCACGATGAGCAGCGGACCGCAGGGCTGCAGCACGGACTGCCAACAACGTGATTCAATGCACGAGGAAATTGAAGCCGACGAAAAATGAAATCTAAGAGGATGTCTCCTTAAGCCCATGGATAATACATGCTTGCACGCAGAGCCTCGCAGATCCTTTGTCGTACTGCGTTCAACAGATGCGCATACATGGTCATGCACCATCCGTGCTCAACAAAACACAGGGGGATTTATTACTGCCATTTGCGCTCGCATACATTTGTATTCGGCCAACGTGTTGACTTGGAACGCTGTCTCGCATGCCATACGCGCTTGGTCTTGATCCCCTTTCCAACATAGCATCTGCCGGTGTGCCTGCGTGCAAGCTCGTGCGCATGTGCACAAGCTCGATATAATTGGACACGGATGAGGAACTCCTTCCGGATGTGTACGAACGATGGGGAAGCATAGGCGGTGGGAGAGTGAAAAATGCGTGGTGGCAGAGTTGGGGGGCCTCGATGTGCGTCGTAAAAGTATGTTGGCAGCGTGCGACTTGCCGAGTATCGGCAGGACCTTATCCTCCGTGGCGAGATGTTGGTCGAGATTGCGTCTTGCAGCCTTATTCAACCTTCTAGGGGCAAGTTTCCGGTGTTGCGGTTGCATTATGTGCACCAGTATGTTCGCATTTGTCGAAGCACGAGGCGTTGTCATGAGAATTGCAACAGGTGGCATAAAGGCTTTCACGGTTTTGCTTCTGACTGGAGTTTCTATTCCCTAACAGCGCTTTAATGAGTGTTGCCGGTGAGGCTGTTAAAGCGGTTAGGCTTTGTCATACGTTTGGATCAGTTGCTCGCTTACCGGTTATGCTTAGCTAATAATGCTGCGAGGCCAAGTAAGACTCTTTCTCTCCTGTCAACAAGGGTCGCACCACCAGGGCCCTTCATGCTCGCACGTCTGGAAGGTCAGCAACAGCCCCTTCCCTCTTCTGTAACCTGTACCTCTGCCTGCCACTGCAACCAAGTGCTTGCCACGGCAACAACAACCTACGGTCCCTAACTTGCTGATAAGTCTTAGGTGGACATACGTGTTTGGATATTACCCCGTTACATAACTTCCGCACGCATAGCCAGTCTCGATATATAGCCCCCACTAGTAACCTTAGATACACATACGTTAGCAGGGGTAGTGTGGTCAAAGTATAGTGTGTCGGCGCCTTACGGCACTATACGGCAGCAGTAGTGACAACTAGGGTCCTTGGGCAGCTTTAGGCTTAGAGTGACTCTGCCCCTGAGTCGCGGAAAAAATGCTCTTAGGGTGCGGTCGCTTAGCGCGCCTACTCATGACAGCGTCATGGGAAGGCATTTGTTAGAAGTCGGTAAGCTGATTGGTGTATTGAGAGTCTACTGTTTGTCAGGATGGCGAGTAGAGCGGTTGCGGGCCATGCGAGCAAGGGGCCGGACGGCTCCGACCCCAGGGCCATGCTCGCAGCGGGTGGTTGGACGAGTCGCTCGAACATGGCTACTTTGATATGCGAGCAAGTACAATATAAAAATAATTCATATAACCACTAGCTCGATAAGCAATCGGGTCCTTTTATACAATCGCCACAAATAGCAAATTACAAACTAGACCCGGTAAAGCAATGGTGCTTCTTACACTTCATGTACTTGCCTAAACTATAAACATACATGGCCTGGTGCTTTACGCAATACCAGATTGGCCCTCGACTTCTACCTGGTGCATGTGCGCGAGCAACCCGCTGGACCTTACCTGCAACGCCGTTAAATCATAGCAATAGAGAGAGGTTAATTTCTGCATCTGAGCACAGCAGACATCACGTGAAGCCAGTTGTAGCGCGGCGCTTGGTCGCGACCATGGCGATGGCCGTGGCGGCTACCCGAATAGAAACAAATGTCGTGACTGTGGACCCTGCGGAGTTGCGCAATGGCGAGGCAAGCACGTCCGGTCGGGAGGCGGTTCACCCGGGCATTGCGATGGCAGCGGCAATCCTTTCATCCGGCAGTGTCGTGGCTATTCCTACGGAAACTGTCTATGGACTAGCAGCGAATGCGCTGTCCTCAACCGCGGTCAGCAAGATCTACGCAGCCAAGAATCGACCTGCTGACAACCCGCTCATCCTACATGTCTCCTCGCTTGACATGCTCGCCTCGCTCTACCCAGCCGGCTGGACCCTCCCACCCGTGTACCAGCCCCTGGTCAAAGACCTATGGCCTGGACCGCTCACCATCCTCCTTCCTCGCAGCCCACTCGTCCCAGACGCCGTCACATGTGGACTCCCCACCATGGCCGTGCGCATGCCTTCCCACCCCGTCGCGCTGGCCCTCATATCCGCTTGCGGCTTCCCCCTCGCAGCCCCCTCCGCAAACTCTTCTGGACGTCCCTCCCCCACCCTCGCGCGCCACGTGCTTTCCGACCTCGGTAGTCGCATCCCGCTCATCGTCGACAGCGGTGCATGTGCTTGCGGTGTCGAAAGCACCGTCCTCGACGGTCTCCGCTGCCCACCTGCCGTCCTCCGTCCCGGCGGCATCACCGCAGAGCAACTAGCGACCTACTCGGGGCTAGCTGACCTGCAGGTCTACCGCCGGGATTTCGTGGACGCACAGCTTGAGGCGGCACCCTCCACCCCGGGCATGAAGTACCGGCACTACAGCCCCACTGCCCGGGTGATCCTGCTGGACCCTGGGGCAGGAGCGGGGCCAGGGTTGGGTGCGAAGGCGGAGACGGAGGCGGAGGGAAGTGGCTCGGATGAGGAGCTTGCGGGCAGGCTGCAGCGAGGCGTGACGGTCCTTCTGCGGGAGCTAGCGCAGGGGGACGGAGCGGAGGGGGGTCTCAGGGTTGGCGAGGAGGTAGGGACGTCGTCGGTGGCTTGTAACGGCGACCTGGAGAGGGGGGCGGCGGGGCGGCGGATAGCAGTGCTCCGCACCAGCATACTGGGACTACTGCCCGGGCTGGTACGACCGTGGCGGCAGCAGCAGGCGCACGAGCAACACGAGGCAGTTCAGCTGCATGCTTCACCCCTGCCGCCTTCGCTGCCATCACAGCAACCGCAACCCAACGGCCTCCTTCATCCTGCAGAAGCACCTGAACAACAACAGCAGCAGCAAAGCCTAGAAGTGAACCTGCAGCCAACCGCGGCTGCCGTTGTTCAGCCTGCAGTTACTGATAGGATGGATGCGCAGCAGCAGCAGCAGCGGCAAGACGAGCAGCAGAAGATCTCGCGGTGTCCATCACCAGGCCCCCTGGAGTATGTATTGGGGCACGTGTCGCGGCCGGAGGGGGTGGCTGCTGAGCTCTTCGCGGCGTTGCGGCGGGTGGACGAGCTGGGGATGGAGGTGGTGGTGGTGGAGGGTGTGAGAGATGTGGGCGCGGGGGCGGCGGTCATGAATCGTCTGCGCAAGGCGGCTAGTCGGGTGGTGCACGTGTGAGCAGGGGTGAGCGGGAAGGATGGCAGTGGTGCTGAGGATGAGCGTGCTTGAGGAGGTGGAGTGGGGGTGAAGGGCAGGGAGGTGGCCAGGGTTGGTCAGGTTAGGGAAGGAGCCGTTGGGAGGATGCAAGAAGGTAGGGATAGGAGGGCCGGATCATGGCTGGCAGCCTTTCGAGGCTTCATCACGTGGCCTGGGGCAGCACCACAGTCTCTGAGACATGGATTGGATGATGCAGGGCGGGTAGTACGGCAAGTAGGGACTATGAACAGGCGAGCGGTTGTAGGTTACTGCCATTGTGCTAGCACAGGCTGCTGCAAAGTCATGATTACAGGGATACGCTATCACTAAAGTTCTGTTCTAATAGTTTCTGCACATCCACTACACCACGGTTCGGCGTCGAGTTCTTCGCACGTGCCTTGTGCCCACAGCCAGGCATGCTCTCTTCAATGACATGCAGCGCTATCTACAGCGCACCTTCACACCAGTACGTCGCCATCGTCAGCAAGCGAGGAAACAGCCACACACGTGCCGTACAGCTATACTACCTAACAACACCACACGACGAGGACACCGTTCAGCGGCTGCGTAATATCACCAACACCAAGGCCAGCAAGCATTGCATACGAACATAGTAAACAGCCAATCACAAGTCAGTTTGACCACATCATAGCCCAAATGCTCCCCTGTAGTAATGTCACTGGGGGAACAAACGTCCTTGTGCTACCCGGTAAGCCTCTTTAAAGATTGGTCGCGAGGCAACCAGCAATAACTGGTACAGCAAGCTTTCCGCGCATATATATTAATACCTGCCCCAGCTATCACCGACATAACCATGCCGACGGTCGCCATCAATCGCTTATATGTACGCACACATGCATGCGGCGTCCGTCCCAGCATGTAAACAACTACTAACCTGCCGTTACCCGCCAGCGAAGTTGCCCCCGCAGGCACCCAGGCGAAACATGTAACCCTTCGATCATAGCCAGTTCCCGCCCCGCATCCAGAGCTCCAAGCCTGCGACCCATGCAACCCTGCCGACCACCCGTAAACTCTTCACCTGCGAAAAGGAGGCGCACCACGCCACCTGGTGCCTGAGACAAACGCGTCATGCGCAACGCCCTCACAAGCTGTGAAGTACTTAGTAGGCGGAGGGCCCAACAAGGCCAATGCATATTCCGCAAACATATGACCACAACAGATACGAACATACATACGAACAAACAGCTTTTGGTAGAATCACAGCTTCCGAGCAGCAATCCGCCGCTGCTTAGGCCGAGGACGGACAACAAGGCACAAGGGGATCACGGACACAAAGCAGAGCGCCGCTAATATTTCCTAATAATAAGTAATATCCTTAGACGACCGCCCTCGGTTCGCCTGTAACAAGTGTCTATTCGTGTAACTGCTACGGCCTAACGGTCAGCCACACCGTACGGCGAGCAGCGCTGGCTCGCAACCTGACGACGCACGCCGCACCCAGACCCAGCCCCAAGGCTTTTCAGCCCATGGTAAAGCTCTCGTCCAACCGCGCAACCATATTCGCTACCAATCTCGTCTGCCCTAAGTAAGACTAGGCCCCCAAACACCCCTTCAATCGCACAGCTCCGGTGGTCACAGGACAGTACTACAAACAGCAATAACACACTGAACAGAGGACTAGGGGCCATGCATGGCAACATGCGTGCACATGACACAGGCTGCCTCAGCTCGTCGAAAGCCGAATTTACGGGCGCACACACTTGGATCACAGATAGATAAGAGGTCGCAAATTACTTATTGAGGCCCTCTCAGGAAGACGCCGTAAAGTAGTGACGGCGCCCGCACACGCATGCGTGCCAGGTAGTACAATATACAACCTAGGCACACAGTTACTCCCGCTCCGATAAGCTTTTTATGGTCATGGACGTCCGTCAATGATTGTGGCTGACCTAACAGCCTTTCACAGTCCTCAGACGTCCATGATTTGTACGATGGCGGCCTTGGACACATCCATGGTGGCACTGCCTGTCATGACTGCCACTCGCAGTGTGCTGCCACCGCCGCACAGCCCCTTGGACTGCGTGAAGGCCGCCACGCCTGCCACCAGCGTGCGCACGTTAGCGAGGTCGCCGTGCACCACCTCCTCCGGCGCATAGTAGCCCACCTGCAGAAAGGAGAAACAGAGCAACGGAGCAAGGCAAGATGGAGGATATGAACCCCTGCAAATTATGATATGAGCGCATGGCAAAGCCAGCAACATTGCGGAGGATAAAATGATAAGGAACGCCGAAAAACTGAGATACATCCAAGCCTCGCCCCGCCTTCCCCATATCGCCCCAGTCTAAAGCACACCGCTGTCGCAGGTTTCGCGTTTCCCACCTGGCCGAAGAACATCTCCCGCTGCGCCACCACGGCTGGCTGGCTGGACACCACCACCAGCGGCACGGGTGGGCGGTACTTGGTGACCAAGTTGGCCGCCTCGCCGCTGTCCGACACCACTACGCACAACCCAAGCTTGGCGTCCATGCACGCCTTGGCCAGCGCCACCGCAGCCGCCTCAATGGTGCTGAAGGGCTTCGCGGAGAAGTCCCTGTAATCGCGGCGTTGGGGGCGTTTGTTGAAAAGCAGCAAACTTTGGCGGAGTGGAGCAACCAGCGGAGTAGCAGTCGCTGTTGTTCCTGGCAAAATCAAAGTTAAGCAGGATATAGCTTGCCGCGCGACCGGGAAAGCCGGATAAAGACTGCACTCACCTAATGAATGAGTGCATGGAAGCGTAGCTGGTGGCGTACTCAGCGTTGCGCACAATGCTGGCGGCGGTGAGGAACGAGTCGGTGGGGAAGGCGCCCGAAGCGGTTTCGGAGCACAGCATAAGGCAGCTTGCGCCATCCAGCACAGCATTCGCCACGTCCGTCATCTCGGCGCGAGTCGGGCGGGGATTGCTGAACATGGACTGGAGCATCTGTCGGGAGATGATGACGGGCTTGCCTGCGCGTACACAGGGGACACAAGCAGCACGATGTGTCAAGATACCGGTACATGAACCAGAAGCTAAAAGCTGCCAATGCTGGTCACGAGCAAGGCTTGACCACATGGTTGCGAGAGTACGAAGTTGCCTGGGACACTCATACTATCCACCCCGCACCCACCTGCCACGTTGGCCTTGGTGATGACCACGCTCTGCGCCAACGCCACCTTCTCCGGCGTCACCACCATGCCCAGCTTGCCACGCGCCAACATGACCGCATCCGCCAGCTCCATGATCTCATCAAGGTTTCGCAGCCCGTCCTCGCTTTCGATCTTTGCAACCTGCAAACAAACAGTTAGCGGGATGGGGCCTTATGCAAAGGGCGAGAGGAAGGCCTTGGTATTACCGGTAAGCGACGATGTTCAAGTCGGGCATGGTAGGCGTTGGATATCGGTACATGAGTGTGGCCGCCAGTGGACGAACCCTTATCCCGCGCCCACGACCCCTTCATGCCACACTCCTCGCCCCGGTAACCCACCAGCTTAATGGTCTCGCCGCCGTTGTCGTCCAGGAAGCCGCGCACCGCCGACAGGTCGTTGCGACCGTTGACGCCCATCGCAACATACTCCACCTGTCGACAAGGACAGCAATTGTGTGTGATGTGCTCTGAAATGTCGAAGGAACTCAGTCCACTACATAAACACTCTTCCCCGCGTCCCCGTCCCCCTTTTGGGTCTAGAGCTTGAGCAAGTACAGCCCAAGAGCCTTTGGACAACTCACCTGGTTGGTCAACGCAAACTCGGAAAGCGCCTCCAGGTCCCCGGCAGCGGGCACTGGCGCGTGGATGGTCACGCCCACCAGGTGCACCGGCTGCGGAGCAGGAAGAGGACAAACGCATTGGAATTTTCAGGAGACATGGACGGATGCCGAAAATAAGCTCACAAGGTTAACCCTGCCTGCGCACCCTTAGTACTAGACTGGACTTCACGCGCATCAGGCGTACAAGCAACTTCATCTCCACGCCAATGACAGAGCTGCTTGCCACGATATCGCACCTTGCGAGGGTACAGGAACGCATGATTGAGCACGCGGCCGTAGACGGGTCCGCCAGGCCGCACGGATGTGACCTCGATGTTGATGAGCCCGTCCTGGATGCGGATGAGGCCGCCCACCTTGACGCACTCTGCCAGGTCGCCCAGAGACACGCCAATGCGCACCTGGGGTGAGGGTAGGGATGTAATAATATTGCCCGCGAATCGGAACGTACTGTGATAGCCGGGATGTATGAGCATGGAAGTGTATGCGGGGAAGTTCGCAAGGCGAGGCCACGGAGAAGAGGTAGCCATGCTGTGCAGTGCACAGTGTACTTTAAAACGCAGACAAACCCCTTTTCGCTTGCATAGAGGAATAGGCAACGTTCCCGTGACATCCACTCACCTTGTCCAGTGACTTGTAGCCCACGAAGTTTGAGGGCGTCACGTCGTCCGTCCCGTACAGCTCCACGGTGTCCCCAGTCTGTTACGGGTCATGCGTTAAGACTTAAAAGGAATTGTGGGAATGCAGAAGGTATCCGACCCAAAGCGTGCCTTTGACCGTAGACAACGCGCTTATTGCATCAGGGACAGCGAGAGGACGTCCCTCCCTGCTCCATTGCACGCATATATCAGCACGCACCTGCAGCTCGATCATGTCGATCGGCTTCTTGGTCTCGCGGTCAATCAAGTTGCTGGTGCGAATGACGTTGCCCTCCAAGTCCAGCAGCACTGCCACCGTGCGCTTCTCAGCGCCGCACACCCTGCAATGCCCGCAGGCAATCGAACAGGAGGCGTGTTGTAAGCCGCGGCCAATGAACATGGCTACAAGGAAGGTAACAACAAGGCCAAGGCACGGGAACCAGGCATGCCAGGCTAACCCGGAAGAGCGCAAACAAGGCCCTGCGAAGCTGAGGTAACACGCGGTACGCACTTTTTGAGCTTATGGTACATGTCCTGGTGGCCCTGCAGCGTCCCGTGCGCGAAGTTGAAGCGAACGATGTTTGCACCTCCGCATACCAACTCGCGTAGCACCTGCACTCACGATAAGAGGGACGAGGCGTGCCAGCGCCAGAAACGCAGCGTCAGTGCCCTGCTGTGCCAAGATTTAGGGTTAAGAGAACGCACCCTACAGTGGCAAGATATAAAGGCACAAGTGCGGCGAGAAAGGCTAGCGCTCTTTAGGCTGCAAGGTGTGCCGCTATCCACTATCCCACCATGAAGGCCCCCATGTGACCTGCACACTACTCACCTCCTCGTCGTTGCACGCGGGGCCGATGGTAAAGCCCAGCTTGGTCTTCCGCACCGGGATGCTGCTGCTGACCAGCATTGGAAGGTCGATGGTGGTTGACCTGACGGGTAAGCATAAGCGGACAAGCCAGGTGGTCACACAAAGATGACTGGGTGGAGTAGACCTTCACAAGTCGCAGGAAACCCTATCATCCGGCAATGTGCCTCAGCAGCAACACGACAGAACAGCTCTTTAGCTCCCTTTCCTTCCAGGAGCACCCCAGTGCTCACCGCAGTGACACCGTCTTGGCCACGAACTTGGGGTCCAGCGCGGAACTGCTGTAGGCCAGCGAGCCCAGCGCGTCCATGTTGAGCGCCCCGGGCGCGATGGTGACGAAGGCCTCACGGGTGGGGATGGTCTCCTGTGTGCCGCCCCGAGCCACCATGTTGCTAACCAGCACGATTACCTACAACGGCCGAAAAAGGCGTTGTTTGGGCAGGCCTCGTGACCGTCTTGAGAAGTAGGGCTTCCAGTCTGTTCCAGTTGTAAACTTATGATGACAATAGATGACTAGTAGACGAATCACACGGTGCGAAGGCGTGCGCCGTGCAAGGCGTTCCGCAGTTGCATTTGCCTTCTTCTAACTCGCAAGCTCCATCGCCCGCATGGCAATCCATCCCACCCACCTCCTTGCCCGCCACGCAAAGCCCTTGCTCCACGCCGTACTTCAGCGCATCCGAAACCGCCTCCGACATCGCCATCACGTCCTTGATGGGTGCCGGCAGGAGCTTGGGGTGGCAGCCGAACAGCGCGGAGCAGTACCGTGCCAGGCTGACGTTGCTGGTGACCACCAGCACAGGCGCGCAGGGGCGGTACTTGGCCAGCAAGCGAGCCACCTTGCCACCCTCCGAGAACACCACTATCATACCTAAAGAACAAGACGAGGCCAGAGGTGAGGTGATACAGTCCTGGCCAAAAGGCTGCACAAGACGAGCTCGGTGTTCATGGGTCAGGCGTTGTACAACGTCCCTGTACATCGTCTCATTGATGACAAATTACCCTCACAAGCATCGCGGCAACTCACCCGGCCGGATGTCCACAGCGTTCTTTGCTAGCGTGGAGCAGATGGCCTCGATGGGCCCAACCGGCTTGGGTGTGAACTTGCGCGTGTAGTCAAAGGACTGGTAGAAGTTGACACCAATCTCGGCCGACCGCGCAATACGTGCCATGGTGGCAACCGCCTGGGCGGGATACAGGCCGTTGGCGCTTTCGCCTGCAACGCCAAGAGTGAGAAAACGTGAGGTGGGCATATCTTTAGCAGGGGTGCAGGCGCACGGGCACCGTAGTCGCGTGCACTCGCGGCCAGTTTTATTAAGATGCAGCTGTATGTAACCGTAAACACTATGCAAGGGCTCGACTCCACACCGTTACTCTGCTCCCCGCACCTGACAACATCACCGCGTCCACTCCGTCCCACACAGCGTTGGCGACATCCGTCATCTCAGCGCGTGTGGGCACTGGGTTGGTGATCATGGACTCCATCATCTGCGTGGCGCAGATAACGAACTTGCCGGCGATGTTGGCCTTGGTGATGATCATCTTCTGGGCCAGAGGCACCTGCATGTAACCCAGGCGCAGAGGATGTCGTTAGGTTGGGATGTAGCCAGTCACTGGACACAAGGACAGGACGACAAAGACAAACAAATCCAATCCCGCATTATTTGCCACAGCATTGCAAGTACGGGAATGACATGCGTTTGGTATTTAAAGAAGACGGACCTTCTCGACGGGGATTTCCATGCCCAGGTCGCCGCGTGCCACCATGACGCCGTCTGTGACCTCCAGGATCTGGTCGTAGTTGCGCAGGCCCTCCGCGTTCTCGATCTTGGAGATGATCTTGACCTGCATAGAGATAAACAGCATTTAGCTAGCGGGCATGCTACATTGCAAGCGCTAGCGCCAGGTGCATTTAACCAGATTATTCACAGTATTGGTAACATGCGAAGCCTACTCCTCGGGCACGGTTCGCACGTCCCCAAGCACCAAAAACTCACATCTGTCCCGCCCGCCTCGTCCAGAACACTGCGAATAAACAGGACGTCCTGCTGGCTCTGCACAAAGGACGCCGCCACAAAGTCCATCTTGTACTTGACGCAGAAGTTCTGGATGTCGTCCTTGTCCTTCTCCGTCAGCACCGGAATGTCCACCTTCACGCCCGGCAGGTTGCAGTTCTTGCGCTGGCCCAACTTCTTGGTGTTCAGCACGGTGCCCACCAGCCGCTTGTCATCCAGGACCTCGTCCACGGTGATGCTGATGCTGCCGTCCGCGATCAGGATCTTGTTGCCCGGCTTGACACTGGAACAGAGCTTGTCGTACGACAAACCAATGTGGGTCTCGCCCGTGAACTCGTCCTTGTAGCCCTCCCAACTCGTGTACGCGTCGCCTACCGCGTGGATGGTAACCTGCTGCCCCGCCTGCAGCTCGATGTCCTTTCCGTCTTTCAGCATGGCGGTGCGGATCTCCGGGCCCTTGGTGTCCAGCATGAGGGCGCCGTGCACGTCCTTCTCGTCGCAGATCTGGGAGTACGGCAAACAGCAAGAGTGTGCGTAAGAGGACACATGGGTCACCAGTGAAAACTGGACATATGCAGTAACTGTATATGTACGCTTGACATGGAAGCATGGAGAACGGCGAGGTTGCAGCAATGCTACTGTTACCCTTGCAACACAGCCCTACTTACCCTGCGGAAGCGCTTCAGCACCTCCAGGTGGCTCTTGTGATCGCCGTGGCTGAAGTTAAGCCGCAGGACGTTGCAGCCCGCGTCCAAGAGCTTTGAGAGCCCCTCTTCCGACCAGCATGCAGGCCCTGCCGTGCAAATGATCTTGGTCTTGCGCACAATGAACTTCCATTTCTCCTGGTCCAGGATCGTGTCCAGACCGACCTTGGTCGACCTGAGGGTGCATAAGAAGGTAACAGGTATGAGTGAGGAGTGCAGGCGCGCTCAGGAGAACATGCAAGAACAGAACGGCTATGGGCTGAAATCATGACGACCGAGTAAGACGTAAAAGACAACGCATTAAGCAGAACTTCCATGTAGCGAACAACTAAACGCAATACTCGCTGCATGCACGGCAACGCTCGCTCGCTTGCGCACCTGTGGAACACAACCTGGTCCCCGGGGTAGCTGGTGTGTTGCAGGTACTCGGTGCCTGTCGCCTTGCCGTACACCATGACACGCGCCACCAGACGCTGGTCATCGTAGATCTGAGAGCGCAACAAGTGGTAGCAACATGGCCACGGCCACGGTCCCATTATTTAAGGTTCGCTTCACCTAAGCACAGGCTCAGCACCAAAGGCATAGGACAGATGGCGCCTTCCAATGCCCATCTCTGCTCACCTGCGTCTCCGATGTAGCCTTGCGCCTCTGCAGCACGACCAGCTGGTCGCCGTCGACCACGGTAGCCAGCCCCATGGACTTGACCGCACGCACCGCCGTCTCCACCAGGTCCAGCAGGCCGATGCTCTCCACGTCCCTCACTAGCACACCTACCTGCCCGAACACGGACCTGCAAGCAACAGGGGAACACGCAGGGCAATGAAAGACATATAATGATGTCGCTAACGCTAAGACGCTGGACAAGCGCAGCAATTACTGCATACGGAACCTAAGACATCGCTAGAAGCAGACTATGGGGAGTTGAGTCCCAATGGCGCATGGGCATAGTGGTCGCTCTGGCATCACACACCTGCAGTGCCGGACGAGCTGCACGTCAGGTGTCACCACCACAACGGGTGCAGGCGGGCGGTACTTCGATACGAGGGTTGGCGCGCGACCCGATGTCGTGATGCAGATGATGAGCTTGGCGTCCGTGTCAATGGCCGTCATGGCGGCGCCGCTGCACACCGCCTCGGCGCCCGTCATGGGCTTGGGAGTGTGGTTGCGCAGGAAGTTGTAGCGCTTGTTGACCTGCACGACGTGATACAGCAAGGAGAGAAGGGGCAGTTGAAACCAATGCTTAATGCGCTCGCTTTATCATGCGGCCGTCCCCACCCTTTCATCAACATGCCATGTATGAAGATGTCCGCCGGCTATGGCGGTTATAATCTAGGCAAGCTCAAGCAAGCGCACCTCAATCATCTGCTCTGCGTTGACGCAGATGGCAGCCATCGTGGCCACCGCCGCCTCTGGGAACTGGCCGTTGGCCGTCTCGCCTGTGAAAGATTAAGGAAGGTAAGCGTAAGAGTGCTCCTGAACCGAAGACGTCCACGTAGTGACGGCGCAGAAAGGGGTTCTCAAATGACTGCTAGTCCTTCAACCAACTGAGGTTAAGGGACCTGGAGGACACCAAGCTTACCGGAAAGCATGACGCAATCCGTCCCGTCGAGCACGGCATTGGCCACGTCCGTCATCTCAGCGCGGGTGGGGCGCGGGTTGTTGACCATGGACTCCAGCATCTGAGTCGCAGTGATGACAAACTTGCCGGCAATGTTGGCCTTGGTGATCATCATCTTTTGGGCCAGGGGCACCTGAAAGGGTAGGCAAGAGAGACTGTGTTGCGCTCCAAGCAAGCTGGCTCTGGAAAAGCAGACGTAACACGGGCAAGCTTCCATGGAGCATTCCAATCCCGCTGGCCCTGGATCATGTAGCCAGACACCCTGACCATACTTAACAACTACGGTCTATCGCTAGGACCTTATCAGCAATACCCACCTTCTCAGCTGGAATTTCCATGCCAAGGTCGCCACGCGCTACCATGATGCCATCGCTCTCCCGCAGAATCTCGTCGTAGTTGACCAGGCCCTCCGCGTTCTCGATCTTGGAAATAATCTTCACACGCGTGCCGCCAGCTTCGTCCAGCACGCTGCGGATGAACTGCACATCAGCGGCGCTCTGTACAAACGACGCCGCCACGTAATCCATCTCGTACAGCGCCGCAAAGTTCTTCAGGTCATCAATGTCCTTCTCCGTCAGCACCGGGATTTCCACCTTGACACCCGGCAGGTTGCAGTTCTTCCGCTGGCCCAGCTGCTTGCTGTTGAGCACCGTGCCGCGCAGGAGCTTGGAGCTGAGGATCTCGTCAACAACGATGGTGATGCTGCCATCAGCCAGCAGAATCTTGTTGCCCGGCTGCACGCTGGAACAGAGCTTCTCGTACGACAGGCCAATCTTCGTGTCGCCCGTGTCCTCGTCCTTGTAGCCCTCCCACTTGGTGTACGCCGCGCCCACTGCCTCAATTAGGATGCTCTGCCCTGCCTCCAGCTCGATGTCCTTTCCGCCTTTCAGCATGGCGGTACGGATCTCCGGGCCCTTGGTGTCCAGCAGGCAGGCCCAGTGCGGCATCACGGTCACGCCTTTGGCCTGGTACTCCTCGCGCTTCTTCTGACATACCTGCGGGATGAAGGACAGGCGATGGGTTATGAGTCCATGAGGTTAGCATGTCGGGTTAGGATTGTCCGTTCCTACTGGAAGGCTACTCACCATACCGTACAGCATTTTAATGTCGTGTACCGGTAACTAGGCCATCCCCTGGAGCAAAACGCTCATGCGCCAAGGAGCCATGCCTACTTGCCTGCCAGCTAGGTAAAAGCATTTACCACCCTACCTTGCGGAAGCGCTCCAGCACCTCAAAGTGTCCCTCATGGTCCCCGTGGCTAAAGTTCATCCGCACAATGTCCATGCCCGCGTCCAGCAGCTTGCCCATGGTCTCCTCCGACCAGCATGCAGGCCCCATGGTGCACACCACCTTCGTGGACCGCCCGTTCTGGATGGGCGCTGTAATGAGTGGCAGGTTCGTCCGCGTGCTGCGTAGGCTGCGCACGCCGGGGCGCTGGATGGGTACACCCGACGGCGCGTACAGCGTGTTGCCGGTGCTCCAGCCGCGGCGCTTGAGGCCCGAGCCGCCGGAGTTTACCACCGAGACGATGGGGTTTGTGTCAGCGCTGCCCGATTGCCGCCCACGCGCCACAATGAGGCGGTAATCGTGCGTGTTGGCGGCAATGAGGCCCAGGTTGCGGACCTTGTCCAGCGCCTTCTCCGCGAGGTCCTGCGAGTCCAGCTCAAGGGAGTCCAGCTGCAGCGGCACCTGGCCGAAGCTGACGCTGGCCTGGCGCAGCACCTGCACATGCAGTTGCGGGTGGATATGGTTGCATGGTTGGGCTGATGGGTGTGCGGGAACTTCCTATGCAATGCGCACGATCTTTCTCGTGTACTGGCCATATGTATAGTGCCATGCATGCTTGTCCAAAGGCCGTCTCTGGTTTTAGCCGAACCCAATGGCCCGTGGAGCTGGATTACAGGACTAGGAATGCGTGCATGGGTGCGGATCCCCGCCGTTTATTAGGACCGCATGCGGGTTGTTTCGGATTAGTAATGAGGAGCAGTAAAAACGTCTGCGCTCAGCCCAAACTCCTTGCAAGCCAAGCTACTAACCAACCTGCGGATTGCTGCTGGCCACAACCACCAGGCATGGAGGTCGATACTTGGACACCAGATTGGCTGCGCGCCCGCTCTCTGTCAGCACCACAATCAGCGTCACCACTTGGTGGCGGGTAACGCGCTTGAATGCCTGTGTATGGCAAGCAGGGCATGATAAAGAACCTTGAGGACAACGGCACCGCAGATCCTTGCCTTGGCGGCACATAGAGCAGCAACTGGCCGGCACGCGCATGCAAAACACGAGTTCTATAGCAGCAGCCCCTGGATGGGCGCACGGGACTTCTTAAAAAGAGGACGATCAACAAATCATACTCGGCCCAGTGTTATTCCACAAGACGACAGCTACACAAATCCCTCCCGGGCAGGCAGCAGCTAGGCAATTGCTCTCGTCGTCTCCAGGACCCCACCTCGGGTGTGGTGTCCTCCGTAAAGCCCACAGCCATGGAGGCAGCGGATGACAGCATGCACTCGTCCGGCTCCATGGCCTTCTCGTTGCCCTTAGTGGCCCAGTACCTGCGCGGGGGAAAGGGGACCAATCGAGTTGTTGGGAAAACGGTGGTAAGCAGTAAGAGGCATCCATCGTCCACTGGCTCAGCACCCCTAACCTGCCCCGTCCACCAACCGAAACCGCCAGCCGCGGTTCAATGGCCATCACTCTCCGGCTAGGCTGTGTACGGTACTCACCGGATGAAGCTGTACTGCGAGTAGTAGTCCACTCCGACCTCGGCGTTAGCGACGATGGCAGCCATGGTCGAGACAGCGGTATCCGGGAAATCTCCGTTGGCGCTCTCACCTGCATTGGGTGCAGAATGCAGGATGCAGCCCTTGGGTATTTGCGCTAGGTTGTAGCTATGTGGGTTCTGCACTCGTTGTGTTCGTGCCAAGAATTCCGAAGCCAAGAGGGGCTAACCAATCGAGGAAACAGAAAGGAAAACCATGCAGTCCAGCTTACCTGACAGCATGACGCAATCAACACCGTCGTACACGGCGTTGGCAACGTCCGTCATCTCAGCGCGGGTGGGGCGCGGGTTGTTTACCATGGACTCGAGCATTTGGGTGGCGCAGATGACGAATTTGCCGGCAATGTTGGCCTTGGTAATCATCATCTTCTGGGCCACAGGCACCTACGACGAATGCAAGCATGCAAGCCAAGCAGAACCTCACGGCTGCACCGCCATGCGCGAAATATACGGAAGGGAACGACTGCCTACACTACGGTATGCCATACATGTGCACATATTTCGCTAACGAGACGGTCCTGTACGGTTAGTTGTACGGTTAGCCACAGGGTAGTGCTCATGCTCCCTCCTCGGCCTTCTCCCTATCCCACATTCACATGGAGGCCCTCGACATCCCTCCGTCAGCTCACCTTCTCGGACGGAATTTCCATGCCCAGGTCGCCACGCGCAACCATGATGCCATCGCTCTCCCGCAGGATCTCGTCGTAGTTGTTCAACCCCTCAAGGTTCTCGATCTTCGAGATGATCCGAACGTACTGCCCTCCCGGAGCGGCATCCAAGGTGCGGCGGATGAAGCGCACGTCGGCTGCGCTCTGCACAAAGGACGCTGCCACAAAATCCATCTTGTGCTTCGCTGCGAAGTGCTGCAAGTCCACAATGTCCTTCTCCGTCAACACCGGGATGTCCACCTTGATACCCGGCAGGTTGCAGTTCTTCCGCTGGCCCAGCTTCTTGCTGTTGAGCACCGTGCCGCGCAGGACACGCGCTGACTGGATTTCATCAACGCGGATGCTGATGCTGCCGTCCGCAATCAGGATCTTGTTGCCCGGCTTGACGCTGGAACAGAGCTTCTCGTACGACAAACCGATGTGGGTCTCCCCAGTTGTCGGGTCCTTGTAGCCCTCCCACGACGTGTACTCTGCACCCACCGCCTCCACAATAATGCTCTGCCCCGCCTCCAGCATGATGTCCTTGCCGCCTCGCAGCATCGCTGTGCGGATCTCCGGACCCTTGGTGTCCAGCAGGCAAGCCGCATAGCTGCCTTTAGCTGCACACACCTGCTCACTCGGAACGTGGGCGGGTTGCGCAAGTGGTAAAGGTTCTCAGTAGGGTTGTACAGCAACATGGCCTAGTCCTTGCCTTTAAGCGCACGCCTGCCTTGAAGCTAGAGCCCTAGACCCAAATCACCAATTCCTTAGGCGACCCAAATCGATTCGGTACCCAAGGCGACTGCCTAATTTGCTGCCTTAGGATAAAGCGCCGTCCTGACAGCCACGCGCACCTTTCGGAACCGCTCCAGCACTGCGTAATGACCCTCGTGGTCCCCATGGCTGAAGTTAAAGCGAAGGACGTTACAGCCCGCGTCCAGCAGCTTCGCCAGACCCGCCTCTGACCAGCACGCAGGACCTGCCGTGCAAATAATCTTCGTCTTACGGGCCAGCTCCGCCTGGTCCTTCAGGATCATGGCCAATGTCACGTTGGTGGCACGCTCCGAGTGCACATCCGGCGTCTCCTGCGGCGGCCTGATCTCCTCCGGCTCGTACTCGGGTGCCCACTCGCGTTGAAGCTTCGCTTTGACGGCTGAGGGTGGGGATACAGGGGATACGAGGATCGGGAACATGCGGTTTATGAGGGGATATGAGGATAGGGAATATGAGGGCGGGACAGCTTAACCGCTTTCAGTGTTGCTGTACGACACGGATAGAAGGGCCCACCAACGTACACAGCTAACCCTCGCCTGCCGCCGGGTAAGGGTATGTTTAAACATACGGGAAAAGGGTTACAGTTACGGTCTGGGTGCAGCTATGCGTAAACCCAAATCGGTGTCTCATGACCCTGATGTGACCTCTCCTGGCCCTTATCCCACGAGCCACAACCCCTTGTTCTCAGCAGCCTCCCACGGTGTCTTGCCTACCGTTAATGGTCTGCTCCTCCACTGACATAACCGAATTGAAGATGGAGGACGTCTTTCCCAAAGGTGATTGCAACTTCCTGTTCAGGCCAAGCCGCGGGCAGCACGTCGGGGCAAGCAAGCAAAGCTAAATGCAATTCGATTTCGCTCAAGAAGATGGTGCAGGACCATCATCAACGATAAAATTTGTGGAGGAGCCTTGGCCACCACCCTCCGCACAAACACGCAAGCAAATGCAACATGCTTTCCTACAAGTTCTCAGCCAGAAACCCCCCCAGAGGGACTTCCAGCAGCAAATACCTGACAGATCGGTCATCAAAGGCCAACGAGCGACCCGATTTAGAAGGGGACATCAACGCTGGCGGTCCTGGTGTTGTAGGCGACGGTGCCGCCCTTGGCGGCTCCGGCCGCTTCACGCTGGCTTCTTTCTTCTCTTGGGATATACTGACACGTGGGGTTGGTTCTGCCGATGTTCCATTGCTGCTGCCAAAGTTGATTGGACCATTGCCCAGAGGTGTCGCAGAAGACTGTGCATGGCAAAGAGCACAGCAAGGAATCCTTAGCAAATTTGCAAAGGACAACGAAGCGCTGCGGTCCCAGATCGCGCTGTGCTCCAGCAAGAATTCCATTAAGCGGCCCGAATCCAGTGGTCACCTTCGAAGCAGCAGCGTGAACTGAAGTCCCACATCCCATGTTGTGATGCACAACTAATCGACCGCCTTGAAGCGGCCGGTTATGCTTTATGCCTACTCCTATAGACTTTTTACTTATGGGGCATGAGAGCATCAGAGTAACAGGTTTTTACGGAGTCATAAATATGTTATTAATATTGCAAAAGTTCACTATAAGGACGGAAAGGGGGCTGCGGACAGATAGCGGCTCTAGGAATATATTCTGCACCAGCCCCCTATGGAGCATGCAAGAATCATATAATGGCCAGTATGAGGAGTCTATGGTTTGAATGGCAAGTAATTATATAAAGTAAGGCGACTTCGAAAGCTAGGGCTCATTCCGTGCAAGTGCTCTCTTCGAACTCCATGCAAGTGCCGTTCCCGTGTTAACCGTGATGATCGCGGGAGAGGTCGATATACCTATCCTTAATCTTGCCATATATAGTCATATGTAATCACTGCGTTACCCGTTCCTAGGTCCCAAGGGTCGTCTCCCACTCCATCCCATGGGCAAAATTAAAGTTGAGTCTGACGAAGCACCCATATCGACTGTAATGTACTGTTCATCAGGCGTTAATGCTATGGGCGTCAACTTGGAGCGCCGACGGCCAGAAACCGACTCGCCCCTGAACGCTCCCGGAAACTAAGCCGGGTTAGCTTGGCTACGTGCCTACATAGCGCAAGGGGTCACCGGGCCCATATTCGAGCCGACTTCAGTCCGTTTCCAATCGTGTTCTGCTTGTGAGCATTTCCCGTGGGGTTTCCAAGGATGCACGGAACCCCAAGAATCCTCTGTATGGGCTCAGGCACACCCTTTACACGTATGGCCTTCATGAGGCCCCATGGCGCCTAGCTTCGGTTCCACTAAACCTCACACTTCAATTAGAGTGCTTATGGTAAAGACCCAAAAACGCACCGGAAGCCCCCCAGAGCCCAACAAACCTTCATGATCATGTGACTTCACACCACAAGCAAACTGACCCGGGCTTACATGACTTGTTGGAGTCAATCCAAAGCCTGTGTTCCGGCCAAGCCGCGATCACCACCACTTCGCGTCACCGCGCCCCGTTCTCTCTATCGCACGTGGAGGCGGACTTCACATGGGTTGATGACCCACATGGCGTTCTGTGAACGCCGGGGCGATCAGTGTGCGTGTGCGTCACAACTCGACCAACAGCAATTCCCCGTTGCCCCCCCCCCCCCGATAAGGACTCCGTTGATGCACTTATCTATATCCCCCCCCCCCATTTAGGTATTCACGGGACCAGGACCTCGCGAGTGCGTCCCATCGCGTTGAAGCCTACAAGAGCCAACCACCCAACCGCTGAAACCCTTACCCCGCGTGACCCACATCCCAAACGTGCGTCATATTATCGTCCAGTAATACAGAAACAGACAGGGACGTGTCGCCAGAAGACCGAAGTTGAGTTCACTGTAGTTGCAAGTCGCCTCTGTACGACTCTGGTGACGCCGTGCGACATGCTGTACCCCCGCGACCATCACCATGCATGGCGCTGCCGTACTGCCTCTTCTGCCGTAGCTCCGTACGGTGACGAGGTTACTCGTAGAGGGACGCGCACGGGCAGCTGCAACTTGTCGCGCTGCTGGGCTATGATGGGTGTGTTCGCCGAAGCTTCATGCTACGCGAAGCTCTCCGCAAGGGCATCCAGCACGATGGGGTACAACGTCCTGGCCGCGCCAGTGTCCCAAATGAAGTCTGTATGCATGGGGTGTTACACAGGGGCGGGTCATTCTGGGGCAAGGGAGGACAAGCAGGCAATGGGCATCATGGGCGCATCCCACGAACTGCAAAAGGCGCTAGCAAAAGACCCAAATACCGGTATAAGCCGCACATGTGTGCGTAAGGAAATGGATGATGCATGTTCTGGCGGGACGAGGTAAGTGCGCAAGACAGAGCAACATGCTACAAACATGTGCATGCACTCCATGTCCGCCGTCCGCCCTCCGCCCTGCACCTGCGCCCCCACCCACCCATGTGGCTGTAGTCAGGGATGGTGAAATCCTTCCGTAGCACGCGCTTGAGGCGCTTCTTCTGCTCCGCAATGTCCTGAGGGGCCGCAAGCACGTCGCTGCCGCCTGGGGGCGGCGGGGGCGGGCAGCAGAAGGGCAGGCAAGTGTGCGCGGGTGGGGTGGGGGGGCGCGGGAGATAAGCGTCTGGGGCGAAAGGTGTGGCAGCAACCGAAAGCCACCAGGCCGGGGTTGACGGGGGCCCGAACGTACCTGACACCAGGACCACCGGCGCCTTGACCTTGGTCAAATCGTACTGCATGCAGTGTACGGCAGGTATGCGCGTGCCGGGACCGTCGGATAGGGGAGGTGCAAGTAAGGGCGATAGTCAGCTGCTGTAACGGCCTGTTGCAGGGCCGCATGCGGTGCGCATGCACATGCGTATCGTACATGGAGAGCTCCAGTCACAGTCACAAGAAGTGGTGGCGGTGGTTGCTGTAGCATGCATGTCGCCGAAGGCCTTCTGTAGCCGCTTCGGCTGGCAGGTGAAGCTTATAATTCCGGACTAACAAAGCGACATGCATGCTGGGTTTCGAATTGCTTGATTTCCGGGATGCAGGTCATGACAGCAGCTTAAGCACGCACCCAACACGCACGCACAGGCGCCTCTTACCTCCGACCCGTAGCCTTTATGGAAAAAGCGTGTACCGGGCTCGTTGTAGATCTGAGGGTAATGGAGGGCAAACAAGTGGGAGTAGAAGGGAGGTGGGTCTTGGTTTTGGGGGTGGGGAACAAACAGGACGAGTTGAGTACCGGTAATCGGTCATTTGGGTCAGACAGCAGAATGGGGGAAAAAAGAAATTCCAAAGTGTGGTGTGGGCGGGACCTCATGAACACAAGGACACGGCGACTAGGGTTTTCAGTAGGGCTGGAATCCGACACCGGAGCCACTGCACACTGTGATTCCGGTGCCTGTGACTGATTTGTGTCGGGTGTTGAAAGAACCTAGATTACGCTGCAGCCTTTCCAGTACCGCTTGACAGCTTCTTGCTTCATGTTTGGGTTGGTGGGTGCGACTACCGGTATATGTCCAGTGCAAGGCTGCAAGGGGGCCACGTACCTCAGCCCACTGCATTGCGTTGCCCAGGCTGGTGGAAGAGGGCCAGATCTGCCAGTAGCGCCTGCGCAGGGAGAAATGCGATAAACGTGTATAAATGTGAGAAGTCGTGAGGACATCCTAAGGACAACGCACCAGATAAGGACTAGCGTTTGAGGTACCAGTAAGTTGACGCGTTGCGTACGGCCCCAACCGGGTTGCGTACGGCCCGAAACCTCTCACCAGCAAACCGCTTCGCATCCCCGCCATCCTAGACAAGAAAGCAGTTAAGTATAGGCCAGGGTAGACCGGGCAGGAGCCTTCTCAGGTAGTGACCCACGGGTCAGTGAAGTGCCCGTCGCGTGTTCACACACCTGTACTGCGATGTGCTAATCCGCCGCGACGCACCGAAGATGCCCTCCATAGTCGTCTACAGCACATTAGTACAAAATCCAGTTAGGTGTAATGTAAGCTTGGAGCTTACGCAGCTACGCAACATCGCGCAATCCTTCAGCGCGCTCCCCTCCGCCGACTTCGTTGTTTCACTTATTTTTTCCCTCCAACACGCCACCCCTTCTTCTGCTTACCAGGCAGCTCAGCATGGTGCCCGGCATCTGGCACACGCCATTCAGGTAGGTCTGCTGCATCTGCACGCTCATGTAGAGCAGCTCCTGAGGCGGCAGGATGCTGAACACCGTGCTGGTCTGGGGGGGGGCACGAGACGGTGCGTGCGTGTGCGCGTGTGCGCATGCATGCAGGGGCATGGGCAGTTGGCGCATGGACGTGATTAAGAGCGGAAAAGGATGGCTTAGGCAGCAGCAAACATGGTGGCAGACTTACCCATGGCACCGTGCGTGGCCCTCTCTTCACCCCAGCACCCCATCTTGCTGCGCATACATTTGCCCCTTTGCCGAAGCTTTCACACCCGTGCTTCCCCGCCCTATCCGCCCATCCATGCACCCCAGACCACACCCCACCCCTGCTCACATTAGCCTCCCTGCAGAAGTTCTTCAGGATCACCGAGGTCATGTGCCTCACGTAGACGCAGGGCGCCAGCGCCACCAGCACGGACACGCTCTCCGCCAGCCAGGGGTCGTCGGACAGCGCCATGAGCGCGATGGTGCCGCCCTGGCTGTGGCCCACAAGCCCCACCTGTTTGCGCACGCAGGGCAGGGAAACGAAGAATAGATGCCCCATGTGGTGAATGGGAGTGTGCGCACAGCGGGGAGGGGGAGGTTGCATGGAGGTGTAGAGGGCAGAGGTGTGAGGATAACGGGGCACATGGTGGGCTGTGGGTTAGGGATGCATGGGCGCGGTGGATCGGTAATGGATGCATGCGGCCGCCGACCTCCCGCCCTCACCTTGCTGAAGCCCGTCACATCCTGTACGTACTTGAGGGTCTCACGCAAGTCCCACTTCGCCATCTCATCCTGCGAGTGGGCGGGAAGCACCGTATTCCAAAGTTACGACGTAAAGGCGTTGTACGACATAGCCGGGAAGGTGAGCAGTGGGTGTTGCTAGTTTTACCGAGTGCGACGGTTAAGCGTCACGTCTGTAGACGCGATGGACGCTTGCATGGATCACCTCGTTTAAGTGTATCACACTGCCATCATCCTGCCGTACAATGCCGTATACCGTGAAGTGCCGTACATTCTGCATTGCCGTACACCCTGACTCACCACCGCGAATCTCCAAAAGAGGGACTGTGTGTCCCGGTACAGCACGTGTTGGCGGGAGAAGGTGTTACCGCGGGTGTTCATCATCCACACGTCGTAGCCTGCGGGAGGCAGGGAATGTACGGCAGCAGTGCAGGAAGCTATTCTGTACCGGCAGTACAGGTCCGTACGATAGTGTAGCCGATTAAAAGTTCAAAAACACCTACAGTCAGCCAGGCTTTCTCCACCCACTCAACTAGCCGCTTCACGTAACGGCGCGCTGCTGCTTAATCATAAGAGCCCAGTGCGAATGGTTCCATTGGCATTGCCCTTCCCCTACAGTTGTTAACCCCCTCTCACCCCTGTCTGCCAAAATGAAGGCCAGGCTCTCCTGCGGCTCGTTCACCACCCAGCAAGTGCTCGCCAGGGAGATGCCATGCAGCAGCAGCACGGGTTGTCGCCTGCCGCTGCCCTTGCCCGCCCGGCCGTAGGGGATGCGGAAGGTGCCCAGCTTGTAGCCGTCGCCCGTCACCACCACATGCTGCTCCAGGGGGTAGCCCTTGGGTACGACAAGGCCTGGGAGGGTGTACGGCAGG